TGGTCAACGATGTTTGTTTTGTGGGATTGATTCAGTCTCACGTAGCCGAATGTCGAGGGGCGAAAACAGATCTACGAGAGTCGATTCATTCAGGCATTTCAGAGACCATTGCCTGGTGGAGGTGGACCGGCAGAACGTAGGCTGTTTTAATAACTAAAGCGTCAGCCGTCTATTAGCGTAATGTCCTCTTCGCGGCCAGCGCTATCGAAGCCAAACGCGGAGAAGAAAAATATTTCTATGCAAAAGGCGGATTCGAATGTGGGGTAACTTACTAGTGGCCAGTTCCTTCTGGAGCTTGTCCCTGTTGCTGAATTGGAGTAACAGTCTTGCGTTGTCTACCAGCATTGTTTCCAGCAGTTGCTTGAGCGCTGGTTTGAACCTCAGCTGATGCCTTCTCTCCCTCTTGTGGCTTGATTTGTTGTTGAGCATTCTTTTGGTACTTGTAGACAGTCCAGTCAAAGACATAATCGTATTGGAAACCTTCACGAACGAAAAGATCACGGAAGATCTTTCGGAGGTAAGAGTAATCTGGCTTGTCATCGAATCGAAGAGAACGGGTATAGTTGAGATAGATGGCGAACTCATTAGGGAATCCACGGCAAAGGACTTCGGTAGGAGTGGTCATCTTCTTCTCCATGATACGGTCATACTTCTGCTTCTTGGTAGCAGCCTTAAGACCTTGCCATGGGAGAGAACCACGACAGAAGTAAAGCATGACATATCCCAAGGATTCCATGTCATCACGACGGGATTGCTCTGTCACCACGGTTAGCATTCGGGATGGTAGTAGCGGGAAAGACAGCACATACCGACACCAAGATGAGTGTTGATGGAGGCATAACGAGCGGTACCAGTCAAGTTCTTGTTCTCACGGTATGGGATGTGGAAGTGAGTCTTTGGGTCTCTGTACTTCTTGGCCAAACCAAAATCAATGACATTTACTTGGTTACCGCGTTTACCAATACCCATGAGGAAGTTGTCAGGCTTGATATCACGATGGATGAAGGATTTGGCGTGAATGTACTCGATACGGGAGATGAGTTGATCGGCGAGGAGAAGAACGGTCTTCAAAGAGAACTTGCGGTTGCAGAAGTTGAAGAGATCCTCCAAACTGGGACCGAGAAGATCAAGAACCATGGCATTGTAATCACATTCTGTACCGAACCAGCGAACGAAAGGAATGCCAACACCACCAGCTAAGGACTTATAGACACGAGCCTCATATTCGAGTTGAGGATGCTTAGCCTTGACAGACTCAAGCTTGATAGCAATCTCTTCACCGGAGATGATGTTGGTGCCAAGGTAGATATCACCAAAAGAACCACTACCAATCTTTCGGCCAATGCGGTATTTATTGCCGACGCGAAGATCCTGTGAAGTGATGAAAGATTAGCAGATGGTTATGGTGAAGAAACGAGTAATTGCAAATAGGAATGATGAAAGAGTATGAGCATGTGCTACCCTGTAACAAGACTGTGATGAATATCAAAAGTGAGGGATTATCATGAACCATTTTCCCGATTCCAGCCGCACAGGTAGAATATGATGAAAATAACAAGAATGTGTATATGAAGGGCTGGAAAATGGGAGTATAAACCAGAGGGGATGTTTTTGGCTTAGCACCCACCATAGTAGTCATCTTGAAGTTGAACTATGGACTCAGTGTACCGGAATTCCGATACCAGAGTCGAGGAGGATGGAGGAGGTAGGACGATTGTCGAAGGGCGTAGGTAGGTAGTCAAGGTTGAGGACCAGCCGACTTTAATGAATCAAAGAAGGAGTGGTGGTGAGGTTGAAAGGTCGAAAGAGAAATTTGGAAGGACAGACACTAAATGGGAAGAAGTCGTGTCAGTTTAGTTTGGATTTGATATGATAAGTGATTTTTTTTTGTATTGAAAAGAAGGAAGCGGTGTGTGGGAGGTGATTGGGATAGATTTAAGAGAAAGAGGGAAATAAGCGGCTAAGGCGAATACAGTACAACACGAAACAGGCGGATTAATTTAATCGAATGATCAAAGTGAATAAGAAAGAAATGAAGTGAAGTGAATGATTTGTTGATTGAAATGGGATGTTGAATGATATTCAAACATCATACGGTCTTGATGGGTACGTACCTATTTGATGCTGTTGATCCTAATGACGGATGGAGGGTATGAGTGATTTGATGTGGTTGTAGAGATGTAAAAGGAAAAAGAGTTAGAGTTGATGTTTTGAGTTGCCGACCGTAGTAAGTAGTCGACTTTTAAATGGGAGGGATGAATTCGTGGCCTCGTTTGGGTGGCTCGGAAGGCGTGAATGAATGAGCCTTTGGAGTTTAGTATTTGTATTTGTATTATTTATGTTTATGGTAAAAGTCCAACTTCTTTTTGCTCACTCTTCTGATTTATTAGAGTGAGTGAAGAGTGAAGAGTGAAGACTTCTCATCGAATAATACAATTCTGATACTTCTTATTGTTGTTAATGCTTTCAGATTTAGGCGGGGATGGTGAGTAGGATGTCAAAGCCTTGAAGATAAAAGAGGGGAGGGATGTTTTGATAATACCTAGTACTGTAGGTAGTAAGGGTTTGGGTCAAATCAATCAATCAATAAAAGCTTAGAAAGCGACCTTTTCTTAGGCATTATCTACTACAATCTACGACCTACCTAGTATTCATTGTAAATCTCAATGAGATCTTAAAATGGCAATAACCACCGAATGACCCAACCAAGTCAAAAAATCACTTCAAATCACTTCACTTCATGAATCAGCAGCTAAAGACCACCTAAGGACCACCTAAAGACCACATACCGACCACCGACTAAAACCTGTCGAAAAGATGAAAAAAAAAAGAAAAATGACAAATTGTCAGCTGGTACTATAAATGGTTTAGATGTAAGATGCTTTGATCAAAATGTATCCTAATATAGTAAAGATCATTGACATGAGGGTCTAGTTTTATCCTGGTCATTTCCTATTGATAGGTAGGTATTTGAAGAATCAATTCATCTCATCAATCCATCCACTTTTAACTCAAGTATCAGAAATGGCTATCTATGAACTTCTTGCAATCTGTGCTGAGATTACCAATTCAATGCAACGACAACACTAATGGAAGGAAGAGAGAAAGAGTAAAGGATTGGTTTTCATGCTTTCGGTGTGATAGGTAAGGTTAGATAGATAGGAAGAAGAGAACCCTTTAAGTTATTCATGAACTCGATAGAGTGCATAGCATAAGTTCAAACTTATTCAGACTCAGTATAAAGAGTAAACTGCAATGTATAAAATGAGTACATTCACACACATACATATCAATGATTCTCCCAAGGTTAATTAATGTCTTTCATTTCAATAGTACACCAACCAGTACAGTACCTAATATATTTATTATCCGAATCCCAAGGTCCAAGAGTCCGTGACATGAATTTTGATTTTCTCCCCGCAAGAAGGAAGCCTGTCCTGTCTAGGCTGTCCTGTCTAGGCTGTCCTGTCTCCCTCACAGATCAACAGAGTATCCATTCTCAACAAATCAATAACCAACATGACTGTGAGACAAGACAGTCTTCGTATTATGCATGATAAGTAAGTAAGTAGATATATCCTCAGTTCAATTTCGTATTGATTTACGGAGATATCGGATTTTATTAGTTTATAAGTATTTAAGTATATAGGTATTGCCTCATTCCATTCCTTTCACTGAAACTACCTATGTATTTATTGAATACCTAACACATAGCAGATATATGAGATATTGTATGATTTTGATTTTGATTCTATGAAAGAAGGTTAACAGTATAGTACAACCAATCCAACGTCGCTTCAACAAACCCACCACTCTACACTGCACTGCAACTGCTACAAAATATTCATTCCCTTCCCCACCAACTAACTCCTCACAAACACAATCCCTTCACAAAAACAACAAAGTCAGCCTAATCCAAGGGGCAAGGAAAGCCCAAAAGAGGGGCACAAATCTATCAACTAGGTAGTAACTCTTAACTCGTAACTAGTAACCAGTAACTAGTAACTACGAAAAAAATGCCTCATTGAAAATCAGGCCAAAGTACCTATGCAAAGAAATCCAAGAAAACTCAAAATATCAAAGCAGCTGACTACTTAGTATCACCATATCTATCTACATAATAAACCCCATCATAGGAAGACAGACAGACAGGCAACAAATAATCCATCTTCTAATCTTCTCATAGAATTCCCACAGAATAAACTCATGTACCTCGAGGTATTGTACTCTGTATCGTACTCTGTACTCTGCACAATCAATCATCTCAAGACTCAAACTTAAACTAAAACCATCCAGATACTTCACACTGAGAAATGGGATGGATAGACTATAAACCACAAACCGAGAATTCTAGAGCCTTGTCTTTCTTGCCTTGTCCTATCTCATCTTGACTTGATATTATTATCAGAATCTTACAAAATAATTTTTTTATTTTTGTACGAGCTGTGCAGCTGAGGATGTATGTAAAGTGTGTGTATGTATGTAAGATGTGTACCGAACCGGTAGTCTGTCTTGTACCATACCATACCATAAATAACATCACAAGATCAATTCTTTGATCGGTCGGTGAGGAATAGGAATAGGAATAGGAATAGAGATAAATATACTAGGATAGAGATAAATATACTAGGTACCTAGATATCCGTACTAGGTACATACATAGGCTGAAAAATCATAGTTAGTTACTAGGTAGTTATAAGTTGCCTCACTTATGAACTTGTGATGGTTTGCCTTCGGTCTGGCTATGTACGCCGCCGCCGCCGCCGCGATCTATCCATGCTTTTATCGATTAATGGATTAACAATTACTCGAGTGTTTAAATTTAAATTTAAATTCATTCAAACATCCATGATGTCAATTATTTATTTATTCATCACTACTTTATTTATCACTACCTTATTTATCATTCTACCCTTAGACATAATCATCAACCCCTCATTCAATACCTACCTACGTTAAGACTACCTTACCTATCTAGGTATCTAGTATCCTATCGCCCACCATCATCATCATCATCATCATCATCATCATCCATCCATCCTCCACCCCCCTCCCAAAAAAGAAAACCCCTCATTTAAAAATAAATAAATAAATAAACCTCGACCCATGATACTTACTATATTAATAGAAACCAAAAAAAAAAATCTCCATCTGCACAATAATACTCGTACACACAAATAAGATCATCTACCCAATTCACCTAAAAAAAAATATCCCCATACTCACCACCATTCTCCACACATACGCACACACACACACATACACATATACTCCCTAATTTTCCTATTCGTTATTTCATGCCAGCCATGGGGAATGCAATCATCTCGGAGAATTTAGGAATTTAAGATTTTTAGGGTTTGCAAATAGGATGATCGGATCTGTGTTAGATTTATATAGATCTACAGAGTGTGATAGATTTCAGGGTTCGGATTTCGGGGTTGTAAGGATTGGGAGGATTGTGTGATGTGATTGGTGTTGATTAAGATTGATGGTTTCTGAAACTTTAGAACTTTAAGAGGGGTTTAAATAAATATTTGATATTTATTAATTATATTAGATTAGGTTAGAATATATTGAGATATATATATATTTTAATTTTTAATTTTTAATTTTTAATTTTTAATTTTTAATTTAAATATATATATATATATATTGTTGAAATTAAGGTCATTATGGGCCTAGAATTGAGGTCATATGACCATTATGGTGCACGGACCATAATTGGGAATATCTTCAATTCTACCATTACTGTAACTTAGATCCTTAGTTTAACCTACATCTAATAATACTACTACTTCCAAACAACTCAGTTTCAACATATATATATTATTTAAAAAAATTTAAAATAAAAATATAGAGAGTTTGAAGTTTAAAATATTAAATAATAATATGTTACGAGGTTTGCCGTCTAGATCACGTGGAAGTGCTCTAGGCTCTCGAGGTGGTTTATAACTAGGCGTCAAGCAGGGACTTAAGTAATGACAATAATGATATACAATTCGTAACTAATAGTAGAGTATACTAAATGATTGATCTTGAGCACGAGGCTCTATAGGAAGGAATTCATACTGAATATATAGATCCTCGTAATTCTTGGATCACTCAGGATCACTGATGATCTAAGGTGATCCAGCATACCTGTTCATATGCTCTGATGGTGCGTGTATATGAGTTTTTAGGGTGACCGAAATCTCATATTAAATTGAGCGAATCGTAACAGATTTACATATGGCCCAAGCTTACGAAAACAAGTCAGCTGTTACCATCGTAACATAATAATAATAATAATAATAATAATAATAATAATAATAATAATAATAATAATAATAATAATAATAATAATAATAATAATAATAATAATAATAATAATAATAATAATAATAATAATAATTATTATTATTATTATTATTATATATAAATGTATACACTCATCAAGCTGGTATAATAAAACTACACTATAAAGAAGGTATGGTCCCCAGTACTCTGATCATATTTCCAACATGGGTAGTACTGCTCATCGACCTGTGACGCGAAGTACAGATCGCGGTATCCAGGACCAAATCTCAGCAAGCCTATCCGCCGGAACCTGCCCATCTCGTGAGATACAAGTTCAAGTAACAAACAGTAAGTGTTAGATAGACCATAGCCATCTCGGTCATCATTGTCGTACCAAGGCACATAGAATAGCTTTTTTGAACGATTCAGGCTTGAAATATCTGTTTTGCTAGCTGCAAAATCGAGCCCGGCCCAGACAAACACGGTATCTCGAACGATCGGTTCGGATTCGCGTTCCTTCAGAGCCTCCCAGTCCTGTTCTGGTTCAGGAACCGCAATAGCACTGACAGGAAACACATGGAACATGCCTAGACCTCTTCGAAGTATCATTCGTTTTAAAGCTCCCCGAACCATGACTTCGATGCATGGCTTCGATGGGAGTATGGTAATGTTTTTGTCGAATAAATACTTTTCGGGATCTATGTGCGCGCGAGTACGCCACTTGACACATGTGACCTGTGGCAAGATGAACTCTTCATTTAGCTCCTTACCCTCAAGGTCGGGTTCTCTTATTTTAACCTGGTAGCCAGAGATCCATGAAAATGTCAACTGCGTTGGCCTTGGGGAAGCATTATGCACCTCAGGATCAGGCATACTTTTCAGGTTTTTCCAAAGCATATCGAGAGATAGACGACTGAGCCATAATCCAGCCACGTACACATCGTTTTCGATATATTTGTCTTTGAGAAGCATGATGAATTTCTGGGCGATACCTGCTACTGCTGCAAGCCTGTCTTCGGCGAAGGTGAGCTCTGTGCCTGAGTATTTCTCCACCAAGTCGTACCAGGCTTGATAGAGCTCTTCTCGGCTAGTCAGCCTGCCGGTCGGCAGGAATGTCTTAATATTGGGTGATGAGATAATGTCGGCTACGGAGTACTCGCGATTCAAAGTCGGGCTCCAGTGTAAGACATCAACCCCCATGGATTCGCTCCAGCGTTGCTCATAACACTCGTATAGAACAATTTCCTTGCAGAAGAAGATGTTCCTGGGACTAAGCAAACGCTCTTGAAATACCCAGCCGCGGCTAGCCAAGGTAGAATGCTCAACCAGCTCATCCCAGGTCCCATCCCCGTCTTCAGACGACACCAAAAGGAACTTCTTCTTCCATCCATTCTTAGACTGCATCTCAAAAGAAGCATGTTCCACCCTGGATGGGTCTCTTGTCGCAAATAATCCGCCTAGTTCAGGCCCCCACGAGGCACAAATGTTGAAGCATGCATTCGAATATACACTATGCATCGTTGAGGCCTCTTGTTTCCAATCTGCGAGCTCATCGCCCTCTTGGATGATGCAGAGACAATCAATCCAGAGATAGTCGATCCCAAGGCGCCTAGCCGCTCGAACAGCATCTAGAAAAGTCTGAGGAAGGATTTTTGTCGGAATACTCTGTGTCCATAATGATAAATTGTCGACAGTGAGCCTCGCCATATTTTCCTTCCCCCAACGATGGCTGAGGGTAGCGTACTGGCTGCCCGCAGAGAGTTGGGTCCCGTGTACGATTCGTAACTTGAGATCTCGTTTCTTGTGACCGCTGAAAGTGCTAACATGAAGCAGCCGGGTTGGATACCAGCCCTTCGTACGTTTCTCTCGATGGTAGAGGCATTGCATATGCTCGGAGTCACAACGCTCTAGCCAATTATCAATTTTCGTAAACGTCTCCTCCGAACTTGTTGAGCTCGAGGTGATCCTCCAGCTTGGTAGCACCTTCGACAATGCTTTGCCAGTGAGATTCATTATGCGACCATAAAAATGAGCACATGGGTAGAAATTGTCCCCAAACCAGAAACATACGCTGAAAAAGGCCGCGAACATTCTGTAGCCCAGGAATACCACCGGGAAACCATCACGAGATTCGCCCAGTTCTGGAATTTCGTGGGCAAAACAACCCCCGTACCTCTTATTTCGTGAAAGCTGCCCATTGAGTCCTCGTAGCTGTGATTGAAGATGTTCTGAAAGATTGCGGAAGATTCGTGCGCAAATATAGCACCCATAGCCGATAGAGCAAAGGAATACTTCAGGTGAGCGTTTCTCGATGGCCTGTGACGGGGAGTAATCTAAGGGGCCGCTTAGTATGACTTCCCAGTGTAGATGGTTGGTGATGAAATCTTGACACGGTGCGCATAATGACATGATAATTCTCAAGTGATCTTCAAAGGGTTGCAGCACAATACTAAAAAAACGAAAACTGTATATTGCTAACTGCAATAAGCCGTAGATAAGTTTGGTTGGCAAAAAGATTGACTGTTCTTAGTTAATAGCTGCCCACGTGTAAGTTACTGCATGATGAGGGTACTTTGGGGGTTGCAAGGGGCAATTTAGCCGGGTCTATTTCACAATCAAATTAAAGCTTGTGTCGATTTGTCGGTGTGTTTATACGGCTTTCTATAAATTCGTCGAGCTATATAAATTTATTAATCAATTTATATAACTTTCTATATTGAATGAGTTTAGTGATTTTAATATCGATATCGAAATTAACTCATCTTTATTTATATATCTCAAAAACTATCTATTTATTGATGAGATTCTTTTGATACAATATAATATAATATAGAATAATTAATTCAAACAATTCAAATAATTCAAATAAAACAAAATAAAACAAAATAAAACAAAATAAAACAAAATAAAACAAAATAAAACAAAATAAAACAAAATAAAACAAAATAAAACAAAATAAAACAAAATAAAACAAAATAAAACATATTAATCTTGTCACACTCAAGGATACTGGATAAAGTATCTTGTATTAGAAAATACTAAGCTAAGGAGAAAAGAAGAAGGAAAACAAGAGTAGAGAGTTTTCCTGTGATTAAATACAAACGGGGCATGCCACGTGACCCGGAGGTGTGAGGCGTCACAAATCTAAAACCCAAACTCAAAATAATTTCAGATTCTGAATTCCAGATTCCGGGTTCTGGATTCTTATAAGAAAAAAAAAAAAGATCTGAATTAATATATAGATTCAAGTTTAGATTCAGGTTCAGATTCACAATACACCGGTATTGTACTATACCATACTGTACTGGAATCGAGAATCTTTAATCGATGCCCATCACGAATCACACATCCCACATCCCACAGCACACATACACACAATCACAACACAAATCCACCAGTCTTACCAATCACACACCAAAACCCAAAACAAAACAAAAAGTAAAATCCTCATGAAATCTTTCCTCTTCTCATTGGCATCTCTCTATAAACCACGTATGTAAATGTAATTTCTTAACTCTTCCCCTAATCCATCTCTATTCTTCCCAATCCTCCCCCTTCACTCCCAGCATCCTCGTATCTGCATCACCTCTTCCCTCTCCCATCTCCCATCTTCCATCTCACATACAAACTCCGTACACTTCACCCCATCACACCATAAAATAAAACTTATAGTACATTATCAAGTTCATCATACCAATACCAATTCCAATTCCAAAACCGATTCCATTCCAATTCCAAAAGCGCAACAAACAATAACAACAAACGAATTTTAATCACAAGTAGCAGCAGTATTAAGCCACACTGAGTTCTACCATCTGCTTTAGAACCTGCTTCGTTTCATACCACCCATATTAGACACACCTTCTTAACTCAACCACCCGGGGAAAATACATCTCTCAACTCCTTCTCACTAGACAATGTATATATAACTTTCCCTCACAACTTTCTCATCGCTCATCAGATCTGCTTCTGATGACGGTCTGAAAATCATCACCCACCACTTTAAAGTAGAAAATTCTTGCAGTGCAATGCAATGCCACGTGCAACCCGACAAAGTCCCATCATAAGATAAAGAAAGTTCACTCTGTGAGATAGTGCACCGCAGCGCCATCACAAAGAAGAGAAGAACTGCAAAACACATTGAAACGCAAAACGATGCAAGTATGATATATCCCCTTTCACTCCCTCTGTTTCCATGAAAAGAGAAACCCACAAGCAAGCGAATTATATGCAAGAAGCTACATTGTGTAAATTGCACAACAATAAACAGCAAACCCCGAAAGAAATAGGGTAGCCTGACCACCTTAAGATACAATTTGCTTTAATCTTTTCCTCTCCATTCGGTATCTTTATCTTATTCCCTATCCTCATAAATTCATTAAAATGTGGTGGCCATCTCGAATTCTTTCCATGTATGTATGTAATTCGATACCCATCCCGAACCATTTTCGCAAGCAAGCAATCCAAAATAAAACAAGTATTTCCATCCACAAACTGAATCCCCAAAGCCGCTGCCACAATATTAAAGCATATTGGCTTGATTTGGGCTCGATGCACCAGCATTAGCATCCTTTCTCCCACCAGTAGGACTCATGATTCTTTCCGAGCTGGTAAAGCTTCCAGTTCTCGATCTAGCTTCTTGCTCTTCGACTTCTAATCGTTTTCTCCAATCTGCAAGACCAACACTTATATGGGGAGTATGCTCGGCGTCAGATTTGCCCGTCATAGGACGCTCGTCGTCTTCGCCGAAATTACTGAGTCTGTAGTTTTTGTTCGTTTCTTTCCATTGCGTTCTTAGTGTTTCTAACTCGGAGGCAAGACTGTCCAAGGCCAAGCTATTGCGGTTATCATTAGCGCCACCATACATCGATGATTCAGATACTGATTCGTGACCGATCGAATTTCGTTGTTGTGTAGTGTGAACTGGGGCTCCGACAATACTATCGACATTGCGTGATTGACGACGGTAATTGTCAACTGATGATTCGACTTGATCAAGTAATAAGGAAACCTTCTCTTCGGCATCTTGAGCACGCTTCTCTAGTTGAGCGTTTTCTTCTTGTAATTGACCGAGCTCATGGCGTGCTTGTTCACTGGTAGATGCCAATTGCTTTTTCAGTTCTTCATGGCTCCGCATCAAATCAGAGTGACTATTTTGAGTGTCTTGTAATTCCTTTTGAACATCTGCCAACTCCTTGTGCATCTGCGCAGCGGATGAATTGATCTCAGACTGAAGTGTTTCGATTTGACCAACCAAGCCAGCACGTTCGCTTTCCCAACTCGTAGGTGATCTTGATGCCGCGGATCTCTCCTCGGCAGCTGTGAGTTGTTCCTTTAATCGTGTATTATCTTGCTTGTATCTCGACAATTCATCCTTCATTCGCTTCAGCATTTTTTCGGTACCCTTAACATAATGCACGGCAGATTGATAGTCATTTTCAAGCTGACTCAATTTTTCGCGATAAGCACTTTCTGCCTCTTGCTCTCGGTTCTCGAAAGCTTCCTTAATTTCTTGATGTGCATGCATGCTAGCCGCAAGTTGCTGCTCAAGTTCGCGGAGACGTGCCATATCAGGCGTGTTTGAACCAGATTGAGGACTAGATAATCCTCGATTCCTTGATGCACCAACAGGACTGATGCCACGCTCACCTAAAATATCCTTCAAGGTATTGTGTTGAACATTGACCGCATTCGTCTCCAGTTGTTGATTAGCAAGCTGATGTTTCATATCAGAGTTAGCAGCTTGGAGTGATTGTGTTTCACGCATGGATGCTTGAAGTTGCTTTCGAATAGACATGCCCTCCCGACTGGCCTGCTCTTGATAAGCCTCCAATCCAGCGATGCGCTCCTCGGCACTTCGAAGCTTATCTGAAGCAGTATTCGCTGCAGCTTGGTATTTCCTAACCAAAGCATTTGAAGCTTGAACTTGTGCCTCAAGGGCCAAAAGGCGATCATCTCTTGAAGAATCATTTGGTGCGATGTTTCTAGCTGCCGAGACTCTATCAAGGCCAGACATCACAGCTTGCTTATGAGTTCGAGCCTCATTTGCGTGTTGCTCAGCTAGTTCTTCAGCATCTCGCAAGCGTCGGGTGACGGATTCTAATTCAGAAGTACGATTCTCGTGCTCAGCCCTAAGCTCGGAGAGTTTTTCTTCGACAGACTGGCGTAACGTGCGTTCCTCGTCGAGTTTTCGCTCCAAAAGATTTTTCATATCAGCCGATGATGTTATGGCTTCCCGAAGAGATTCGAAGGTCTCGCTATGATCCTGCGTGGTTTCCATTACTTCTTTATGTCGTGCTTCTAATTCATCCTTCTCGGCTTGAATAAGTTGTGCGGTCGCCACAGCTTCAGCACAAATAATCGCCTCCTCCCTAGCTTGAACCTCCAATTCGTGCAATTCTGCTTTTAAAAGCTCAACCTCGGAGGAGTTTTGTTGTTTATATGCTTGTAACTCGGTCATCCGTGCCTGTGTTAAATTCGCGGTATCTTCAGCAAGTTGTCTTCCACGCTTTTCGGCTTCGAGCTCAGCTGTGAGACTATCAACCTTGTTCTTCAGGTCTCGTTGGGATGCTAAAGCGGTAGCCAATTTTCTACTGATATCCGAAGATCGATTAATTGACATAGCTTCGATGTCTCTATTTTCGCTGTCAGGCTGTGGCGTACTGCTTTGACTCCCAGCATGTGCAGCAAGTTTTGCTTTGTGATACACTGCTTCATTGATAGCGGCATCTCGTTGTTTTTCGACTTCGGCAATTTGTTTTGCGGCAAGGACTGCTTGCTTGTCAATCGAGCCCTGAACATTAGCAAGCTCCGCTTTCATTGCTAAAAGAGCCTCAATGAGTGGTTTATCGTCATCATCGAAGGACTCTGCAGCTTTCTGGTCCAGCATGGAGTTGCTTGAAGGATTGGGTGTATATCCAGCCTTTCGTGCAAGTTCAAGCTCCGAAGCATACCAGGCATTTCTGTTTTTAGCAGCATCCAACTCTTTGAGTAATGTCACAGTTTGGGAATTTCTCGTTGAACTCCTTCGACTAACAGAATTACTTGCTTGTCTTGTAGGTGGAGGCGGCGATGCCTGACGACTTGTAACATTTCTCAGAGAAATGTCCGTATTGCTGTCCACTGAATTTTGACCACGGGGCTGTCGCTGTTTCGAAGAAGCTCTCGAACTCGTACTACCTGCTTGGTGAGCACTAGAATCTTGCCTGCTTATCGATTTTGATGTTTGATGAGATTGTCGAACATCGGAATCTTGCATTGGTATCGACTTGGTAATTTGCTGTGATTGTGATTGTGATGGTGGTGGTGATTGTGATTGAGGTGGAATTCCAGCTTGCATTTGAGGGGGAGTTTGGTTTTGCGATAGTGGCTGTTGCTGCTGTGGAGCATTTTGGAGCGGAGGACGTGGACCATTAGTGATTGGACTCTCCCGGGCTTGGGGACCTTCTTCATGTGAAGGCGAAAGCGCTCGTTGAGCCAATGCTATATTTTCCGATCTGGGATTTCGCATAGAGGTATCTATAGCAGGACCGAAGCGATTATCGGGCCTTCCTTGTCCTGGAGGACCTTGAGAATTTGGATGACCTTGCGGACCTGGTGGACCCTGAGGGTTTGGATGACCTTGCGTACCTGGTGGAGCTTGGGAATTTGGGTGACCCTGCGGACCTGGTGGACCTTGTGCACCCTGCGGACCTCTGGGCCCTCTACCATTGGGCCCAGCATTGGGACCTCGAGGATTAGGTACTTGCTGTTGTGGTGGCGGGCCAGGTTGAGGTTGTGCCGCCGATGATGCTCTCGGTAACTTCGACCCAGCTTGTGGACCTTGAGGTTGAGCCGAGCCTGGGGCGATACCATTTGAATCATTACCGTTCACATTGGGCTGTCCAGCACCTCGATTGATGGGACCCTCTCTAGGTGGACCATTACCTTTCTTTGGTTCCGGCAATGCGGAGATATCTCTAGAGCCCATGTTTCGTGGATGCAAACCACTCTTCTCACCTCCACTTGGACGTCTACTTCCGGGCACACGTTCATTCACAGCACTTTGCTGAGATTGTTGTGATGTCTGCTGGTCATTTGGATATCGAATTTTGCTTGTATCGAGGACGTAGACCGTTGAGAGATCTTGAGCCTCACGAGTTGCTGTGCTTGGCTCCCCAGCAAGAACAATAATTTGTTTGCCGTATGCTGTCATACTGTGTCCGGAGCGTGGAGAGGGCGAAGGTCCCATATTTTGGAAAGTATACCAACGCCTGGATGAGATTCTGAATGCCGCTAAATCACCTAAATCCGCACCTTCTTCAGTTCGACCACCAAAAATATACATTACATCATCCACAATTGCGGCAGCATGGCCTTCTCGAGGGGCCGGAATATACCCAATGCAATCAAGTTGAGTCCATGCATTAGTGATTGGATCGTAGCACCAAACATCGTTAAACCATTGAAAACCGTTAGTTCCTCCAAATCTGTAACAATTAGTATTCATCGGGACAATTGTCCATCTCAGTATTGAGAACTTACAGGAAAAGTTTTTCATTGAAAGTTACAACAGAGTGGTTTGTCCTGGCTGGGGGTATTTGTCCTACGGATGGTCCACCCTCATCACTATTTTGTATAAGCATTTCCCATCTGTTTGTAGGAATCTGCAATTGATTCAAATCAAAGGCAACAAGATCATTCATGAAATATCCCTCTACTTGGCCACCAAAAACATAAATTTTCGAGCCCAAAATATTTAAAGAGTGCCCATATCTTCCTGCCGGCCTGGGTCCTGCTGGTACAGCTCTTGACCATTGCCTTGTAGCTGATGATTCTTTAGCATGATTCTCGTGCGCGGGAGGATTGACCTACAAGTATTCAATAGATATAAAGTTTCATCTAGGACATCAGAATCCTCCATTTTGGTATCTCCTCCATACACAATAAATGCATTTCCCACTAGTAAACTTGCATGCCCGACTCTTGGTCCTGGACCCTCAGCTGTCGTGCCCAATGGGTAACATGCCATATTTGCACCCGCTTCTACCATCCATAGATCCCCTTTTACTGTTGAGCTGTTGATGAGACCTCCCATGAGGTATATCTCACCCTCTTTCGAGGCCATGGAGTTGACAGCGGCGCCATAACGAGGAAAAGGAGGAGGATGATTAGTTGTATATGTGATTCGTCTTTGCGACCACGGATATAACGACGAATTGGGGTTTGAATTCATTGATTGTACTGGAGGTGGTGCGCCGTTGCGCAGCTACATTAAACAACGTCAGTTAGTATTTGAATCCCCACCTCAGCAATGGGAAATGCGATTTGCGAAATTCACAAGATATTGCCAATCACTTACCGCGATGTCTTGCGCTTGCTCTGGATTGGGTCCTCGTCGAGCGTTTACCTGTTCGGGGCTTGGCGTCGTTGGATTGCCTCCCTGCAGGCCTTGCAGGGAAGTAATGGAATTATTGACACTGCTCGAAGGGGTCGTCGTCCTCTCTGCTTGTTGCGGCATACGTCCATTCGCATTTTGAAGGGATGGTTGCTGCGAACCAGGTACACCATTTCCGCCGTCCCTCAAAGCCTGAGCCTTGTCTGCATTCTTTTTACTCTTGAAGAGGAATGCCATCGTGCCATTCGCGGCCAACTACTTTCACTTCTGTTCCCAATGCCGGCGCAAGAGGGTAAATGTTCTGGACGAAGATAACGAATTGCTTTACCAACGAATGCTGTTTATGTCGGGAGATTCGAGGTTGTTAGACTGTTAGACTCGATCGGACAGTCTCAGGAAAAGGGATTAAGTCTGAGCCAAAGTCCAGGGTTCTTGCTGTTTAGAAATGGCTGGGATTGAGAACTGAAGGGGTTGATTTATTATTTTATTGAAGGTTTCCTATAAGTAAACAAAATGAAGAAAAAGTAAACAATCGAATAAAATTGGGAAGATTTGAAGTGCAGAATGGGATTATTTAAAAAAGGAATAAAGTTTGGTATATTATTATAGTTATTTAGTTGTCAAGAAAATAAGGGAGGTTGACGATGAGATATGAGATATGAGATTGATGGGTTCTCTACCTCCTACTCCAAGACGAGACGACTTTTTGGGTATGTTGGGAGTGAGTGAGGGAGTGAGTGAGGGAGTGAGTGATGGAAATGGAAATGGAAATGGAATCACGGTCGATCCTCCAAATTATTTACCGTTCTGGTCTGCACTTTTCATCGCTTGGCCTTGACCTTGAGCTTGCTTGACTTTTGGGCCGCCAGCCTACTGATTTTTCTATCGGAGATAGTAACATAGTAACTTTTAGTACCTTTGTGTTGCTCACCAACCACGAAATATCTTCTACGAAAATACCCCGTACAATATGGTAATACGCCTTGTTTTATCTTCCAAGTACCTGAGAACCACAATTTTGGAATGAGATATACCAGGGGGGAGGATCCAATCCCGTCTGATGTGAACAGATTTAGAAATTTATGTACGGGGGACAGAGAGACGAATCAATGCCCATTGCCCCATAGTGACATGGAAGAAAAGTGTATTCTCATTTGTGCTAAGAAAGATGGAAAAGTAAAGGGGGCAAAGGGAAAAGGGAAAAGGGAAAAGGGAAAAGGGTGCCGGTAGGTAATCTCACAAATCAATTTGGATGTCTCGAAGCCAAAAAAAGAAGGATGAAAATGTAAAGAAACTGAGTCAAAAATACCAAGATCTGCAGCCTCTGCTACTTATATCATATATGTATGTATGTACCGCTACCTTTGAATGTTACTAAAGCTTCTATGACATATCTTCTTTCTTTTCTTCTCCTCAACGTTTCTCTTGTTTTCCAACTTTGTGAGAATTTCTGTAGTTCATTTTTGGTCCCATCCAGCCATTTTGATGTATTCTTACCCCTGATTCTGGAGCATTGCCCCTTCATTTCTGTTCAACCCTAGGCAATTTATAGGTAGGGCTACTATGTACTCTGTCTATTTAAATACCAAAGCCCTTGCTCTTGGGTGTTGGTGGAACTTACTCGAACACCTAGGCAGAGACAACGGTTTGTTCTTCTCGATATCTTTCTTCACTTATCATTCTTCCTATTCTTCTCGAATAATTGATGGAATTTAGAGGGGTCCATATGGAAGGGGTTGAACATTGCAATAACAATAGTAAGTAGCATGTCGACACCCGTCTGAATCGCATGTAGCAATGCCTCCAAATCTAGCCAACCAAATATCACATACGAAAGCGATCATCTAATCACTGTCCCGGATTAGCAGTGCGTCGGGTTTGATTGTTGCATTAGACAGAAGATTGCTCGGTCGACGACATCTACTTTCCTATAGGTCCAATCATGACTGTGCGCTCGATCTAGAAATGTCCGGCTGCATGCTGTCACATTTCTACCTCTTCAATCCACAAATGAAAAAGGGACAGAGATCTGGGCTATATAAATATATGAAGTTGGCGATATATCGATCTTAACACGAGATCGATTTGTAGAGGTCCTTCTATTCATTCAAACTGAGGAGGATCCGGGAGAACGGTTATAGCCTCACCAATATCATTGCCTCTAACCATCTTTCGTCTGATACTCTGGGCGAGGGAGCGGATTCGACATATCATTGGTATATTGATTTGGGGGTTCACAATTCTAGCGGCTAAAATCCAACAGATCCTTCAAAGTTGTTTGACATATGACCTACATATTGGAGACAGTTACATCAATCCTGTGGTAAATGGTAATGTAATCCTTTAAGGATACCTCCTGGAACAAGGCAATTTGCCTACCTACCTCGTGGTATATAAATGATTTTGAGCCTTTGCAGACCGAAAACTCTGGTAGGTAGCGATCAGATCTCCTTACACATCTGAAAAGAGTCCGGTCACAATCTTGCATGAAATTGCGAATGCACGACCAAAATTGATGCAGTGGATGCAGGTGTCGACAGTAGTGTAGCCTAGTAGCTTAGTGGAATTGAAAGTTAAAAAGTTGGGGAAGCTGGAATGCAGTACAACATTGCAGTAGGTTGATGGAGCGGTCAAGTAAGCTTGTCCTTGGAACAGCCTTGGAAGTTGGAGCATTCCAGCTATATGTACGTGTACGGAGTACTCTGTACATACTGTACATGTACCTATGTACTTGCTGTTGATAAGGTTTTGGTGTTCAACCGGTTCGCATCTGGTCTCCTCCAGCATTCTATGTAAGAACTTAATAGGTTCCCGCGAAAGGCTTGGTCAGCCACTCTCGCCACACTATGGCGTCCATATCGGTATTGAAAGCAACCGGGATTATATCGATTATGCTAACTAATACTAATTTGTGAGGCGGTCATAACCCATTTCATCATTGGAGCTCGTGACATCCACCTCGCAATTTCGAAGGTGGTAATTTGTAATTGGGCGAGTGAGTTGTAAAATACCTGAGGTACATTAGAGTGTATTATGAATATTATATACATTATTCATATTCACATTAATATTCACAATTCAAATACAGAGTAGATATTTTATTTTACATTCACTTTGAAATATATACAAGTAATTTAGCTCCAATTGGGATTGACTCTCGAATCTCGTGGTATCGTATAATTCACCCATTTGTACGTTAGCTTTTGTAATCATTCTGATACCGTTGAACCCTATGAATTGCGGGTTTTGCTTTTTTGATATGAATTCAAGCTTATTTACCTAACGGTCATCAATTTATCTTAGAGTACCTAGGTACATACATCCACCAACTTGTCGCGAAGCTGTACCGATACCTGGACCGCCTTCTCGACCGCCTCGATTTATTCCTTTTCCTGACTTCCAACTGCCCAATGAGCGTTTGATTTTTTGAAGAAGGGTAAATTTCCCCGTCCAAGACCATGACAGCAGTTGCAGTTCAACATGGAGCTCCCCGCCAACAGTACAATCCACACCGATCAAATGCCTCTCCGAATTTAATTTCACCCTCTGGTCAACAACCTCAGCCTCAAAGTTATCCCTCCGCCACGGGGTCGAATTCAAGAGAACTGCAAAACTCCACTCCGGGCACATTAGCGACGATGAATTCGAGGCATACTGTGAGCAATGATCCAGTCCAGCCTGTCAACGGCGCAGATGCGGGATATGCATATGCGCAGGCAAATCCAGGTCGCATTCATACCGCAACGCCGAATGGATCAACACCAGCAAGCACGCGGCCGACTACTTCGGCTGGAGCTACGGCCGAATCATCACAAGAAGACTCTGAGCCAGATAGAACACGGCGCAGACCGGCCGCATTACTTCGGAGATCAAAAAGTGATTTTGGCCCGACGGTGGAAGATACAAATGTAGATATGGAAGATGATATACAAGATTGGGGGGAAAGACATGGATTTGGAACTATTTATGCATCCGAAGAGTATGTTTCGCAACTAGCAAATGTAAGTCGCTCTTTCCTACAACAGTGATATCTCGGTCCGACATTAGTCTTTCATACCTTCAAAATTACCCTTTGTATACACTCGTCAAATCTTTGGCACAAGCAAATTCTATACAATGGATCTTTTATTGCATACTTTTCTGTCCAAAGCATGGATGATTATTTTGACGTTGGGAGGTTAAGTTACTCCTCTTGTATTGAAAGCTTCGATTTCTTCTCAACTAGCCCAGATGGAGATCAGACAGGTGCAGAATGTCTCAGTGAGACATATGAATCCATGCTTGCAGCCTCAAAAGGCTGCGTCGCATCTCGTCGAGCGCATTACCACCGCCTGAAACATCCATCGAGCTGGGCACCTGGAGTGGACTATGTGGACATGGGCTTAGAGACAACTACTGACATCATACAAAAGAACTGGTACATGTACTTTACGGATAAACGACACGAAACGACGGGCAACCCTAAGTCATTGGGATATGAACTTCAGGATTGGCGGATGAAGGATCGTCTAAAGACAGTTTCTGCAGCGTTAGCAATATGCCTAAACATTGGAGTCGAACCACCCGATCAATTAAAGACTACACCCGGTGCAAAATTGGAGGCTTGGCAGGATCCCACACATCCTCCTGTACAAAAAGCTTTGGAAACGATTGGAAAATCTCTACAAGCCCAATACGAGACATTGGCCATTCGAACGAGATACAAGCAGTATTTAGACCCATCGGTAGAGGAGACGAAGAAGTTCTGCATATCACTCCGCCGAAATGCCAAAGAGGAGCGCGTTCTCTTCCACTACAATGGCCATGGAGTTCCAAAACCGACCTCATCTGGCGAAATTTGGGTATTCAACAAAAACTACACTCAGTACATTCCTGTCTCGTTGTATGATTTACAAACTTGGTTGCAAGCACCTACATTCTTCGTTTGGGACTGTTCGGATTCAGGTAACATACTAAGTAACTTCCATCGATTTGTTGAGAAGCACGAGCAGGAAGAGCTTGAGAATTCGAAGAAAGACCCAAACTATATAGTTACGAACTATAAACCTTACATCCACCTGGCAGCATGTGGCGTAAAGGAAAATCTACCCACAAATCCCCTGCTTCCTGCTGATGTGTTTACATCATGTCTCACTACACCTATCGAAATGGCATTATGGTTTTTCGTTCTTCAGAATCCACTTCCATCTCAGATCACACCAGAGCGGGCCAAAAAGCTTCCTGGTAGGCTACAAGAGAGACGAACTCCTTTAGGAGAGTTGAACTGGATATTTACAGCAATCACAGATACAATAGCTTGGACTACTCTTCCTAGGCCTTTGTTCAGAAAGTTCTTCAGACAAGATTTAATGGTTGCAGCTTTATTCAGAAACTTTCTGTTGTCACAGAGGATTATGTCGGCCTATGGATGCCACCCACAATCGTATCCAGAGCTTCCGGACACTCATCAACATCCTCTTTGGGAAAGTTGGGATTTGGCAGTGGAAATGGCTTTAGCACAATTACCATCGCTAGAGAAGAAGGAGGCAGGGCAACTTCCGGACTATGAATTTCAGAATTCCAGTTTCTTCACAGAACAGCTTACGGCATTTGAGGTTTACCTGACCCAAGGCGCTGTAACCCACAAAGCTCCCGATCAGCTTCCAGTGGTTCTTCAGGTACTTCTTAGCCAGCAACATCGAGTACGAGCCTTGATACTATTAGGAAGGTTTCTCGACATGGGTCCCTGGGCAGTAAATCTCGCTTTGAGCATAGGCATCTTCCCGTATGTTTTGAAGTTGCTGCAATCGGCGGCAGCAGAGTTGAAGCCTGTAATGGTGTTCATCTGGACTCGTGTTCTGGCTGTTGACCTCACATGTCAACAAGATCTATTGAAAGATAGTGGCTACAACTACTTTTCGAGTATACTGAGACCAAATGAAGGGCTTCCAGTGGTAGATAGCCTTGAGCATAAAGCTATGTGTGCCTTCATCCTTGCCATGCTTTGCAATGGATACAAGCAAGGGCAAAATGTCTGCAATCAAACAGACATCATGACTTACTGTTTAACACATTTGCAGAATGCAGATAATCCACTTTTGCGTCAGTGGGCGTGCCTATGCATCAGTCAACTCTGGAATGATCTTCCAGAAGCAAAATGGCGAGGCATCAGAGAGAATGCGCCCGCGAAGTTGTCTAGTCTGGTTCGTGATGTGGTTTGCGAAGTGAGAGCCGCCATGTTATATGCCATGACAACTTTCTTGGGAATCCCTGATCTGACAGACGAAGTTGCCCGGAACGAGGAGTCAATATCCTGGACTGTTATCGAAATGGCAAATGATGGGAATGCCATGGTCCGCAAAGAACTTCTAGTCTATTTCTCCAAGCTTATACATCGATATGAGAGCAAGTTTTGGGTTGTTGCATTCGAGCAATTGCAAGAAGAACGAGAGTACCGACAACACCCCCCCGTCGACGATGGGAATGATCATAAAATGGGACTCCATTATGCGAGTATGGAAAACAGAAATAAGGACGGTACCATCAAGGCCACAGCTCAGGGCTTATCACACAATTCTATCTTTGCCGTGGTTTGGAAACATGTTCTGATCATGACAATCGATCCCCATCCTGAAGTCCAGCGCAATGCAACCATCATCGTGGACTGTGTTCATACATCGCTCCTTCAATCACCTGTTGGAGTTGCAGCACGCAGTCTGTTTGACGATATAAGTCGACTTTCAGCGAAACCAAAGGCTTCAAAACAACACGTCTCCGAGCAGAGACCAAGCACACCAACGAGGCAAGATACCTTATCGAGTACAAGTTCTAGCCAGCAAGGTTTACTCAAAAGAACGGCTAGTTACCTGTTTACTTTACCGTTTGTAGGTTCCACTGGTGAAGTCACGCCCCCGGACTCAACTGGAAGATCAGGGTTGAAGTCACCAGGCCTTCAGCGGAATTCTCTGCCGATGCGATCACGTCTCCCACCAGATTTCAACACCCCACCGGAACAGAACGACATCGCATCGACCCCAGGCACATATCATGTAGCGAATGAGCCAACCTCGGGTGGATTTCAACCTCGAAAGCTGTCGGATCCGATTTCCATACCCTTGGAAAGCACTTTCTTAGAATGGTCGATTGAATATTTCCGCGAGCCCCAAATGAAACAAAATGAGGCTGAAGAGCCCGGTAGTACTGATTATAACGAACGACTTTGGCGTAGATCAAGGAATGAAGCAATCTTGCGAGAAACTCAACCTCAGAAAGAAATCGCTGGTAATGGTAAATGGACACACGCTACCGGATTCTTTAACAACTCCAGTCAGCCAACAAAAATGACTCTCCATCAATTTGAAGATCATCTTGCTGTGTCTGATGATCGTGATACAATTTGTGTTTGGGACTGGAAGAAACAAGACCGCTTGAGTCGATTCTCGAATGGGAATCCGGAGGGCTCAAGAATTAGCGATCTCCAGTTTATCAATGAAGACGATCAGGCGTTTTTGTTGACAGGGTCCTCAGATGGTGTGATTCGTATATATAGGAATTATGACTCTGACAAAAAGATTGAGGTTGCTTCGGCTTGGAGAGCTCTGACTCATCTTGTCCCAAGTAACGTTAATTCTGGAATGGTATTTGACTGGCAACAAGTGACGGGCAAGCTATTAGTGGCCGGTGATGTCAAGGTGATTAGGGTATGGGCTGCGGCAGCGGAGCTTTGCATTGTGGATATTAACGCGCGATCTGGTTCTTGTGTTACTTCATTAACTTCGGATCAGATGACAGGAAATGTTTTCGTGGCCGGTTTTGGTGATGGAGCTATTCGAGTATTCGACGCTCGAAACAAGCCACAAGAAGCTATGGTAAAGAAATGGAAGGACGAATCTGACAGGGTATGGATCAAGAATGTACACATGCAACGAGGTGGGCAAAGAGAGCTTCTCTCCGCTAGCCGTAATGGCAAAGTTAAACTTTGGGACATTCGAATGGATAAACCACTACGAGTAATCCAAGCTACAAAGGAAACCTTACGTACTGCAAGCACTCATGAGCATCTTCCGGTATTCGCTGTGTAAGTCGACTCCCTTTTTTCTCCCTCTGAATGTTACTAATTTAATATCAAGTGGCACTTCGAACCATACAGTCAAGGTCTTCAACTTCGACGGCAGGGAGCTCTCTAGAGTAGAGCCATATTCTAGTTTCCTACACCAAGCTCGTCAATCCCCGATTTCGGCCACGGCCTTCCATCCACATCGGATGATGTTAGCTTGTGCTGCGAGGGGTGATAATCATATAAATCTATTCTCGTGTGCGGAACGAAAGGTGCCATCAACAGAATATCGATATGATGGGTGAGGAAGGACGATTTGTTTAATGAAGTGATAAGATAGAAGGCGTCTTGATCGATTATCACATTGTTTGGCGTACTGGGAGTTGTGGCTAAACATGAACTGAAATGCATAACAGCGGTGCATGAATTCGACAGGCTAGTAAGGTTTTGAGGGTATCATCCCTTTTCGAGGAAATTTCAAGGGTTAATATTGGCCCAGGCGTTGAGAGGCATATCATGAATTGGTTTGGGACTTAATTGGCATGTATGTTCAGCATGATTTGGGTTTTGGCTTGCGTTTGGTACTTGCATCTATCTGGCTGAATTATCCTTGGCTAGATTGAGGGGTGGAGAAGGAAGGGATGTTGAAGTGAAGTGGAAAGGGAAGAATGATTTAACCCCCACCCCCCGGTTTTTCTTTTCAGGTGATGCCTTAGGTAATTATTAATAGTGGTCGGTTTGCTGTATGGATGCATGTATGTAGAAGTCTTTGGCATGCTTATTATTTTTATATATTATCTTTTATTGTATGGTTTAAGATTGTGATAATGATTATGTGCTGTATATAATGATGTGAAATACTTGTATAAATGAGTGATTTATAAAGTTAAGGTAGATGGATAGATATATATTTAATATAATTAGTATTTTATAATACTATCATTTTTGTATTTATTTTTCTGGATTATATAAAGAATCAAGTTGAGATAGAATTGAAAGAAATTGGGGGGGTTTTTTGCTAGCTTTCTTATAAACTAGATCAGAGTATTTGAGTAGATTGTAAGATCTTATTAAAAGATTGGGTGGAAGAGGCCTCTATATTGACTATATTACTACGTCTGTAGGCATATTAAGATCTCCTCTTGGTATCCTCGGAGGGGACCAATATGCCTGCTTATGGTTCGTCTAATCTAGCCTGTTTAGGTAACCGTATTACTAATCACGACACGTGATTAGTACCGGTAACTTCTATTCCTTTTAACAGATCTTAGGTTTGTGGATTTGAAAGTGGAGGAAATAGTTAATCGAGGTTGTAATTGTAGATTCATTTGTATACCTACCTAGGTAGATGATATTAGATTTTTATTAGTTTTGTCGAAATGTTTATGGATATAGATTGTAATTGTATCTTATAATATTGAGGAAAAAGAAATTGTTTATCTGGAATTGATGTAGCAAGTTAATAGGCAGATATTTATTGTGGTAGAAATAAAATATTGATTTAGGATTGTATTCACTATATAAGTTTTAATCTATTATTAATAAAATCTTATATTAGGCAGATAAATATACAGTACATTGCTGTATAATATTAGACGAGGTTTATATAATATTGTCCAATATTCTTGGGATTTCTCTCTATAAAAACAGCTTTCTTTACCTACTGCTAATGCTTGTTTCTTCTACAGTAGATTCAAAACTTTTATTGAAGATTTATTTTTCTATCACAAAGTAGTTTTTGAAGAAACAAATAAACTTCTACCTTCTGGCTTCTAGAGGAATATTCTGTTAAACTTAACCTTACTACTTCCTGGAGGACAGTTTGTTGACCTCCTAGGATCTTGGCAGCATATGCATATATATTGCATGATGCATATAAGGAGCAAACAAAACTCAACTTTTAATTCATTCTTTCCTTTTTGGTATACTGTTTGTTTGCTTTCAATATTTTGATTTCAAAGCACTTTAATTCCGAAGGCTGAATACCTAACCTTATTCCTTCATTTTTTTTTGAATATATACTCGCAGCTTAACTGCTTAGCTAGAGGATCAATCAATTCAATCTGATACTCTTTCTGGTCTTAAGAAACCCAACACAGTTCCTCTCACCAATATCAACTTATATTATCCAATAACTCCAATAACGAGATGATACAAAACAACCAGATACCAGCCTGGTGGCAAACCAGCGAGTTGACCGAGCTTGAATAAGATGAGGGTAGAGAACAATATATCGCATCAATACTCAGCTCCCCCGAGCAACCCCCAGCTCCAAAGAATCTCGAAAATCCAAAATCAAACCATATCCCCGAATACATATTTATCAAACCCCTACACGCAAACTCAACTCGCCATCTCGAACAACTTTCCGTATTCCCCATATCCCGCACACGATTCTTAAGTCTACCTTTATATCAACAGAATTTGTATACCTGGGGTGTGCAAACAATCCCTTTAGATGATATGTTTGGGGTGGAATTTTTGAAGAATAGTTGTAGTGCTTGTGGAATTGATTTTGAGAATTTACAGTTACCTGTTGATGAGCTGTGGAGAGCGGGTGTATTTTCGTCTTCTTCGGATTTGATAGGATTGTTGCGGGGTTATACGGATGAGGAGTTGGGAAGTGATGGGTTTAGGAAGGCTGTGGGGTTGCTGCCGCTGAGGAAGGATATTTTTGGTTGTGATGAGGTGGAAGTACTGGGTTTGGGAGATCGAAACAGGGTTTTGGAATGGCCTGGGACTCAGGAACGTCGAAATCAGGAATTACCGGATAAACAGATTATCTGCAGTGGTTTTACAGCCAAAGGAACTACCAAACGATATTGGGTCTGAAGTTGCGTCTTCTGGTGATCGCACGCTACCTCCTACAAAGGATCGTTTTATGAAGATAATTTCTTCTACTTCTCTTCATGGAGGTAAGAAGTATATCTATAATCCATCTCTTCTCCGCCGTCCGATGACTTCACCCGTCCCGACTGAGGACTCAGGACGCTCTCTATGTGCGCAGCATGATTCGAGACCTAGATCTATATCTATATCTGAGGGCGAAAGTAGTACAAGAAATGACGACACGAACCGTCGCTACTCTACATCTAACATACCTCGAGATGATACGTGGGGATAGTTTTTGCCGATCACAAGCCATGCGCAATCGTTCTGGGATTTCGGCAGGCGGTAGTAAGAGACTAGATAACATACATGATCTTTGGTAGGCTGCTGCTTGGAATAAAGATTCAATGAATATCGAAATTCCGGTGCTCAATTGCTCAACAAGGTCGACCTCCAGTCTACCAACTCAGACTCCGGTAGAATCAAAGTCAAGCACTTACAAGCTGGGGCCTGGAACCGAATCTATATATATAAGTACCTATTGACAGACCGTCTAGCGCGGACAATACACTATCAATTTTCGATTCTAATCACTCTGATATATCTAGCTAACGCCGAAGACGCGGTGGAAATCAACACACCTTTATCATCCTACCGGAAATAACCTAGAATCCAAACATGAAATACTTCTCCGTTTAAATCTACCGACTGACGGACGAAAATCCATGGGTAAGCATACATCTATTCCATCACTTATGAACAACATACGCGCCAAGCACGCAGGAGTTACTAAAGACCTGCGGAAATCTCGGATTTTATCTCCTGCACTCTAGTGCGTAAGGCGTGCTGACTGATTTTGCTCATTTGGGGATTTGTAAGTTGGGATTTTCTATGCTATCGTTATATACTTTGTATGAAAAGTGTGATGCTAATTTTCTGTTTTTTGATAGCTGATATGTAAGGGATAGAGCTGGGTTCAGAGTCAGAGTTGGAATTGGAATTGGGAGGAGATATCGGATGATGGGGAAATGAGGATTGTGGAGTACTGATATTAAGGAGGAGAAGGAATGGTGTTACTGAAGTGGGCTGGTATGCTATAGTGCTGATGCCGTAGGGTGGATAGGATATATGAGGAGGGCAGAGAGGTCATGGAAGAAGCTATTCTTTAGAAATAATAAAGTTGGAAAAGTGGGAGGAGTCAATATGCGAGCTATGAAGGAGAGAGTAGCGAGACCATGGTGTATTTGCGGGGAATTAGTAGCATTTCAGGGTGGGAGAGCTAGCCATTTTGAATATTAAATCTTTAATCAGTTGTTGCGGCGGCTATAATATAAGCTTGCACTTACTGTTTGAATTTACTTGTACTTTTAATGATAATTTATGACTTCTGTACAAGAACTCGAAGAGTACATAGATTGTTTATTTTAAAACCAGTCTAGTACTCACATAGATCGTGGCAGAAATAAACCCCTCCTCATGCCTTACCTCCAACGCTAGAACTCCAAATACACAACCATACAATAACCGGGAAGCGATCAATTACCATGCCCAACCAGCCATAGCACCCCCTACACAGATTTAGCACCACTCGTCATCCATGCCTGATATTTTCAGCCAGTCATGGATCTCCCCGAATAACCGCGGACTTCCCCACGAAATGGCTTAATGGCAATCACTTCACGGGGCTGTACTTTTCTCCCACAAGTAAGTGAATTACGTTAAGGGCGCAATAACTAACCCTGCTTATTTTCACGGAAATTTCTTGGGATTTGGAGAAATATGTACTACCGATATGTGAAACGTCGTCATCTGGCTTAAGATAATGCAGGTTTCTGAATAAGCATCTGTAGGAGATGGGATTTAGAATGAAATCTCAATAGCGCTATCGTTAGTATATGTGGCGTTTTCATCCACAGGTCTAGACAATCTTCCTTAATTGTCTGATTATAAGTGGCCGCTATGTGGATCTGCAATGGCTGGAGTTATGACATAGCTCTACCATTGAGGAGTGTATCTTGAAATTTTCGCAGGAGATCCTTTATTTAGTCCCCTTCAATCAATGGGTCATGTTTCTCAAGCCTGGATTTTGATAACCTAAGAAAAAGAAAAAGCTGAACATTTCATCCCAATTGTGACTCTTGCATTGGGCGCTCGCCCGTTGAGATAATGAGTAAGTGCCTATGGCGTAGAGATCGAGTAAGTGATACCACCTTCCTGCGGTGGAAACGACTACTGACCTCACTTCCATGTGCCTGATATTATCAAGAAAATGAAATTACTACTTTCCATCCAGATCAGATTGTGGGGTACAATGCCAAAGCACTAATCCTGGCAGCATGTTATTTCATGAGACATTTCTAGCTATTAATACAAGCTGTATGATGTGAGCATGTGTCTGAGACTTAGTGTAGCCACAGTGTCCGAAATCTGGTGTAGGACAAATACATAACGCCCCCGTCCTGTTGAACTGATGGCAAAACAGCTGTAAAATGCAATTCCGACACAGTCTTACTAAACGTCCTCATGCAGCTCGGCGCAGGCTTTGACTGTGCATCTGTAGAGGAAATGCATACCGTCCTATCTTTGGGTACTCACCCCAGCAGCATTAATTTTGCAAATCCATGCAAGGCACCCGAATCCCTTGCTTTTGCCTATAAAGTCGGCATTAGAAAGACGACCTTCGATAATCTCGACGAGCTTGACAACATAAAGAAATACATGCCCAACGCACAACTACTGCTTAGGATATATGCAAATGATAGTAGTGCTGTTGTTTCTTTGGGGGATAAGTATGGTGCTCCACTTGAATCGTGCCATGCGCTTCTTGTACGTGCAAGAGAGTTGGGTATGGATGTTGTGGGAACGACTTTCCATATTGGTGACTGAGCCTTCGTTAAATGATCCAAATTCTACGGGACTAACTGTCTCAAGGATCCTGTGCTTCAGACCCTGACGCAATTCGAGAAGCAATTGCTCATTCAATTAGTCTGGAACATTGCACAATCTTTGGGATTCTCCCTCAAGATTGTAGATATCGGAGGAGGATTTCAGTCCACAGAAACTGCATTTTGTCCAATGGCCATAGCTGCATCTAGCGCCATATCTGAGGCATCATTCCCAGAGCAAACAGAATTTATCGGAGAGCCCGGTCGCTTTTACGCGTGTGGCGCATTTATACTTGTTTGCCGGGGTCATATCCCGTCGAATTTCGACGGGACCGACAGCTTCCAAAGTATTAGAAATGCTCTATCAAAACGATGGGGTATTTAAAAGTTTCATGAATGGGCTTACAGAGAAAGAAGTGTTTGCACCAACCTTGATTATGAGCAAAATCGATGGTAATGTAGCAAGGAAGACGGGTGAACATGCCTATATTATCTGGGGTCCAACATGTTCCAGCACGGATTGTGTCACCCGCAGAGCTACTTTCCCGTGCGAGGTTAGGGTTGGTGATTTTTTGGTATACAGAAACATGGGAGGTAAGAGCTCGCGCGGGTTAGCTGCTAACAATGTACTGACGGACAGTGCAGCATATACTTCAGCTACAGCGACACGCTTTAACGGATTCTCCAGTCAAGCAGGTACTATCTACATTTGTAGACGTTCCAAGAATTACGCGCAAGCTGAAGAATGCAGTAGTGGGGAGGAAGATTGCTCGAAAATGGCGAATGCATTTAAAACTCCTACAGTCGAATTATAATATTTCTAGCATTATACTAAACTATAGGATTTATTTCTTGCTAAGAGTACTTCTTAAGCGAATTATTCATTTCTTAACAAGTGATCGGTAACATTCATTGATCATTAAGGTGCTTCTTAGGGGCTTTTCGAAACATGGGAGGAAAGTATGTAATTTAACACCCTAATTTATGTACGTCAGCTGGAATTTTCTTAGGATACAATTACATAGGAACCAAATTCAAGGTTACTCCAAAAACTTTCAGATTTCTATAATCGTATAAATCTGTGCGAAAAAAAAGTTTTCAAGAGCTCAGCGATGTATGTTAGATATTTTATAGCTAGAGCACCAAGGCTTTTTGAGCATTGAAAGACCTTAAACAGACACTGCAGTCCAGGCTACTGGATGCCCTGCATAGTTGATTCTCCTCCAGAAAGAACATTTTCTATGGGGCTTTGGGGCAGTAGTTGTAGACGGCATTTAAAGCCTAATTGCCGCTCTTAAAAATGCGGAGCGTGCCAGGCGAGGAAACTTCCAAATAAGTAAATGGAAAAGGGATACTTGCCGATACTATCAGTGCTCGGCTTCTCAAACATGAGTGTATACGTTGAAGCACCCAAAAGTTGCAAAAATTGAATAAACGGCGTAGATCATCTGCTGCACAAACTTTGGTTGCAAATATCAATAGGCCAACTTCCTGTCGAAGTGACACGATTACAGATGGCGCAATTCGCTTGAGATCAACACATGTCTGTGTAGACCATTCACGCTATGCGTGCTGATGCCATTTACTTGTACCAAATATCTGCCGACCACCCCGGATACGTGTTGTTGGGATTTATGCGGAAGATCCGCCCATGAGGTGAAGAAGTGCAAGCTCAAAACCGCGGAGACTATTCCAGATGTATAGAGCCAACGGCAACTCCACCTTCAGCTTTTTTGATCACGACAAGATGCCCCACCTAGAAGAAGAAAGCAACATGATAAAATGCAAAAGATTTCAAGATGCCATTATGAAGTATGAAGCATATTACTCTTCATGCTCAGAAGAACAAGCCAAAAGCAATGACGTAGATTTTGATATCGCGATGAGATCCCATGTACCAGTTGATGCGCAGCATAATATTCTGATTGACCGGTGTGTGTGTCAATTTCCCTACCATAATTAAAGAGTAAAGGTCCCAAAAATGATATTTCAATATATATGTATAGGAAATTGAAGTTGTTGTTGCAATTGTGAGTGATCTGAATGATGTCTAAAATCCGATACCCCTGTAAAAAGCTATGACCTTCGCTCGCGCTAAAATTCTTACTCATACCATGATCATAACTTGTCGAAAGTACCCCTCCATCCTTTTCTATTTTGTTCATGAACGTGAGTATTACCACTCAATATCACTAGATACCATAGTCAATTACTTCACAATTATAAATATGGCTGAACCTAACAAAGAAATCCCAACGGATCCCTCCATCGCGCCCGGAGGTGCTCCACCTGCAGGAGAAGACCCCGCACAACCTTCTAAGAAGGGAGCAAAGAAAGCAGAAGCCAAAGCGAAGAAGGAGGCAGAAAAGGCACGCAAAGCCGCCGAGCAAGCTGCCAAACAAGCTGCCGCCGGATCTGCTGCTTCTGAAGACCTCGCAAAAGATAACTACGGACAAATCAAACATACCACAAAACTCGAAGCCGAAAGTGTACATCTGAGGGAGATCGGAGAACAACATATTGGCAAGACGATTAAGGTTCGCGCATGGATTCAAAATGCACGAATGCAAGGAGCAAAGATGGCGTTTGTGGAATTGAGAGAGGAGGGCAATTGGACGGTGCAGGGAGTTGTGAGTGCCAGCGCGGAAGGGAAGCCAGTTAGTAAACAAATGGTCAAATGGATTGGAGGCTTAAAGCTGGAGAGTTTTGTTGCGGTTGAGGCTGTAGTACAGAAGCCATTAGAGTCTGTCAAGAGTACCAAGGTGTCGAACTTCGAATTACATCTCGCAAAGGTCTACTTGGTAGCTGCTGCTCCTGAGATGTTGGGTTTGGGTTTGGGCCCAGCGAGCAGGGCTGTAGGGAAGTTAGATGAGGAAGAGGATCTAAGTGAAGCTGCTGCAGGTAAATTTATATACTATTTCTATATTCATTATTGGGCTAACAAATCCATAGGGCTTAGTGTCACAGAAGGTACCCCGACTGCCAGTTTGGCCTCCCATCTCAACAATCCTGCTATGCATAAGCGAGCGCCTGTCAGCCAGGCTATTGCTGATATTCGAATTGCTGTCGAGGACTACTTCTGCGATTACTTGAGAAGCCATCGTTTTAAGAAATTCCATCCTCCTTGTTTGATCGGAGCTGCTTCCGAAGGTGGTGCAAACGTATTCAGAATGCCATACTTTGATAAAGAGGCATATCTCGCCCAATCCCCACAATTCTACAAACAGTTTGAAATAGCAGGAGGCCGAAAGAGAGTTTACTGCGTCGGGCCTGTTTTCCGTGCAGAGAACTCGAATACTCCAAGACACATGACTGAGGTAAGAAAAGCCCCTTTTGAAAACGTTCAGAATGTTAAATATATGTCTAGTTCATTGGTCTCGATTTGGAAATGGAAATCGACGAACATTATCACGAGGTCTTGCACATGCTTGAAGGTGTCCTCCTTTTCATTTTCCGTAACCTTGCCGAAAATTACCGCGAAGAAATCGAACTTATCCGCTCAATATACCCATCCGAAGAATTCCTTCTCCCCGAAGCTGGCAAGGAAGTCCGTCTCACTTTTGCCGAAGGTCAAAAACTCCTTCGTGAAGAAGGCCCCGAAGAATTTAGGAACGTCAGCGACACAGAAGATATGAGCACGCCTCAAGAAAAAGCTCTCGGAGCACTGGTTCGCAAGAAGTTCAATACTGACTTCTATGTCCTCGACAAGTTCCCCGTCGATGCTCGTCCATTCTACGCAATGCCTGACCCTGAAAATCCTGCTGTCACAAATGCATATGATTTCATGATGCGAGGTCAAGAAATCCTAAGTGGTGGTCAAAGATTGCACTTACCAGAGCAATTAGAGGAGGTTATTAGATCGAAAGGATTGGATCCTAATCAACCTGGTATCAAAGAATATGTAGATGTATTTAAGAGTGTGGGTGTGCCACCTCACGGTGGTGGAGGCATTGGCTTGGACAGAGTGGTGGCTTGGTACCTGAATCTGCCAAGTGTGCATTTAGTCTGCGATTATCCGAGAACACCGAAGAGATTAAGTCCTTAGGCTCTTCGGTGTATAAACCATGGAGTTACTGGAACGATACCATAAACCCAAGCAATTGATCTTTGGTAGTTAAATATTGGCCTTAGATTATCAGAATAGATGAATGAGACAATTTTGATATCGTATCCGATCAAAGCCAGGGATCAAAACCAGGGATCAATAATTTAACAACGCCAACTGGCCTCGAAGCATCTCAGTCAATGCGGTAGCAACGAAGTGAGACTCGGGAAGATGTTGCCAAAAGAGCAACAAGCCGACGAGAAAAAAAACCCAGAAGAAATCTATCAAAAACCATTTCAAGGAGCTAGGATCTCCCATCATCAAACTTTCCTGTGTGATGTGTGGTGAGTTATTGAACACCCCATTAGAATTGTAGTTTTCAGAAATCATTCCAGTCCATCAAAGCCAGGCAGGATATTTTACTAAGTGATATAGGGCATCTGGTGGTAGTACACGGTATAAGTTGAATTCTTTCAGGCGATCAGAAGATAGTGAATAATCGTAAAATTCTTTGCTATTATGAATATTCAAGATGACAACTCATAGATAAATAAAAGAAAAAGATCCAATGTAGTCAGCAAAAGTATCAAAAGCAGATATAAGCCTTACATCCTGATATAAATTTTCATTTTCTAAGATCTTACATTTCAAAATAAACCACGCGATGATATATTTTAACATCTTTCAAAGCAAAAACAGCATAGACAAATCAAGAAAAAAAAAGAAGAAAAAAAAAGAAGAAAAAAAAACTCCTAACGACACAATTCATCTAACTTTCTCTTCCTTCCTGCATGCGTCCGACTACTCCAACCTTTCCTCACTATCTTCCTCATAGCAGCTAAATAACGAATTCTCCTCGAATTTCTCACTTTCATTTTTGCTTCTCTTCTTTCTTTGGTAAGTTTGCTGATTAAGCTCTTTATGAACAATTCCTGTATATTTCTTTTTTGATTTTCGGATGTGGTTGTAGTGAGTTGCTTATCTCTCTCCTCTGTACCCGTACTCGTGCTCGTACTTGGTGATAGAGAATTAGTGGGTTGTGGGATGGTTTGTTGTATATGCGTATCCTTATGCATATTTGCTTGTAGTGCCGAAGTGAGATTATGGCTAGATGATGCAGCGGTCTCTGTGCATGGATTTTTAATTTTGGAGGTGGTTTGGTGGGTTTCTGGTTTTGCCGCAGAGGTAGTTGCTGGAGAGACATCTATTGTTAATGCATTTCCCTCTAGAAGTTCGATAATCTCTCTAGTGGGACTTGGATATCGACTAGCTGTAGATTCGCCTTGTGTAGTAGTTGAAATAATGGATCCTTCAAGCTTTCTCGTCGAACTGGCAGATGGTTTTTGTTGCGATCTCTTGAGATATGATGCGAGGCTAGAAAATGACCTTTTGAGTATCGTGCTTGTTTCCTTTTTCTCTGGCTTTTGTACCTTGTGGAGATTTTCGTCCTGCATTTTTTGAATACTTTTATATTAATGGGTGAATAATACCGGATGTGAATACTTTATTGTGACTTGTGGGATTTTGTTAGGGTTGTGTAGAGTGCGGAGATTTACAAGTGATTAGATGGAAGGTTTGTTGTAGTTGAGCTATGTAAATATTAGTACGGTGGTTTGGCGGATGCATTGTTTACAGGAATATAAATGGCGATTAAATTTAGTTGGTTGGTTCAGATTGGCGTTGTTTTCTACTTATTCCAGGACTTCATTCTGAGTATTCTGATTTCCATCATCTTCGATCGTTCTGTTCGTCAGATATGCATCCGCCGTCAAATCGCAACCATCGTTGCCCGATAACATGCCTCGATCTTTATGCACTCAAGCACTTGAGTCGAGTCTTCCTTATGGTTCTTGTCACTGTTCTTAGCGTCTTCAGCTCCGTTCTTCTCTCACTATCACACCCCAATCTCGCCACTAATATCATACTTTCTCGTCTCGATCCACCTCATGTATTGTTCGAGTCCCCATTCCACCATTCTCTTCCCATTTTTTCCAAAGTACCTCTCCAGGGAATCATGCTCACCTCACTCACCCGCTCAAATTTTCATCTTTTTCTCTTCACTACCTTGAAATCCTTTCCACAGACTCTTCGCATCGTTAAGCATTAGCTCAAGTCCCTCTTCAAACACTTTGATCTCGATAATACTAGCGCACCATTCATCATACCTTCGTCAAACTCTTCTTGTTGCCCCTTATCTTGAATCTGTGATAGTGATAGTGAGAAGATGAAGCTCGTTGAGGTCATAAAGTCGTCAGATATACATCAACTAGTGCAAAGAAGCTCAACGTAAACTTTTAGGATGAAATGATTCGTGATTTGGAGATCGAGATGCTTCTAGTGAAGCGAAGAAGTTCCATCGGAGAAGCTGGATAATCCACTAAACTGTTTGGATCTTGTTCCTACATTTATTTTCCCTACTTTTCACTGATAGATGCTTTGCTGACTTCTTTTGGCGTCCATCGCCAGATCGGGTGGGAAGCCAATCAGAATGAGAGTCATCTCCCCAAATTGGATACTCACTTCCGTCATCCGCGTCACTACTCTGTGATGATTGATTCCTGTATTTGGTATCAAATCCACCCATATCAACGTCGCCACCTCCCTTTCTATGGTTCTGATGATCATGAAAGAATCCTTTAAGAGAACAACTGCTATTAGGGTTAGTTGAAGCGCCAGGGATGAGCTGCAGTGCTACACTAGTTTGTGTGTTTTTATTGACAGGCTCGCATGGTTCTGCCTGAGCAGATTTCAGACCGGTACTTGACTTTGGAATAGCACGCTTCGCATCTTGCTCTATGACGTGCTTACGAATACATTCTGCGCGTTGATCTACCCATTCCTTGCAGCTAATCACCCAAGGGTAGGGTGAAATTGAAAAGTCTGGATTTTATGACGTAATGAAGTTACTCACACGACAAGTGAGATAGTTTACGCATTGGCAATACTTCCAAGGACCCTGAAAATCTGAAAATAAACCAGCTGCATTAGAGTGGATAGTTCGACCTCTAGCAGGACCTGGAAATTGAGCAAGTTGTTGATGCGAGGAAGAAGATGAATAGGTATGTGAAGTATTCTTGGAAAGACGGTTGTTGACTTAGTGTTCACTACCACGGATATAAACGAATGTCTCAAGCTTTAAAACATCTTCAACTGTTCACTGCTGCAAACCACGGGATAGCTAAATTAGAGGGTTAGTCCTTTTGTTGGGAAAATGCGAAGGAGGAGGCACATACAATGTCTTCACACTCTTTATCTGAAATGCATGAGATTTTTGAAGTGGTATTATTTCTATTTGCTATCAATGCAGCTTCAAAGACGGCTCGCTGGAGAGTGAAAGATGTAAGGTTAAGGCAATGGCTGATCATGGAAGTAAGTATATATCCGTTCCGGCTAAAATTTGCCCTATGCTTGTAGCTCAAATGCGGATGAGAGTGTTGACACTTTATTGTGCGTCTACCGTTGCTCGGATTGATAAAGTCGAAGAGTCTCCAACTGCTGATTAGGCTTTCTGTATTCCGCTCCCTCCATTTCATAAAATGGTTTATGATTGTTATAAAAATCCGTGCGTGTGATCGAGATATAGGCAACGATATGTTCAATCTGTTGTTATAAAATCTTACTTTGAATTCACCAGGAATTCTTCGGTCTTTACAAGTTCCAAGATACCCAATAATCTCTTTTTGGACAACTTTAGACAATAAAAGAAGAGAGCAGAGTCCTTAGTTTTGAATGGATATAGATAACTACGCGAGGTTTAATCTTTATTGGGAGCAACAACTCTGATTGAATACCAAGAGTATTGAGAAAGATACTACATACCTATATATATATGTATACACTTGTATTTCTGGAGTGAGTCTACTGCTTCTGGTTATTGGCTATATGGAAGTTCAATGTAATCATATAGTGGGACAAATATATAAACGATTAAAGAACAACTATAGAAGGAATAAAATAGAGAAGATAGATAATAAAAGATATAAGTCTAGTACCCTACTTTCCGGCCACCCCTAATTCCGGCCACTTTTCCTCACCAAAAATGACGAAAATCGACTTTTATAACTTTCTTATTTATGGATATAATTCTTTGAAATTTTAATTACAAATTTTTTGTTTATATAATAATACATTCTGAAAATTTCAGATTTTTCGCAATTTTATTGCTTGAGAAATTGAAAGTTGAAATTGTGATTTTTAATTTGTGTAGGATTTATTGTTACGACGGCTTCGGATCTCGTATCATGTAACCAATTATGTAATCACATGGTCCCTTAGATCCCCTCGGTCTCTTGATCGAAGGGACCGAGGGGACCAAGGGGACGATTAGCATGAAGGTCTATATAACCAAGATGGATTTCCTTTGCATAGAGCTTCGTGCTCAAGATCAATCATTTAGTATACTCTACTATTAGTTACGAATTGCATATCATTATTGTCATTACTTAAGTCCCTGCTTGACGCCTAGTTATAAACCACCTCGAGAGCCTAGAGCACTTCCACGTGATCTAGACGGCAAACCTCGTAACAATTATTCACTTATTTTGAGTACTATTATTATCCCCTATCCTACCAACACATAAATCTCATATTAATAAATAATAAATAATAAATAATAAATAATAAATAATAAATAATAAATAATAAATAATAAATAATAAATAATAAATAATAAATAATAAATAATAAATAATAAATAATAAATAATAAATAATAAATAATAAATAATAAATAATAAATAATAAATAATAAATAATAATTTTATATTCTTCATCCCATCTAACCCATCCTATATCGTCCACCAGTGGTCTTTTAACCAGACAAGAAATCAGAATAGTATAAGGGATAGGAAAAAGATTTATTATTCATTTCATCAATGATCAATCACTCCACTCCAACTCAACTCCACTCCACTCCGTAGAAAATATTAGAGAAAATCCCGCCAAGAAGAGAATACGTGTTTAATGATAAGAATGGATACCTACCAGGAGACTGGATGGAGCCCGGTGAAATCATGGTGATACTTTCGAGAACCGAGGATGTAAGTTACTACTGCTACTGTACTAGACATATATGGAGCACGTATGTACGTAAGTATGTATGAATGAGGATGGATGTGCACTGGAAAAGAAGCTGCCTCGGTACGAGCCAAGAATGACACGAATGTTAGCGGTATAGCATGGGAATATACTTTTTAGCAGCTAAACTATTCTTATTTATGATGATTTTGCATGGTCTCTTTACAGTGGCGTTGCTTCCAGTCGATCAATTTTTCAATATATGCAGCAGTGTGCCAGATTCTAAATCAAATCCCATGCTGGGTATCATTCATTCAACTTTCGATCTCATCGCTTCAATATCGCACTTCATTGACTAAATCTGTCCTGGTATCCGCAATGCTCTATGCTCAATCCCACTCTCATTCCTCTCGCCGGACCCGACATTCATCTCGTACAAATAATCATCGATCAAGCTACCGGGCTCCAAGGCATTGGAATCAGCACACGACTCTTCATATTTTGAATCAATGGCACAGTCTTGTGAACTGTGTCACCCCAACCCTCAATCTCCCAACTTTGCTCTCTTCTCTTCTTTCTTTCTTCCAGATCAGCAAACTGCCACAAATGATGTACAGTATTTAGCTCTCCAATCTGTACAAACCAAGCTCCAACTCCTTCCATGACTTCTCTACGAGCCTTGAGACCACGACGCCAGTGGGTCTCCCATTCTAAGAGATTACCAGGGTGCAATGTGTAAGAGCGCAATTCAAAGAGACCACCAAGTTGACGTGGGGCAGTGGTAGGCCAAAAGGAAAATTCTTGCATGAGAGATACGTTCTTCTTCGTGATGAGAGACTTAAGCTTCTTGTCGAATTCAGCGAAATTGGGATGCGATGCAATACTGTGAAGAGAGTCGTGGTAACCGTGATATCTTTGATATTCCCAAATGTGAACTATCATCATCAATCATTATTAGTGTCTCTTGTTTGGATAAGATCTAGGAGCAAACGGAAGCTGAAAACTTACCAAAAGTATCACAATCGCCAACTTCTGTTCTCCAGCTTCCAACCAAGTGTACTTTATTCTCTTCCATACCCGCCATCTTTGGATACCATTCGCCAACCAATTTGACATATTCATCAACCTTATCTGGTTTCACCTCATGGAATACAATCGAATGAACATATTTGCCTCTCGCCAAAACCTGACTGAAACTTTGTTCAATCTCCTTGTCCATTTCCCGACCTTCTGGGGTACCATAAATCAAGCTACTTAACTTTCCCTTCTTCTCGCCATTTCCGTTTGCGTGTTCTGCTCCGCTTAGTGCTTGGCCTGCCGAAGCAGATGTTTGAGCTTGGGAGGAAAGGTTGGACTCACTTGCAGCTTCTTTCTTACGATGTTGATCTGCGATTCTTTCTCGAAATTCTTTCTGCTTTGCATCGAATGAGGCGACATCTTGAGGGGTAATATCTGCTAGGGCTGGAGCGCGGGAGAGAGTGGTAGATGTAGTCGTGAAAGCTCGAAGAGGTTGGCTCAAGATAGAGCTGCGTGAGATACGTCTTGTAAACATCGTGACGATGCTGATTGATGATTGTTAGAGCTGGAGAAGCCTGGCTGATGGATGTGCAGTTTTCGTGATTGAAAGCTGTAGCACTCGGAGAAAGGTGAAGAAAAGAATAGTCGATTGGTCAATTGAACTATTGAGATTTTAAGTTTCAATTATTATCCGATTCTTGTAATATATCGCTAAGTTTGGATTTCCCAAAGTGTGGTATGATGTTGATGTCGTCGTCGTTGTCGATTTACCTCGTCTCGTGTCGTTTTCGAATGCAAAGCAGAAATGATTTTCGATACTATCTCTTAAAGAATTGACGTTATCTCCTCCTATTCTTTTCGGAGATGCAATCAACAGAAACAAAGAAAGATGGAAGCTGCAAAGTAGGTAGGTTTAAGAGGTTTCGTAGCACAAGGACTCATGTAATTGGATTAAAATGATCGCAACAATGGCAAGCTTTCTAGATACCCCGCACTTTTTGAATTCTTGTCTCCTTTTAAAGCAAGAGCGGCGTGTCAAATGAAAAGACAATGCAGGAAGGTTGAAAATTGGATAGGTAATAATAATAGATTGGTTACAAGTTTGTGTGGTTACAATTTTGATGTATGAAGAGAGAGAAAGAGAGAAAGGTGGCTGTACCGGGTAACATATATGAACTTAAATGAGGGAAATAGGACCAAAGGAAGCAGTGACGAAGTGAGGAGTAAACAAGGATCTGTGGCTCCATTTTGAGTGAATTGAGTGAAGGCTTGAGCTCTTGTGGAGACCAATTGCAATTGAGAATATAAATTATTTGTATGGGGAAATTGAAGCTGAAGATGTCCTTGGGCGTGTAATGAGTTGTCACATGTTTTGTGTGACGATAAGACTAATCTGAGTTGGGAAGTGAGCTCCTTTGGCCTAAAATCCAAGGCATCAATAATTCTCATCATTCATCCGACCTGATGCCCACGCTAACCTAAATATGCTCTAGCTTATTTGCATTGCGGCTCTTGCCATACCTACTCAACCTCACTACACTATCAAAATTACCACCACCTAACCTCCATCCAATCCTCCGGTACATTTCCAATCGTATCCCACAGTACAATATCACAATGTCTTGGTTAGGAAAGAAGTTCCCTGCGCCTATCGGTATGTTAAACTCTTGAATTGAAGGCCGTGAAAAGCTTTCGTTCCGTACTTTTCCGATGTTGATGGAATGTTCGCTAATGAAATTGTGTTTTTAGCAAAGCCAATGGCTCCTTTCTTCGTTGCAGGTATGTTACGTCGAGAGCGGTTCAGCTCAAAGATGTGACGGATTGCGAATTTTGAAAGCTTTTGGAACTGGGGGACTAGGGTTTGAACTTTCGGGCTGATTAGTTGGGATTTAGGTGCCGTCATTATGTACGGAATCAACTCTGCTGCCAACGCCATGGCAAACAGTATGTCTAACCTATTTACTTGATTGCGGATATGGACCACAAAACTTGACGTAAAGAGATACTGATTAGATTGACTATGACAGGCGAGGAGTTCAAGAACGATCCTAGAAACCCAAACGCAAAGACCCCAAAGCCAGCCGATAAACACTAAATGGGAGAAGGATATGATGGCGAGGCATGGTGGTCGAGAATTGCATAGAATGAACCTTCGTCGAAAGATTGGTTTGGGAGGAGTATGGATTCCCATGATGGATGTGTAAATTTAGAGACAATAAGATCATCCGGGTGTCAAGGAATACATGTATAGTGATGCAAGTGTGAGCAGACTATTATGCGCAAGTTTGACATCCTTTTGAGCAGTAGTTTATGTCAAAACGTAGCAATTAGAGGGTTTAGTGGGTAGCCTCGAGTGAGGTTGTAACATGTCTACTCCGTACTCAAGTGTCATAATTTGTCATAATTTTGTCCTCCTTTCCATTAGATACACTACAGGAGATATAACTATCAGATATCTCTTTCTTAATATGAAAAATCGCTGAGTTTTTAAGGCTATGATCTATGATGGTTTACATATGGCTCTAATAATTATCTAGCAATGTCAAGTCAAGTGATAAGTCTAGTACCCTACTTTCCGACCACCCCCTAATTCCGGCCACCTTTTACACCAAAAATCGTGATTTTCACCTATTGATAACTTTGCAACCAATGAATATAATTTGATGTAATTTAAATCATGATTTTATTATATAGTTATTGTGACCAAAAGGGTGTTTATAGACCAGCAATTGTATTTAACTTAGAATCTACAGGTGAAGAGCACCTGTAGATGGGGATAGCTACTCTATATATACACAAATGAATGGCCTAGCCGCAATAGCTAGACAAAAAGAAGTCATATTTATCCCTCCAATGATCTTACTTTACCGATAACCATTGATACCTAGTACTTGTCCGGATCTGATCCTCAGGTCACCTAAATCGCATACTAATCTCGAGTAATCGTATCATGTGTGGACATGGTTAATGTACCTGAGGTTTCTTATATAATAAGGGTGGGAGGAAAGCAGGGATTTCCATCACAGTTATATAGTTTCAATTTTAAATCTATTATGAAATCAATTATTCTTTTAATTGATATATTATAATGTGATTTAATCAGCTTTCTCTTTCATTTTCCTTTTACAGCGTGCTATCGGGACGCATATATCTCAACCTATTCCTTTTACAATATTATATAACCATGTTCCGATAGTATGAGATATATAGAGTATACAATAATAATAATACTGAGTGGTATAAAAGTGATGCATTTGAGATGGTGTTTTGATTTAGAGGAGTTCGGCGGGATAATAGGGGTTTGGGTGGGAGAGAAAGATAAAGATGATATAACGGGATGGTGATAAAGGTTGGGAAGAAGGTATATTATTTGGAAGGTTTGTAGTTCCATCGTGGATGCTCTAGATAAGATGGTCTTGAAGAGTGAGAAGAGGGGAAATACTATAGAAATGAAGAGGTTGTAGGAGACAAAAAATAGAAAAATAAGCGCTTTTACAAGAAAATTGATAGATCATATAACTGTCGTCAAAAGTAATAAAACCATCCCAGCCTTCGTGCCCTTCACGTCAACACACCAAACATCTTAAGTAAAAGTTTTAAAATAACAACATGATATACAAAACAAATCTTATTGAGGGAGGGGAGGAGGGGAGTAGGTTTAAAAGCCATACTGTAAAACCTATGAACGACTCTTAGCACGATATATATGTAACACCCAAGCAGCACTTGATACTATCTCTATCCTATCTCTACGGAGTTGTGAGATCTCATCAATACCGAAATATAGGAGTAACATCAAGTCGAATAATTTTGAGCTTTAATATACGAAGTAATTGTTTGCTTTTTTCCAAATAGAGAGGATGGAATAAATAAATGATTTTAAACAATCTAACTAACTAACAAATCCACAAAACCGTAGATAATCCCTGGAGGTCTAGAGTTGATTCAAGAGAGACACAGAAAATTGAAACGAATCTGTGTTTTTGAGATTGCGGAGAAACGGAGGAGTAACGTGATAAAAGATAGACAGGTATTACTAGGAAATTAATTGTGTATTTATTGCTTTAAATAGATACTTATAACTTGAGGAAGGAAAGATTGAAAAACTGGTAGTAAAATTTGAAGATTATTTGTTGGTTATGGTTTTGGTGAAAATACTTTTATAGTATAGGTGTGAGAAAGGCTGATCTATCTGGTAGATATTATCTAAATGATAATGCGTGATAGGATGTTTTTCTGTACAATTTCTCTTCGTCTATCTATCCTCTAATATCCACCTTCTTACACCTCTTTTTGAGAAATCTGCAGTCGTTGATTCCCGGAGAAGTATGAAATCATTTCTTGACTTAGTATCCCGAGTCATCACGGTTAAAATCGATCGAAATCTCGTCTCGATAAGGAGCATCACGATGTTCGAACTACCTCTTCTCGGAAATTTCCACATTTTGCAGTTTCTCCACCCTCCTAGTTCCCTCTACTTCCCCCTCATTAACCCTCTCACACAACCCCTTCAATTTCTCCCCCACCAACTCAAAATCCCGCAATTCCAAATATATCTGCGCGCTCAATCTCACCCACAGAACATTCGCATGCCAACCAATCTGAAGATACGTATCGAATTCCTCGACTGCAGTTTTATTCAACCAGACTTTAATTTTCTCCGCATCACTCGGCTGGAAAGCGGTTGAAATTTCATCTCCGTGATGGTTCTTAGGACCATCGGCCCAAAATGGTATTGGTAGTCGAATATTAGTAAAACATGTTTCTCTTCCTGCGGAAATGGGGAGTGTGTATGTTTCTAGTATGGAGGCACATATAGAACCTCCTACTTTGCTGAGGTCAAAACAGTATTGTCGGATCATTGCTTCGCCGCCGCACACGGTGTTGCGGAAGGATATTGCGGCGGGGATGCAGAGGTACGGGGTGTAGTCGATTGTTGCGACGAAATTGAACATGGAGAGGAAATATGTGTTGATGTCTTCTAGGGTATCATCCTTAGAGCTTTTTCGGTAGCCGTGAGATGTGGGGAGGGAGGTGCGGATGAAATGTTGGTTGCGGAGGGGCACATAAAAGACTGCGCAGGAGCGAGGGGTGTAAAGCCATCTGTGGTATGTCAAGATGTGTTTTTCTAAGATAAAGAGAACCATACTTATGACAGTTACTGACGAAAAAATCGGGACTGACTGAACCAAGATGTGTGAGATCAATGTGTCCGATACCATGAGCACCATCAATTAAACTCAAAACACCTAGTTCCTTGCATATCCGTACCAGGTCTTCCCAAGGCATTCGAACGCCTGGGAAGGTTAGGACCTGATATTTCCATCAGTATAATAATTGTGACCATCAATGGAAACCAAACAGAAAACAATGAAAGCAACAAACATCCAGAGACAAATCAGAACTACCGACCACATAAACCAACTCCATCCGTAAAATTAAAGCAGCCTCACCGTATCAAATATAGCAAGCTTAACATTAATCCCCCTAGCCTTAGCCGACCTCACAAACTCTCTAAACTTCTGCAATTCCACCTCCTCATTAATCGGAAACTCCAACACCTGACAATGCGTCAGAACCTGCACGCCCAACATCTCCCTCACACTCTCAACCGTCTTCTCACACGCATCATAAATGGTACTAAAATAGAAAATCAAATCACGCTCCTGCCATTTCAAATTTCTCAACACGGTATTTGTGCCCGTCGTAGCATTCGGAATTAGAACTACTTCCCTGGGATCAGCACCTAGGAGAGGTGCCACAGCTTCTCGTGATTTATCGATGAGTTTGGGGAGGTCATAGACGAAGAATGTATCGGGTCTGGAAGTGCATTGTTTTTGAAACGTATCTTGGGCTTCTTGGATGGGGCGTGGGTAGGCGCCAAAGGAGCCGTGGTTCAGAGGGGTATAGGCGGGGGAGAATTGGAAATGGACGTCACGCATGCGATGGCCGAATGGGGGCCGAATTGTCATTTTTGGATGATGGGGAATGTTGTGATTAATTGTTTAATTTAATTGGGAAAGTTGCAGATGTCAATGATGGATACTGGATGGACTGATCAGGAGGAAGCGAATGTCCAATGCGGCTGGTTCGGTGTGAGGTCATCTTATCCATTTTGTTTTATGTAAGCGACTACACGTGATTACATTGCACAACCAAATTACTTTGCGTGGAGGTATTACACATCGGAAAACACAGAAACATCGTTCATATCTGCTAATAATATAAATAAATGATATTTCTCAAACTCAAATTATCCTATGTTAAAATCTCACATCTCAAGCAAATTCCTCACAACCACCGCAGCACGTTCCAAAGCCTCCTGAAATCGCCTAGGATGATCCCCTGTACCCTGAATCCAAAAGAAGCACCGCTCATCTTCCACCTCGTAATGCACCAGAAAAGACTCTGGATCTGGCATCAAATACCCAGCTTCCTGATATATAAAACCCGCAGCAGAATCTGTTTTGATCTTCTTGGTAGCCCACTTCCAAGCCATCTTCCAGGTGGGATCTTCGAAGAAGGCAGGAATAGGTTCGTCTTCAGCAATCATTCCTTCCAAGGCATGGAAATGTGCCAGGAACCCTAAACCTCGTCCATTCTTTGTCATTGTACTGCTGTGTACACTCGCCGCTTCTCGCAGTAATGCTTTCAGCTCCGTTGCGGATTTTTGATTCTCGGCTACCGAGGCGCAAAATTCGTACATGGCTGGTGAGACAACTTGCATCCAGTCTACACGCCCGAGACGAAAGAACATAGTTGTGAGTGCCTCCCAGCACGGATATTGTTTGCCAAAATGGAACAGCGAAGCGAGTTGAATAACCAAGTGACAGCCGGCTCTATGTGGAATCTTGAATGACTGGAGAAACTTTTTACCCAGCGTGGAAATGTAGAACTGTATATAAGTCGCGGGTTGGTCGTGGACTTGTCCAAAGTTATCTTCAACACGCTGGATTTCTTTCTCGATTGTCGAATTAGTTCCGAATGATATCTCTTCCAGAAGTTCATCTATCTGCACATTTGCATGTTCATCGCTATGAGCTTTTGGTCGGTAGTCCATAATATATTGCGTTACAAAATTGTTGATTTGGGCCGAGGATGCGGCATCTAACATTGTGTGCTCGCAGATGAACCCCGAAGTTCCATTCTCGCATACTACAAATTGAAATGATTTATCGCTCCATCTGTTGGATGGGCTGTAAAGAAATTGGTTACAGCGTTCCGTTGGGGTTTCGGGGGATCCATCATCGAGACACATCACAAATGTTGATGCCTCAATATCTTCGAGCGCTGCGCTGTTGCTAGGGCTAATTCCTTTCACCATTTCCCTTAGCTCGGCCCATGAGTCGCGTTCATCTGCAGTCAAGGTCGCCACTGCTGGTATCTTCTCCTCTGAAAGGCGCAAGATTGTCAAGAAAGTCTTCAACAACAACAGATATGTAGATTCTTGGCTCATGTTTTTGGCAAGCCTCACCTTGAAAACATGACCTCTTCTGAGCACAACGAAATAATCATTATCTGCATGCTTGCGCATTTTGTCCATGGTTATTTGAGGTATGCGATTAGCATTAAAGATCCATTTCAAAGAATCCATGCAAAGAGGCTCCTCATTCAAGTAATCCTGTTCCAGATTATTTGTATCCATGCGTTGTTTAAAATTCCACGCTGATAGGGAAATGATTGCCGCACGTTCGGCTTGGCTATGCGCAATAGTACTTGAGACGTGAGTTCCATAAAATATGCTATATGGGTTCAAAGGTTTTCGGGATCGGAGATACAATTTAGCATGTGGCCAATTCTCCGTCTCTTTTCGCTGTTCGATCAGTCGTTTTTGTAATTCAGCTCCAGAGCCATTGATGAATTCTTGGATTACGGAAACAGTTTGGGATAGTTGAGTTTCTGAAATAAACATTCGTACAGACGCCAGATGTAATTCAAGCGAGCTGGAAAGATCTGGAACGGGCAGGACCTTGAATGAAGGAGAGTTATTCCCAGGATTGGTGCCATGGCCATTGACGACGACGGGAGCTTCACTCGTAATATTTGAATTTGAATGTAAAAGCGAGGACCTAGCTGCAATTCTCACGGCCAGAGACGAGACACTACGCTCGTCTAGAATTTCTGATGCTTGGATGGCAGCACCAAACTCGTTTCCAATCCAATTTTTGAGCTCAATCGCCGTCAACGAATCCAGACCAAAATCCACAAGAGATGTGTCCAGCCCAATCTTACTAGAATCTAACGATATCAGATGAGAAACTCTTTGAACTATTGCCTCTTCCAAAATTGAATGTGCTTCCGCTAGTGATGCTGCATCGCTTATAGTTTGCTTCCTATCGACGGAATTTTGAGTTTCTTTCAGATCCGCCACTTTCTCACCAGTGTTTCGTATATGCACAAACGATGCAGACTGTGTTGTTGGTGTAGAATTCGCAGCTTGAGCTATCGACACTCCATCTATGCCAACGACGACTTGTTTGCAACGGTCTTTCCGAGCCTGTGGGCTTAATGCGTAATCCAGAACAGCATCTAGCTCATCAAGATCCACAGGGATCATTCCCTGGCGAATGAGATTCTGCATTCTCAATTCACCGTCAGCTCCATCATAAACTGAGGTGTTTTTGATCAATCCCAGATCCAAGGTCATGATGTGAGTCCCAGAAAGTTTTTGGTTCTGCGCAACGGTGTCTTGGTACAAGTTACCGGAATCTATCAGGGGTCAGTACTTTTCTACTTCATATGGTTCTGGACTGCAGTTTTCCGGGAAAGTTGCTTAAAACATAATGCTTACCATAATTTGCTTGCCCCATAGTACCAATCACACCACTGAGCGATGAAAGCATGATGAAAAAGTCCAAATCAGCATCTTTGAACGTATCTAAAAGGTAAGCCGTTCCATCTAGCTTTGTCTCTAGAGGAGTCATAAAGTTCTCAAGCGTCATTCGTTCAATGATGACGTCCTATTTTTTACACATTAGACTTTTGAGAAATCCTAGATGAAAATAGCTCTTTACTTACCTGAAGCACTGTAGCCGATTGAACGATCCCCTTCACTGGTGGTAAATTCATCTTTTCGATCGTGCTAGCCGCATTTCGAACCATCGATGGAGAGGAAATATCGCAGACAATGCTATGTAAACCACATCCTGGTGAAATACCACCAAGACGTGCTCTCAAGGAATCCATGAGGTCATTATTAGCTACTCTTCGAGACAGAATAACAATACTCTTAGCGCCCCTTTGAGCCATCAATCCACAAATTCGCTGACCGAGATCACCTAGTCCACCAGCGATGATATAAGTAGAGTTTGAATCAAAAGTCATTTTATCAAGTTTCTGTGCATGCTGGTTCATATTGATTACTTGTACTTGACTGTGCTCATCAGATTCAACTATGACGGTATTGAGGTGTTTTTGAGATGACAGTAATCTGAAGCCATCGCGAAGTTTTCCTGGAGCCACCGATACGTAATTTTGAGTATCTAGACGCTCTTCTGATAGATGCAGTAAAGCAGTGGATTTTTGAAGAAGATCTACCACTTTCTGTGGTCGTGTATGCATCAGACTACCTAGATCAAACGAGAAAAAGGTTGTGTTGTTCATGGGTCGATATTTGAAGGTGTAGCTCTCAGGGCCACTTTCGCTTTCTCCTGGATACCCTACATGGATATAAGCGCCGCATTTCGCAACACACGCAAAGGAATCCTCGTTGTAAGTATCCTTTACGAAATTTAGCACCACGTCAACGCCAGCTTGGTTGGTAAGCTGGAAAAGGTTCTGCTTTAGGTTCGTAGCTTGTTCATAGAAGATGTTCTCGGCTTGGAGACTAAACTGTCTTGCGACATTTTCTCTGTCGTCTACTTCCAATACCGTTGCAAATATTTTAGCGCCAATATGTTGAGCGAGTGCGAGGGCAGCTCGTCCAAAAGCTGTAGAGGCGTCGTGAATCAAAATGGTTTGATCTTTCTCTAAACGGGCCAGCTCTACTAAGGAATGATATGCAGTCATGAATGAGAAGGGGATTGTAGAGCCTATACGAAAGGAAATATCGCTTGATAGGCGAATAACATTCTTTTCCTCGATTCGAACATGGCTCGAATGTGCTTTGGTATTATAAGACCAGCCACAAACACGGTCTCCGACTCGCAGACCGCTATTTAAACGGTTTCCAGTGCTAATAACAGTTCCGGAAAACTGACGAATGTGTTTAGGAAATTCTTTTGTCGATGAATTCGCAAGCTTGACCAGATTGTCAGCTCGGCTCATTTGTTGTGCCTTTACAGCAATCTGAACTTCCGACGAGGCAAGGTCTTCAGACAATGCCTCAGCCACAAAATATAGATTTTCGTCGATGTTTGCTGTTTCTAAATCGAGGTTGAGCATTTGTCCAGAAGTTGAATATGCAATCGTTTCGACAGTAGGTTTCCCCGTAGCTCTTGCTATCCAACTATTGACGCCGTGGTCTGGTATAAGACGAGGAATGAGCAGCTTTCCATTTCGATACACGTACTCCTTTTCATTAAGTAGTCCTCTGGGAGAAGAAGTCGAAAAGGATTCTATTAAAATTGTTTTTATCGTGCGTAGAAGATCAGATGGAAGACTGGTAATTGCGTCTTGAACATCCAGGGTGATACAATTGAGATCTGCATTCTCTGCCGAAGCACTCCGGACGAATCCAGTGATTAAACCTTTCTCCGGATTATCCGCGGCTGATGGATCCTGGTGAGCGCTGATCCACAGGATATTGGCTTTATTTGCACCCACAAGACCAACAAATTGCTGGAAAAGTTGTGGAGATGGCTTGACCAGTAAAGGATTTTGACCATTGTCAATTATAACATGGATTGTATCATCCTCTAGAAGGTCTGCACCCCACTCTATATATTCAGCACTACATCCACTTTCTTGTAACGATGTGCAGACCTGATTGGCAAAGTCCTCGGTGCCGTCTCTACCAATCACCCGAATAGGAGTAAGTGATTGCGAGTCAGGCACAGCTTTCCTCGAGATTAATATGTTTCTCTTCACTTCATCACCATGATCCAAAAGCTGCACTCCATCGAAGGAACTTTGAGCCAGACGACCTTGTATTACATTTGTCGAAGGTTGGGACGCTGCAGACCATATCATGACCCATCCACCAGGATTGAGAAGCTTCTGAGTATTCAAGAGTGCAGTGTCCGAAATATGCTCCATATTATCAGCTACCAAGATGACCAAATCATAGGTGGATGGTTTGATGCTCTGCTCCTCAAAGTCACTATCTATATCTAATGTTTTTGATCGCAGAACCTGATCACACTGGGGAAATTTTCTCGAGATTTCCTTGAGCATTGCATCTGAAGTATCTGAAAAATCATAAAATTCGATACCGTTGTTCTGGAACCTTTCTAATGTTGATAGAATGAGACTTGCAATCTCCACAGAGTCCGACTTTGTCTGCAAAATCTTCAAGCTTGAATATTTGAAATGTAGACAATTTATGCACTCAATCAGAGAGATGGACTCCTTGTGAGAAGATAAATGCTTGATATCAGGAGCCCATTTCACTTGATAGGTAAATTTTCGTGGCAAATCCAACTTGGAAACTTGAGACTCTCCAAGCCCGCGTATCTCCAAATCAGAAATTTCTAGAACAGGATGCTGATTGTCCGAATCATTCGCGTCGTGAACAAGTAAATTTGCAATTGCAGATCTAGCACCTTTCGGAATGAGAAATGTGTGCGAATTTAATTCCCCTTCTGGCTTGTTGTTCATATCTCCGCGAAGACTGATTTTGCCAATAGAAACCGGCATCACAGAGCCTGCACCCATTGTATTGGAGAATAGTGGCAGACTTGTATGAAGGAGTGCATCGAGAGTAGTAGGGTGAATGATATGGGGCTGCATGTAGTTGCTAGGCATTATTGACTTGACGTCGGGAATCTTTACGCTACCCACAGCCTTCAACTTGCTCATCTTCAGCATGCGGACGGCCTGGAAAGAAGGACCGTATAAGTTCCCGTTAGACCGCATTTCGTTGTAAAGATTTTCAAAGTCGAGAACTTGAGGCTGTGTATTTGTCTCGGTATCATAGAGTTGCTTGTCATAATTTGAGAAATGTGAGCCAAAAGCGGCAGCTGGCTCCGACCAACAGTCAATTTGAATGGTGCCGCGACAATGCTCATGCCAGCTTTCATCATCACTAAGAGCAGAGACTTTGAACTCATACGAGCCTTTAGTGAAGTCTCTGCAGGGCCTCAAATTGATCTGAGCCTCTACTTTTGAAGGAGAGTAAGGGATGACGAGTGCCTTTAAGAAATGTACATCTCGCAAAATAAAGGTTGGGACAATTCCAGATGCCTGGCTACCCTGAAAGAGCTGACGAACGGCCTCTATAGCCATACAAAGATAACCTGAACCTGGGAATATGACAAGGCCGTCTACTACGTGGTCGGCGAGCCATGGAAATTGTACCAATCCAAGTATGTGCGTCCAAGCCGGCTCTATTGCGGTACTGCTTGCTATCCGTACCCCCACAAGATCGTGATATGGATGTTCTCGTAGTCGATGTTGTTTACTCAATCGAGATTCGTGCCAATACTTAGTAGAATGATCCCATGGATAAGTTGGCAACCCTGGAAGATACCGAGGCGATTTTAACTTGTGTCTGCACATTGAATTCGCTGCATCAACATCGACAGGATAGCCCTGATCAAAAAGGCTTCGTACGAGCTCCAGAATACTGTAAGTTGCGTCTTTATGTCTTACCAAGGAAGGAAGATAGAGATATTTGAACGGATCGAACTTTGAAGTAATAGTTTGTCGTATCGGACTTTTCAAGACACTATGAGGACCTATTTCCACCAGGATATGATTCGAAGAAGCGCCGTGCAACTCATAAGCTACATTTTGTGTAGCGCAGTAGTGCTCCAATGCATCGCTGAAGCGGACCTTGGATAAAAGATTCTGTACCCAATACTCAGAACCAAAGTCTGTCTTCTTTCCCTTCGCAGTAACGCTGGAGACGAACTCAACATCGCTACCGTCATGCACGTCTATTGAGCCCATAGAGCTTAAATATTTATCGGAAACCTTCTGCATATGATGGGAATGGTAAGCAGTATCGACTTTCAATTTCCGGCTGAAGACGCCCAGATCATTAAGCATACTCTGTACTTCCAAAATAGCATCTTCATCTCCCGAAAGGGTGGTACTTGAAGGACTGTTTACACATGCCAAGGATACTTTACCCTTCCGTGTAGAGGAAAGTAGTGGTAACACTTGTTCTTCACTGAGGGCTGCTGACAGCATTGCACCCTTACTTGGAATCAGCTTCTTGCAAAGACCTCCAATGAAACTTCGATGGTACGAAATTTTTAGAGCTTCTGATTGAGAAATGAACCCCGCACTGTAAGCTGCAGCTATTTCTCCGCTTGAATGCCCCAAAACAACTTGAGGAGTAACATTAAGCGAGGAAAGTAGATCAACAAGAGCAATCTGCAAAGCTGTGCTCGCAGGTTGAGCAATCTCACTTTTGTCAATTCGGCTGTTAGCCTGATCAGACAGAAGTTCGTCCACGAGGTTCCACGGAGCCCCCAGGGCTTGGAGTATCATGCTCGAGTCCGCTATCGACTTTGCGAAAGTCGAGTCTATCAGAAGAAGCTCACGCGCCATTCCAATCCATTGAGCTCCTTGACCAGTGAAAACAAAGACTACACGATGAGATGGTGAGCTTTTAACCAGCGATTTTGGTGAGTCGGAAACTGATTGTAGTGAGGTAAGAAGTTCCTGGGAAGACGATGCTACAAAACTATACCTCCAGCTCATCATTGATCGATGATTTGAGAGAGTATATGCTAAATCATCCAAGGCATCCTCGGGAAAAGACTGTTTTGAAAGATTTAGGGCTACACTCCGGAGCGAGTCTTCGGATTTCCCGGTTAGAACGAAAACCTGCGGTGCTGGCGGTAAAGACGTATTATTGGTGCTCTTTGGCGTATGCAATGGCCCTTTCAATTCTAGTCTCTTACGGAATATCCTGCTCCATGCTCGTGGTGCCTGATCAAAGGATTCCAAGATGGCATGTGCGTTAGTTCCTCCATAGCCAAAGCTATTGACCGATGCACGTCGTACCCTAGACTCCAACATAATCGGCTCGGAAGGTATCTAAATGTATGAGAATCTCTAAATACCAATTTTATCGACAATCATACCTTAATTCTGCTCTCATCCAGTAAAAGTCCCTTCTTCGGTTGTGTGAAGTCGGAATTCGGAAGAATAAATCCTCTTTCGAGACACAGAACGGCTTTTATCAAGCCCGCTAAACCGCTAGAACTTTCAAGGTGTCCAATGCTTGATTTAATAGAGCCAACATATAGATCTGTAGTACGACTGTCTCCGCAGAACACGTTTTTGATTGTCTTAATCTCAGCCAAATCACCTGCAAGCGTGCCCGTACCATGTGCCTTGTTTCATAAATGCAATGTGAGCTGAGAAGCATGGACATTGATAAGGCGACAAACCTCTACATAATCTATCTTGCAAGGATCAAGACCGCTGTTCTTATATATAAGACGAATGAGACTTTCCTGGGCTTGACTACTTGGCAAAGTAATTCCATTGGTTCTTCCATCCTGGTTGACGGCGGTATTACAGATAACAGATCGAATGTTATCGCCTACAAGAAATAACACCTTTAGCATATCGAGATTGATCGACTAATACTATGCTACATACCTGCACTTATAGCATCATCTAGACGTTTCAATAGAACCGTTACCACCCCTTCTCCGCGTCCATAACCTGAACCCCTCTCATCGAAAGAAAATGATCGCCCGGAATCATTTAGCATACTAAGCTTAGGTGTAAGCTTGGGAAGAAACGCACAATGGCAGGACATACTGTAGATTGCTCATTCCAACCATGTGATCAGGATTTAAAATGAGATTAACACCCGAGGCCAAAGCCATATTAGACTCTCCAAACTGTAAGCTACGGCATGCTTGATGGAGAGCGACCATGCTTCCAGAACAGCCGGTGCTATAATGATAGTTTAATCAGCATTTCCTATCTAACGAAATTTCACAAACAAGCAAAGGCACTTGAAATGAGATAACCTGGGTTTGGTAAGGATCCAATAGGATGAAAGTCAACCACTCTTACTCTAACGTCATCGAGGGCCCTTTGAAATCAAAGGTATATGAAACCCGGTTAGCAATGATCGCTTCACCAGTACCGGTCGTATGGTATTTGGGTGTATCTAAAGGATCTCTGTTGAGATTGCGATCGTAGTCTCGTGTAAACATAGCAGCGAAAACGCCAGTGTTGGAACCACGAACATTTTCAAAAGGGATACCCGCATCCTCAAATGCTTCATATGTGGTTTCTAGCAAGATACGTTGCTGTGGATCCATTGCAGAGGCTTCAATAGGTGATATTCCAAAGAATGAAGCGTCAAAAGCCGCTATATCCTGCGTGATGAAATGACCGCCACGGTGATTTGTAGTACCCGGATTGTCTGGGTTTGGATGATAGAAAGCATCCTCATTGAATCTTTCCGTGGGAACCGGAGACCAAGCACTTCGTCCATCAACAAGGAGATCCCACAAATCATCTGTATTGCCAACACCTCCAGGAAGACGACAGGCAATGCCAATGATGGCAATTGGAACTGGAATTTGGCTAGTCATAGTTGCTGTATGTTGAAACAAGACCAATTTGGTCTCTGTGAAGAGCTCGCAAGATAGAAGAAGTGAAACTGGACAAACTCTGTCCATACATTATTTCTCTGTGGCAACCGCCAACTGCGTCTAAAATCAGACTTCAAATAAGAGCTTCAGGGTTATATATCAAAGACACCACTAATTGTCGGATGTAAATGCCTAAATCAGTTGAGACAGAGCATAGCTGCGGGGAAGATGCAGAAAAGAAGCTCTGATCACAAAATTTCCATATAAATTGATGGGAAAATATGAGCGGGTCACATCCAAGCCAATCTCATGATTTTTAGGTCATGTATCCATCAATTCTCGTGGTTTTGCTACAAACAAGGTAATAAATCCTTATTTTTATCAATGTATGATCGATGGTCCAAGATCTAAAGAGCTTCTAGCCCCTCACTCGGAGGAGGAGCCATACCAAGGTCCCGAAAGTGTGGTTCTGTGGATCGATCGGCTTGAGTAATTTCATCGGCAGGTAACTAGCAAAGTCGAGGCCATTGAGATTGTTATCCGGGTAAAGCGGATTGGGTTAGAAACCTTTTCTAACTCAAAACAATAAAGACTCTGTGATTCCCTCAGATATTTAGAAACTCACACCACTCACATTTTCTGCAGCATCAAGCGCGGACACTGATTTGCTCTAGATTGATCATTTCAAGTTCAATGTTGTCCGTGCTATCCTGCCTTGAGCTTGTGACACCCCTGACGTGTTTACTAATGTTAACTTGGCGAGACATAACAACTGAAACTTTGATTATGATATTGAAATCTTGAAAAAAATCCTCGATGATACTGTTGAGGGTCGGAATCTTCAAATTTCCCGATGTGTTTTTAACCTCATATCGGAATATCTAGAACTCCGATATTGATTGACCAATGAATTCCTGGAATCTCTCATGAATTCGTCGGTCCCTTCTTGTTTGATTCAAAATTCGCATCAAGAATAACCAATCCGAACCCAAACGAACAATTAATCCATCCGAATTCCGATATATAACTTATTACATCGAGAAAATGTCTCAGAAAAAACGGATACCTACAATCCCAGCACCTCAAACCAGAAACACCAGCCATCTAGGCCAGGGTCCACTTGACATTGCATCGAGTCAAAAAACCACTGAAGAGTGGATCACTAACCATTCACATGCACTGGATATATCATGCACTGAATATCTTTGATTTTTTTACGGTGCGTACAATATTTGCGCCCCCGGCTTCCTACGCGGCGCTAGACAGAGCCTAGATATGTTTTGATAAGACAAGCAATGCAATATGCATATTCGGAATAAGCTTCCCCGCCCGGAAAAAGCACTATTGTCCACCCGATTTGATGTCAACGGTGCTATCCGGGCCCGAGTTATCTAGACAAACAGGTGGGGTTATCGAGGATGATCTATTTTATAGCACTGTAGCGCAGTTGCGGGTATTCTAGCTAATACTTCTAGTACCTACTTCCAGTATTTCCTACTGTTTGTGAAAGGAAGTGGAAAAGAGATATGATATATCTAATAAATAAATAAATAACACTTAAGCCAGGATTTCCTTTTCTTCAAAGCACCTACGATTTTATAAATTTCCTCCGTTCTCTAAAATTTACTTGTCCAAATTACCAGAACTTCCTAATCGACAGAGTCTAATATAAGCCTATATTAGATCATTGCTAGCGTCGCAGAACTCAGGTCCAACGCCTTCAATCAAATTATCAAACATAGCACGGAAAATCCCCAGAACATGTCAGTCTAGAAGCCAGTGGAGACAAGCCACCGAAGCCAAAGCTATTACTGTATACCACTGAACAGGCTAATGGCGGTTATTCTGAACAACTACACTACAACTTAACTTCCAACCCACCTAGCCCTCAATTCTACTTTATGTCTTGATCCTAGATCCCTATCTACTAGAATAGATTATAGAAATGCGCATTTTCTTATACATCATACTAATATCATATCAAGCACCCTTCAACAATTAATAAATATTTTATTTCCCATCAAAACTACCAAGTACCTAGCTTTACATAAAACCATCTTCCCAGAACCCAACCTCCCTCTATACTTACCACTCCAAGTAAAAAAAGACACCAGTTTCTTTTTAGCAATTGACTTCATTCATTGCCTAAATAACCATCATTTCAACTATGTAATCTTATATCTTGGATTTTCCTCCGTAATTCCATTAGCTCTATATTTCCTAAGCCAAGGAAAGAAAAACCAACAAGAACACATATGGTTAATTATAAGATATCCTACTTATTTACTCGAGTAGCGCTGAATTCATATACTTATTCTAGCTTCAAAGTTAATTAGTCAAGTACTTTCCTTTGTAACTAGATTAAATTAACGAAAAAGGTGTTTTTTTTTTTTCAAATGAATAAAAATGATAATATATATTTTTATGTAATTTGATATATGATCTTATAAATAAAATATATACTATTTATTATAATAAATCTTTATATTCAAAAGAATAAAAATATATATAACCTTTATAATAAAAGGATACCGGTTTATAAAGATAATACAATCAATCAAAAAAACACCATCTCTGATAATCTTATATTATATTAAATTAAACCTAATTAAATCCTATCTAAACATGACGTTCCGGATCCCCCCAATCAAAATTTTCCTTCCTAGAAGCCTCCCTATAACCATCTAGATCATCCAACCCCGGTTTTCCCTCCACCACAGTAACATCCTTCGTAACCAAAATATTCTGTGCAGAATTATCCCCCCCACCAGATTCCAAGCGATGAAACCCCTTACCGCGTTTGCTAAGATTCGATTGGAGTTGAATATTTGAGCTACCCTCGCTGGTTACGTTCGTGGGGGGTTTGGCAACGGTGGCTGTGACGCGACTGATGAGTTTGCGGAGGAAATTCTTCTGGCCGATGCGTTCGAGGATGGGGCGCCAGGTGGGGAGACAGCAGGAGATGAGATAGACGCCTGCTTCGACTTGGGTCCAGATGATGAGGTCTACGGCGGACCAGGTGCCGTCGATGAAGGAATTGTTGCGGAAGAAGGTGGTGAAGCGGATGATGGATGTTATGAGACCGCTGTGGTTTTTGGTTAGATTGTTTACTTAATGGATCATGGATGGATGATTGATTGAGGAGAGGAAAATTCGGAATACTTACAAACTACCCACTGCAAATGTAATGGTCAATCCAATCTTCATGCGCCGATTTGCATGGAGATTCCATACAACACGCATGGGAAGGATCAAAATGATGATATCGGTGATGATATTTGGGATGCTACCCCATATAAAAAATGCCTCCTTGTTGATACACGTAGCTTTTATAGTGGAGTCCCAATTTGCGGAAAAGGGTCTGCATGCTGCGAGGTTCGTGATGATGGTTGAGATGGTCAATGCTATCAGCGCTGCCATGAGGATATGAATAACCAGAAGAATTCCTTTCGTGGGAAACAATCGTTTATAGAGTGCCAGAATGGCAAGCTTTGGGATGTTGACGCCGCCAAAGTATACTGTCGCGATGGCGACAAGATACTTGCCCCATGTTTGTACTAATGCGGGATCTGTTGATTCTAGATATGAGACGTGATAACCAACACCGGCGTTCTTGACCGAAGCTTTCACGATGTGAGCGGGGCATTCATAATTTGTTGGAAGGGTGCTTACCAATACTTATACCGGCTTGGCCTAATTGGAGAAATAAAGACGTAAAGACGAGAATATCATCTATTCCCCAAGGCCCTCTGATCATCCAGCGTGCAAAGTACCGCAGCGCAACACAGATTACAAGGACGGGAATCCATATTGCTGTGAAGATTACCAAACGAGTTCCATGGTATGTGGCATCAGTTGCGGGTGACAGAGTCGAAGTGGGCGTCATGATCTTGTAGATATGTAGTACGGCCGTATATTCTATTCGAACTCTCAGGCCACTAACCAAAATGCTGGAAATCTTAGCTGGAGAAACTTTGAACAATGTTGGTGGCTTGAGCAAACTTTTGATCTACAGCGAATAAAAGTAAGCTGAACCACAGCTCATAGAGAAGGCAAATAGTGGATCATTCATTATTGAAAATAAGCAACTCGGAAACCCCTTTCTGGAGTTACAATCAGATCTTCAAGCATCGTTAGTTAATCCGAGCAGCTGCCTTCCCTTGGGCAGGGTGTCGAAACCCGGGTTTCTTGCTTCCTTTGAAGATCGCAAAAATTCTACCATGCCACTCGGCAATCAAGGTTGCCACATTCAATACATAGATAGGTACAGTAGTATTTAGAAGGATCCAAATTTTAACAAACCCCAGTACTAATGTGGAAGGTACATCAATATCATAAGACATAGTTGAGAGTGAGAAATAGTGAAATGGTGGAGTCTGATTTTCCGGAGAAGGAATGAGGTTAAACTGCAGTCAGCGCACATCCCATGCAGCGAAACCTCTTTCCTATACCCTAGACAAAATCCAAAACAGGCCGTTGTAAGCGTTACATGACATTTATTGCTTTTTGAATAACGGGTCGGTGTTATGGAGGCATAAAAAATGATTTATGATCCGCAAGCACTGCAGGTTAGAAGATAAAATGCATGGGAGGAGTGAGGGATGAAGAGCGGGGGGTGCGTAATGTATATATATAAAGATAGTTGGGATAAGTTTGAAGATATTCAATCGATGGTACATTTGAAATGATCTTTTTTTTTTCTGATAATATTTACGTAATAATGTACGGTTCAAGTATTAAATTATGAAGATTGTCTGAGGATGAAGATTAATCCAGAATTATGATTCCTCTTAGAGCTTGAGGGTGTGAGATGTGGAGAGACTAAATGGAGGGGTTTGAAAGTACGGAGTAATTAGTAACCTTAGTCTGGTACACAATTTGTTAAATGAACCAGCCCCGGATAACCTTACAATCTCGCTTGGCTATCAAAGGCGGTTTTGAATAATTATCAGCTGTTTGGAAGTGTCGAGACTGAACAGTACGTACCTTTTCTCACCACACCACTCACCACTCTCCGGTCTCATTCCTCCTTTGGGAACGAATTAAACACAAAGCTGCGGCACGGAAGCATAAAAGGCTTGTCGGGGTAAGCATAACTGTTGTAAGACACGTCAAAATTTTAATCAAAAGCTTAATTCAATGATATCATTTCACTAATTAAACATCTTCGGAGTCCATGATGAGTTGGTACAAATTTGTTTATATGTAATCATTGAGACGATGAATTTGAAGAGAATAGATTGAATATCTATCTAATGGGTTCATCTAGAGTGATGTTGGAATTTTGAAAAAACAGTCAACTTTTACTATGAGCAAGGTCTAAAACAGTCATCCATTTAAGCTCTGCACGAGGACATTCAGGATCACACCAATCGCGGCGATAACCGCCCACCTACATACAGAGTTACAAGAGTGGACGGGGAAATGCTCATTGAAGAAGATCGATCATCTACCGATCCTGTTATCCGCATCAGCCATCAGCTCGCTACCACTAGGCTCTATTACGGAGGAGTCTCTAGGCTATCTCGACTCGGAAATTATCGGTTACCCTTGTTTTTTCATAACGGCAGGCTTGAAGAACCAACCCCATCAATGATCATGCCATGCTATGCCATGCCATGCCCATGCCCATTGTCCCAAGTCCAACCCCTCTCGTTTTGAATTATTCCGGGAACACTATCTAGGTACCTAGTAAGCAGCCTGCAGGGTGGAAACGAAAATATATATACCAGGTATGTGTATACATAACATTCATATAGGTTAGGGTTCGGAGTATCTTCGGAAATGTTTCCATTATTACTTTAAAATCTGATGCGTACAACTTCCTTCTAAGTTCTAATAAGCAAAATTTCTATTTTCAATGACGGAATGCTCGAAAGTTCTCCAGTTAATCAGCTCGGATTTTCTGATGCCTGTTTAGCTTCTCCGAAATAATTCAAAACAATACAATATTACGCTTCTTATATACTGTTAGAGACATACTTGCAGCTTGCTATCGACTTATATGGTACCTACCCAATTTTTTCTCAACGTCTAGTATCATGATAACAGTAAGAATAGAAATGAGGGATTTTGCTCGGATTGAAAAACTTGCTCATGCATCAATCCAACATTATCTATTAATAAGAGGCGTAGTGCAGATACACGTCTACCGAGCGATTGAAAATGAAAATGGATCTCGTTACGAATATTGTAAGATTATTAGGAGCGTGACTCCTAGCAAGATCTTACCTAGTATTGCATGTTGTACTCTTCTGGTGTAACTGTTGGTGTTTTGTTTTTTGGTCATGGAACATTGTAGCATTAGAGAGTCCATCGGATTTAATGCTTACATGATCAACAAATACATGCCTTCCGTCTTAAAGAGGCTAAGATGTGACATTTACGTAGTAAGATGTGTGTAAAAGAAAATACCTTGCTGTTTATTAATAATATATTTGCAACTATCTCAATTCAATCGTGGTTGTCAAGGGCTAAAAACAAGCCTCTACAACTGAAGGAAATCTTTCGAGTAGAGGGGAAATACATGTCAATTACACATCCATCATGCCTACGCGAAATTGGAAAAATGAGCTTGTCCCCAAGATTGTCGACAACATAGCAGAAGTTGATCCGGATGCATTGTACGCGGAATATCCAGTTTCGACCGTGACTTACGATCAAGGATATCGCAAGATCACGTTTGCTGATTTTGCAAACGCCGTCAATTGTGTCGCTTGGTGGTTGCATGAAACCTTGGGTCCAGGAAAGGGCTCTGAGGTCTTGGCATATATCGGGCCTAATGATTTGAGATATCCGGCACTTATGTTGGGCGCCGCAAAGGCTGGCTATTTGGTGAGCATTCTATCTGGATGAGCTATTTGCTTCCCTCTCCTAGCTCCCATCTACATCCTAGAACATGCCTTCTCAATACTGTCCCATGCTTACACCTACAAGATCTTTCTTACTTCTCCTCGAAACAGTGTGGCGGCTCAAATAAACTTGCTAGAGCGACTAAAATGCACAAATGTCCTATCACCTACTCCATGTCCTCCTCAGATCACCGCAATACTCGAAGCTAATACCAAGCTTCGAGTACTGGAGGTCCCGACGGTTGACCATCTTCTTGACGAGAAACATAGACATTTCCCATACGAGAAGTCTTTCGACGAGGTTAAAGATGAACCTTTCGTCATTGTGTAAGTTGGCTCATAGATACGATATATAGAGAACTAACTAAGAAAGACATACTTCTGGATCAACTGGGTTTCCGAAGCCCATGGTTTGGACGCATGATACTGCGCAAAGAAACATCGCGTTGATGGCGCTAGGTCCACCACCGGGATACGAGGGCCTGCATCAAATGTATGAAAAGAAGAGAGTCTTTCTGACGTTTCCACCCTTCCATGTAAGTCTCAGGCAATTCAAACTCAAAATATGTCGCTGATAAGGGATCTACAAAGGGGGCATACCTGTGTTGTCACTTATTCAATGCTGTACCATTTGGAACAGTGATGATCAGCCCTACCTCCGGCGCAATACCGTCTGCAAAAGGACTTGTAGAAGGACTGCAGAAATCGCCAGCCGATATTGCATTTATAGTTCCTTCGATCGTGAGTGAATTGAGTCAAAGTCCAGATCTTCTCGACTATTGTGCCAAGAATTTGGAAATGATCATCTACTGTGGAGGGGATCTACCTCAAGCCACGGGAGATATTGTCGCATCCAAGATAAGACTGGTAAACCAATTTGGAGCCACGGAACTAGGCCTATCCAATTTGATCCTTCGAAATGGAGATTACGACCGAAATGACTGGAAATATATCGAAGTCCATCCAGACATAGGCGCCGAATTTAGGTCTGTAATCAACGAAACCCATGAGTTAACCATGATTCGTAATTCCAAATTGGAAAAGCAGCAACCTACCTTCACCATGTTTCCTCAATCAGAAGAATATGCTACGCGTGATCTATTTATCCGTCACCCCACCAAACCAAATCTTTGGAAATGGCATGCAAGAGCTGATGATATTATTGTTTTTCTGAATGGCGAGAAAACTAATCCTATTTCGATGGAACAACATATTGTAGCTCGCAATCCTGAGGTCCAGGCAGCCTTAGTGATGGGCGCACAACGGTTTCAAGCTTCTCTCCTGATTGACCCGGTAAATGGAGATACTGAGCTTTCAACTGCTCAACGTGCAGCTCTTATTGAAAAGATTTGGCCCTCGGTGGAGGAAGCAAATCAGAAGTGTCCAGTGAGTAATCATTCCATACCTAAGAGAAGGCTGTGGAGAGACGTGGATTTTCTGCTCTTTTCTCTCTTTCGGAAGTGTAATACTAATATAAATGGTAGGCCCATGCAAAAATTGCCAAAACACACATTTTCTTTACGAACCCCAAGAAACGTATGTTAATCGCGGGAAAAGGTACAGTTCAACGAGCAGGTACTTTGCAGATGTATCAGCAAGAACTCGATGCTTTGTACGCCGATGCAGATAGCATGGTAGCAGAATTCGATGGTGAAAATTCTGCCGACATCAATCTTGATGATCCATTAACTGTTTCCGAATTCTTGAAAGAGGTCATATTGAGTGTAACCTCTTGGACTCGTTTAGATATCAACGAGGACTTCTTTTCTCGGGGAATGGACTCACTACAGGCTCTTACGGCAGTAAGAAAGCTTCGTCGTGGTCTTGGTATCACTTCAATTGCTTCAAGTACCCTGTATACTAATCCTTCAATCGCTCAATTGACAAGCGCTGTCTTGAAGCTTGCAAAAGATGATACATCTGTAGATGTTCATCAGGATACTCTACAAGTAAGAGATAGTATGCTTAAGGAGTTTCAAAATCGCATTGATTCGGTAGATTTACCGTCAGCGACTTCTCACAAACAAATTGATATGAATCAGGAGATAGTCGTCTTAACAGGTTCTACTGGTACACTCGGCTCCTACATTCTAGAAAGTCTCCTCGAAAATCCACAGGTTGCACATATCTACTGTCTAAACCGATCATCATCCGGAAAAGTTCCTCGGCCTTCTCGAAGCTCAACTGCGGATAAAGATCCTGCTAATCCTCGAATCACATTCCTAACCACCGATCTCACCAAGCCAAATCTCGGTCTCCAATCAGAAGATTACACCAAGCTACTGCAAGCAAACCGCATCATCCACAACGCCTGGCCCGTAAACTTCAACCTATCACTCGCCTCCTTCCGTCCCAGCATCGAAGGACTATTCAACCTCCTCACCCTCGCAATCTCTAGCACCGGCAAAAATTTCTTCTTCATCTCATCTATCAGTTCCGTCATGAGCTACAAAACCGCATCGGGCTCTACCCCAGAGAAAATAATCCTCCCATCTACCAACCCATACCAACCTACCCTAGGACCAAACGGCTACGCAGAAAGTAAATATCTATCCGAACTTCTAATTTCCTACGCCTCCGACAAATTCTCCACGAAGGGTTATCAGTTTTCCCTCGCAAGAGTAGGTCAGATAGCTGGTCCTGTCAAAAACAAAGGAATATGGAATAAGACAGAATGGTTACCCAGTCTCATTCTCAGTTCTATCCACATAAGCTGTATTCCCTCATCACTAGGATCTAGTCTTGGAAAAATCGACTGGGTACCTGTAGATTTACTCGCGGATATAATTGTCGAGTTAACCTTGTATGAAAACAAAGAAAAAGAAACCCAAATCCAAGTTTTCCACCCTCTAAATCCCCATCCCACAACTTGGGAAAATGTCAAAGAAGATTTAGTTGCAGATCTCTCTAGTATTACTGGTAAGGAAATAGATATCGTTCCGTTAGATATATGGATTGCACGAGTTAAACAAGATGTGGAAAGTAAAGCGGGGGTGGGAAAGATGTTGATAGATGGGGAATTGGATGGGATACTAGAGGTTAATCCGGCGGTTAAGTTGATTGATTTTTATGAGGATGTTTTGGGGGATAAGGGGGTGAGTAATGTGTTGGAGGTGGAGGGGACGATGAGGGTTAGTGGGGCTTTGAGGGGGTTGGAGCGGGTGCAGAGGGGCTGGATTGGGAAGTGGATTGGGGAGTGGGTGGGTGTTTGAGGGGGGATGGATGCGGTGGATGGGATTGATATTGTGTGATGTTGTGTGGTGTTTGGATAGCTTTTTGGATATCATCTACCACCTATCAACAAGCAGTACAAATAAAATCAAGCATCCTCCAAAAATATCAAAGAAAATTATTACTTATTACATGAAAGGCTGTTAGCCTTACACTGCAGCTTTAGCATATATTACTTGATAGCCAAACAAGCCCATAATAGGTAAGTGATTCAGGTTGGATTTTCGGATGATCCTTAGGGTACAGGATGGACATCGAGGGATAAGGGACGATAGAAATGAATGTATTTATATGATAATCTCATTGTTTGATTATCAAGACAATGAAGCGCTATAAGGGTATCATGGCTGAGAAAAAACAGGCCCCATTCCCATATCAATTACAGAGGTTTATTCAGTTTGTCAATTTGACACAACTACCCTGAAAAATCTGTATATGCCCGGCACCCCAGAAGCAGCGCCCCTAGCACCATGACAAAAAAAATCAACTTTGACTTGTTTCGTGTCGTCCACATCTATCAACAGATTTGAGCCGAATCTGTTGTGCAGTATTCTAGGAAAGCAATACCCATTGTACCACTATTCCTCGCTATCCTCAACATCCCCACCCATGACAATCTTTAGTCCCGCCCTCGCCCCCTCAACCGTATGCTCCAATGCTGCCACCTTGGCCAAAACACTCATTAACTTTGGATCTCCACTCTCTACCCTCACCTTCTCCTTAACTCTGACCTCTTCTCCTTTATACATAAACACCTCATCCATCTCATCATGCTCTAATCTCCTCTGTGCTCCTATCGCAAATGCTATTCTGCTTCCTAGATTCACTTGTTGTGCTACGGGCTCAAGAACTCGTATGGTAAGCAGTAATGAGCCATCGGAGATTGTAAGATCGAGAGAGAGATTAGAAGGTAGAGATGGGGAGAAAGTATCGGGATCGACGGGCTTGTGTGCCCAATTCAAGGAGGCAGGAGTTTGAGTAGAGGATTCGAGGAGAGAAGGGCCTTTGAGAACGAGCTTGGCTTCGGTGAGGATACTATGTAGGAGATGTAGTTGTGAGGATATGAAAGGAGCGGAGTGACGGTCACCAGTCCAGCGAGTTATATCGACACAATCGAGACTTTGGTTTAGAAGATTGCGGAGCTGCGTGAGGGGTTCGAGGACGAGAGGTTGGATTGGAGAGACGGAAAAGGAGGTTGGTGGGAGAGATTTGAGGCGGAGATGAAGCGTCTAATAGGAAAAGTGTTAGTGGCGCATGAGTGTGAAGGGTCCAGTATTTGGCGGATGGTGGGAGTAGGAAAAAACTGCAAATCGATAGAAGCGAGGAAGAGGAAGGACAAACTCCTTTAACCACCTGAGTGCCCACGCGTGTAATATGACCCTTTAGATACTCAGAACGAGGTGATGACATAACAAGTGTAGAGCCTGGCTCAACCGGCGCAAGAAGCGCATAACAATCTTCGAGGCCCGTCTTGAGTGAAGTTAAAGTATCCTGAAGTGATTCTAGAAGCCATGATAATTCGCGTTCCTGCAATGATGGTTAGGTCTCGTATGTCGCAAACGTGTAGAGGAAACTATGTATGTATTTACCGTAGAATCATCTTCTTCTTTTCTTAACTCAAAGGCTGGTAAAGATGGCCAAACTGAGGTCGACATATTGATAGACGTTTGGTGTGAAATTAAATGTTCATAAGGATGATGTAGAATGCGCACTATGATGGAGCTGTGGTGCACTACAGCCCTATGACGTTAGTTCATGATAGTTTCTGCCGGGCGGTGAATTATTTATCTAGTCCTAAACTACAGAGTAATATTAACTCAGTAGTCAGAAACACACCTCTCCTTCGTCCTACATCACATTTTTTTGTCTCTCGTTCATAAACAATTGCCTCGTAACAATACCGAAATCTCCTACAGGTTACAGAAATCACACATACATAATCAAGCGATATCTTGGCCGACGGGGAAATATGTCTCCAACTCAACAACCGCTGTCCTCCAAAGACGATAAGAAACCTAAATTGCCAAGATTAGAAAAGAGTACGCTTCCTCCGTCTACTATCTTATATGAATATAGCTTATTTATTGTCCGCAGATCAAAGAATTCAAAAGCGACCCCTTCTCCACCCACCAATTGCATCACCCCGCTCCTCCTCGGAAAAAGTTATCTACGTCTCTCACAATTCACAATTCATTGCCATTGTAAAACGAGTTCGCAAATACCTCGATGGCGCGGAGTTTCGCGCTGGACCTACAGTTTTGCCTAGCACGGACAGAGAACTCATGGAAGAAATTGAGGAAGGCATCAAACACTCCAGAATGGGCAAGAAGGCTGGCGGCGGTAAAAGTGAAGAGGTGGTAATGAAAGGAACAGGGAAAGCAATTGAGAAAACATTGATGTTGGCGAATTGGTGGCAGCAACAGGAAGGTGTGAGGGTGGTTGTCAGGACGAAGAGTATAGCGGCTGTTGATGATATTGTGGGAGTTGACAATGCAGATGAGGATATGGGAGAAGGTGAGAGTAGAGTCAGAAGAGTCAGTGTGTTGGAAGTGGCTGTTTCATATATTTGATTGATGTGCTAGATTCAATGCACAGATCGTGGGCTGGGAAATTTTTTTTACAGAGGAGCTATAAATTGTTGGATTATATTAAATTGTTTGGGCTTGGAGTTCGAGTGTGGCGTTATGGCATATTACACGTAGGTGTTAAGATACGACGTTAAACTGGGTGGACAGGCGCTAGATACCAAAACAATTTGTACATGAAAAGGGTTTGGAATAAATCAAGCAATTGACACTCCAGGTCCCGCTCCGATTCCTTTCATGCATTCCGTTGAGAATATGAAGCGAACATGAATTCAGGGAAAATTTCGAGGTATGCCTTCTTAAGCAGTATGAGACAATTGCCTGAGATTAAAGCTGCTGCAGCGAGATATCCAATGGTCCGGAATTTCTGATGTCTTTAACAAAGATTACTAGCGGCGTTCAGTATGTTGTCATTTTCAACTTGAGGACAAGGAGCAAAGGGGAAGAACGGCAACGTTACTTCATGCACAATTGAAGCGGCGATCAAAAAATGCTAATCAAGCAATTGTGCTCGCCGCGGAGCAGGCAAGTATTGATAACAGTCAACGGGATATGAGATATCGGGAAGCAATCTTTTGAACTACCGTCACCAACCCAATCAATAAGCGTAATACTCGATTGCTTCGCGATCGACATACTTCACAATACTCGGTACCTTCGCGGGAAATAGCAGCAATCGGATATGATCCCTGAGCTCGTCAGATTCATGTAGGAACGATTCTGAGAAAGAAGTCAAGCGGCTTGTTTTCTCAACAGTACAAGAGAATCGGAATGCATCAGTCATAAGAATAGTCAATGCACGATCTAGGAAAGCACCAATGAGATATAAAATTTAACATAGTATTGCCTCCTTGTCTAAAGTCTCCCCATAACCTATTATGCTATTTAGTCACTATTAAAATGACTACGTATAATCAATTACTTCCTACAGCTGGTCCAGCGATCACTATTCCGCCTTTGCGTTTTATCCATTGTTTCCTTAACCCACATGCATTGGCCGATTCCCATTTCTATCAGACAAGTTGCCCCTTCTTGCTCGGCGGACTGGCGAATAGAATCACGAGAAAGCAGGCCCCGGTAATAGTCCTGTATCTATTATCAAGTACGTCGTGCAAAGATCCCAACAGCAAGTTGGCAACCTGATTCTGTCTCTCTAAAGTAGGGAGCAGAACATCTAGTTTTTTCTCTTTGTATTAATCGTCAGTCAGTGTGGCATTGAAAATAATATACTTAAGAACTCACCAAGTGCTTGAGAAACGAGCGGCGCTTCACCATCTGGTCTTGCGGCCCAATCAACTTCATTTGCCGAGACATGAGCGCCAGAGCTTTCGTCCAATCGTACCGCATGGCTGTGCATCAAAGTTGCGAGGTTGGACAAACGGACCTGGCGGTTTTCCATCATTCGTAAGACTAGCTCCCTCAACATTTGCGATATTTGCACAATTCTTTTCCTGAATACCGGCTTCTTAGAATCTCTCCGCTCCAGGAGGACAAGAGCTGCTGCAATATGGGATCGCGTCCTATCATCATAATAAGAATCTGCCTCAATATCTGATATTTCAATGGCATGTCCACCAATTGGATTGTCCCTGTTGATGAGGTAGCGATTTGGGTCAGATATGTGCCGAATCGAATCAGGTTGGTCCACCGTGATGTGTTGTGATTCTCTACGGTCAGGTGGTAACGGGGCGTGTGGATCAAGCGGTCTGTTTGCCGTGAGATTTTGGATGATTATTGTCTCCATGCCTATGCAGCTATGGTTAGTTGCAATAACCACTCGGTGTGAAATTGGTTTGGGATACTAGGGTGACTTACTTTCTCCTCTGATAGGGGCTGGTTGTCTCACTTCGCTTACTAGAACCTCGTTTGATACTGCTAATCACGTTTAGTTGATGTCAAATTAAAGAAATAGAATATTCATTCACCGAAAGTACCCATGAGTATGTTTGACTAGGCAATGATGTTTATGCACAAGGCACACGGAAATTTACTTACTAAAACCACTGAGCCCTTAAGCTAATGCTTGAAGATATAAACCCGTCACTTTCGGAATAATCGATCAAAATATTGCAGTTCGAATTGGACGTTGATTGTATGATTCCTCTTCTGTTCTATTTTGGAAATGAGAATGTCGTGTTTATGAGAAAAATCTAAGGTTGAATCAAGATAATGGAAAGAAATATTTAACCAACTACTTCCTGACCGACGGTATTGCGATATTAGTGCTTGCTCTACCAGTATCGTCTACGGTCTAATGTCACAAGCGACTTAACGGTGCTATCGCACGCTGTATATCAATTATGAGAGAATATCTTTCAATATAGACTTACGGTCGTTGGTTGCTGTAGCTGTAGTGGTCTGCGAAGCAAGCTTTTATGTCTCATGTATATGATATATGAGTTCTCTTCAAGTTGTCGTCGAGAGACGGGTAAAGCAGCTTAAGAATCATTCCTTCCCTCAATCCCTCGTATTCTGCCTTTGCCAATTGTCTGGCATACAAAGCAGTTCCCAAATTCGCTGCCAAATCATCTCGGTCAAGAATTAGTGCTTGAATCACATTTTATAGCAGCGGTAGCTGTCTCACCCTATTAACATATCATCTCGAAGCAATGGTAATAGTGTCCCGATAGCTTGGTATGTAATATTTAGATTCATTTGAATTTATGAATTGGCTGCTTTGTGGGAATTTGTGAATATGCCATCTGGAAAGCGTTTCTTCCCAAATTAATGTTCACTATCGGGGACCAGGTGCCAAATTTAGATTGATATGTGATTCCGATGTTTGATATTCATATAATGGCTAAGCGGACCAGGATCAGCGAGATTATTATATACATTTCCCACCCTGACAGTATTGTATTATGACTTTACTACAGCTCAAGCTTTGATCCTGCAACGTGGAGTAAAGTTTAAAAGATAGCTGGACGGCTCCCATACTACCATTGCCAGTTTGATATGTCACAGGTTGAAGTGTGGGTAACTTGCTAGTCGATAAGCTTCTACCCTGATCCTAGCCGAAATAACCGGCGACTCCTTTTGACTGCATAATCTCGTCTCATCGCATAGTTTAAATGGAATTGTTGCTTCATGAAATGCTAAGGCTTTACTGTGTATCTAATATCTATATACAATAGATTCAAGCGAGGCTGCATGATTGACTATGGATCCTAATCGACATCTACAGCGAGCTGGTTTGAGCCCTAGAGTAAATTTATCCATAGATAGTAAATTCCAACGGCAAACTACCACAAACATAGTAGCTACTGCTTCTTCAAATACCCGCAACATGCTGCTGGGTATTTATAATCTCATCATGCCTCACTCTCAACTTAGTAAGTTTTTTAGCAAGTCCGTCTATCAATTTCTTTGCTTCGGGACTAAGAGCGTGACTTGACGACTGCGGCTTTTCAGCAACTGCCATATCAATATCCTTACGTATTAAATCAAAACTACCGACTACTTCCCCTTTGAGCTTGCCAAATTCATCGTCGATTATAGTAATCATCTCTTTACGCATGTTTTCTGATATATTAGGGAATATAGTGCCGTTCGAGGTATGGTTTGTGATGATTGATATTTGACGTGCGTGCATGCCCTTGCCTATTTATTTTTGTTACTACGGGAGTGACTGTTATCTGGATTAGGACAGTATATTTACCTCCTTGACTGCAAGCTCCACGATAAGCTGGCATCATATCTGTTACAATGAAAGATGAGGCATTTGGTTCTTCGACATATTGCCGGATTGTTCTATCGTAGAAAAGAAAAAAGTAAGAAAGCTGGCACGAAAGTAGGAGTATATGATATGATACCTTAAACGCCTCGCAAATTTCTGCTCAATAAGGCTAAATTGATATTCCAAGTCTTGTATTCGAAAGTCAATTCCGTACTGCACTGTAGTTGAAGCGTTTTGTTCTATTTCCGGGCTGTCAGCTTTATGTGCCTTTCATGATGGTTCAATGCATAGGTCATTTGGGTTATCTCGCCTTCAATAGAAGCTCGCAAGCTGCGTAGTTGGTCTTTAGCCTCCTGTAGGAGGCCCTCAATGATTGTTGTTACTTTCTCTTCCAGCAGTTCCCATTTAGTCTTCAAGTCGATTCTCATCCTTTCAATCATTTCCGCATTCCAATTGACATAACCTCTCGTTCCAGTTTCGTGTTCTCCATTATTTCTACACCATGCCTTATATGATTCTATTGAACTCAGACATATCAGTTATCTTTCCTAATAGCTATGTAGGAATTGGGAATTCATACGAAAATGCCACTATCCTTTGTCAGAACCATATCGATTGAGTATCAAATTTTTGCTTACTAGAGACCATTCGCGCGCCTTACTTGCCGCATTTCCTTCCCATTGTATACTGCTCTTATCTTTCTGAACTTAATAGGATACATCTAGTCTATGATTTAGGGTAACTCACTAAAGAAACGGAGTATGTCATTTTGTAAGACATCTCGGAACTCTCCATGATGTTTCAAAACCGATGCAAGTGCCTAATCCCGAGTTAATAAAGCAAGAGCTGGATTTATCGGATTTTTTTTCATCACCCACCTCATTCTTGCAGCGCTCATGGCGGTCCATAATTGATGCTCCTATATCAACTTTGTGAACTTCCGCTAGGGCATGGGTGGATTCAGTCCAGATTTTTATAGAATTCAATAGACTTGGTAGCCTTGACCGCATGAAATGAAGTGCCTGCAGAAGTTGAGCACTGGCGGTAATTTTGCGGCAGAAGCGACGTAGTTCAGGAATACCACTCTTCTGGACCATTTCAATGTTACCTTTCTCTGCATAATCCCCGTAAGTTGTATTTGACACGCAAAATACATCTAAACATCCGTTTGGAATTTTTTGTCGATACGCTGTTTGGAGCCGTTCAGTAACATGTCGGTTGCGAGCTTCGATGAAGAGCCAACGCTTCCTATAATTTGTTAGAAGCTAATTCAACATTAAAAAAATGCAAACCTCACTTGCGCTCAAGTTCTTTCTTCAACTTTTTGTCGCCTTTACGCTTTGCACTGTCAATATCCTTATCTATCAGACTTATGTCGCTGGTAGATAATTCTTTGCCCTCTCCAACAAATGCTCTCTTCGCCGTCTTCTCGTTGATGTCCTAAACCGAATAAGCCATAAGAAATAATTTCTCATCCACACACAATTACATACTTCTGATCTTGTACAAATCACGGCCAATTTGAAATTGGTGTTATCGACCCCCGTCTCCTCCCATGCAAGCGGAACATGGCGCTTGAGTTCATCGTATAATGCTGACTTGAGTGTTGCATCGGTAATAGCTCGGGAAATTTTGGTCGCAATAAAGACGTGATCACAATCTTGCAGGTATTTTTGTGTTGCCCGAACACGTGCTAGATTGGTGTCTTGCAAGCCTAGAAATATCGGTCAGCTAGTGATAATGGATAGTGATACTAGACATACCTGGCAGATCGGCGAGGACTACTCCAGTCTTCAGGACCTCAGCATCAAGATAAACGCGAATTATCTTGGTGAATGGCCAAAGTCTATTCTCCATGAAGACGCTAGTCAGGTCTTGGCATTCATCCGGGGTGTCCGCAGTTGCTGTCCATAGACCGGAGTCATCATCAGTAGGAAATTTAATGTTTTGTATCCATGATAGTAGCTGGTTTTTGATTCTCTCAAATGCGCCGTCGGAGTTATCGCTCAAAAAGTCGATACTGAAACCTTCTTGCTCACTAAAAACTGCTTCAAGGGCCGACCTGGCCACTGCCGATTCTCTTTCAATACGTTGCTGCTCTTCAAAGTCAACTCCACCTCCGCTAGGATCTAGATCTGGGAGAAATAACTGTCTGAAGCTCCACAGCAATTCCTCCACCATCTCCCGACGCTCCGAATTGGAAAGATATTCGGCTTCAATTGAAAACGATTCAAGGGTGGTTCTTTTCTTTTGTCTGTATTCTGTGACAACAGAAGTACAAGCAGCACCCTCATCACCCTGGAAAATTGATCAATACCTCCTCAATCAAGTTCATAGCTATACTTACAGTTCTAGCGAGCTCTGTTACGTGCAAGAGTGAATTGATCAGACTGCTCTTCCCTTTGACACAGTTAATTTGACTGTCATGAAAAAGTGATACAACAGTGTATATCATATGTGAACCTACCTTCTCCTGAAGCGCCTAATACGGCAATGGTCCTAGTTTTTGATATGTTGACTGTGCTCAGTCCTCTTGCATCATTCAGCAGTCGTTGAAAATTTGAATCCGTTTCGAATGTCTTTTCCAATTTTTCCATCTCTTGTGCCACCTTAATTGCAACATTGTAGCTTCTCCTAAGAATGTATTGGAATCCATCGGTAAAAAAGGTTTCAACGGGAGCCTCTTCCTCTTCTACTACGTACTCTGCATCGTCTGACGAATCGGTAGCAAATGAATTTCCGGAAGATCTTCGGGAGTGGCTAAGCGGCGTGCTGAGGCTGACGCTACCCCGCACCTCAATACCATCTGGCGAAAACTTATAGCGAGCATCTTCCATAACCTCCGGGAGATTTTCTGAGCGGTCGCCTGCCAAAGTCTTTTCTCCTGAATCTAATGTATACAAAGGTTGAGGCAATTCATGGTCCGGTGTCACAACGATCTTTAAGTCTCCGTCTCTGCTCGATGTAGGTCGACCTTGTTTCTCCTCCGAAAGTTCGGGAGTTAACGTTATGGAACGCTCCACAAAGACCCCAGATTGAGCCGAACTAAAGTTAGATATAGTATCAACTTGTGTTCCGGGGCTGTTGCTTCCCCCGACTTGATGGATTGCGACTGTGGCCTCATCTGTTGAACTGTCCGGCGTTGCGGGGATATTATCCGCTTCACTACTGGATGATTGCGAACTTGGCCTGCCCTGCGACAACTCTCTCTTCTTTGATCTGTTTGGGAGTGGTGCAATTTTACGCAGAAGCATATCATCTGAAGATGCCATTGTTGCCACTTACCATCACAATATTACTGTGAAAACAATAAGAAAATGAACAGGAAGTTGAAGGATAAAGGATGTTGGTCACAATTGGATGCATCCCTGTTCCGTGTGCCTCGTTCTGCATCAATTTTTTTAGGATGCAGTTCTGCAATCTCGAACCAATGAGGGCAATTTGAAATCGCGTAGCTTTTCCACTAAAAGACCCCTGGCATCTAAAAGAGGCACAGCGGCCAAAAAAATGCTATCATGTGGGTGTCTATAATTAGAACAAACTGTTGGTCCCTAGGTCACTTGATGTATCGTGAAAATATTTACTACGGGTTTCTGCAATAAAGTCACGTATATCTTGACCCTCCTGCTAAGTGCCAGGACCTAGAAGAGCTTTCAGAGATTGGAAAACTCCCATACTATCTCCGCTTCGACCTAGTGACATGATAAATTCGTTCAAGTTGAAGGATAAGATAGTATGAGAGTAGAAGATGCTTCTTACGTCTGCTGTTGCCTGAAATTTTTTTAGTTTCAACATAAAAATATTGGATGTCACAAAATTTTGCCTTCTGTTGCGAGCATCAAGATAATGGAATTTCCTTGAAAGATAGGATATGATAAGTATGGGAGAGAATCTGGGTTTTGAAGCATTAAGTGCTTCCATTGTTACTTTCAATGATATCAAAGAGAAGAGCCACATAACGACGAACATTCTGCCAAAATGCCTCTCGCTTGATGTCGAAAACTACTACTCGAGACAAACTTCGCGGAAGTTTACGTAAAACGCAATAATATGTGCTGACGGACGGCCCTGTGAACGTCTGTTGCCTAGCGTCCCAATCCCGGTGTTAATAGATAATTCAGATCATCTATTCTAGTGCAAAATTAGCCCTGAGTTGGATAATGTATTAGCGGACAGGGCTCGGTCAGAGATATAAAAATAAGGTACGTTTCCCCAAAAATTCGAAACAGAGCTACGACGTGTATCGGTGCAATACCTGCAGCTTGAATATTTGGTGGATGATGTTTTCCCTCAGTTCTGAAAATCACTTCTGCTCCCCCAAAAAACATTTGAGTTGCTGGGAAGCATTGGAATTGTTGGTGCCTTTTCCATTTCATAGTACTTACTTTTGGTTCGGAGTCCCTGGTAGAAGACTAAAATTTCGTGGAGGTGGGAATAAAGCGGTAAAAGATATCGAGTGGCTGATATAAGTCTCCTGAGGACGATCCTTCCAATGGACTCTTAGAAAGGAAGCGAAAACAAGCGCTAACCGAGTACAGTACTAGTCTAGAAAAGTGTGGCATCGACTCTATCATCAAATTAGCCTCGTACTTTATGCTGACGAAATAAAACCCATCGTACAATCTTTGCCGTCGGTGTATTCGAATTCTCTTGATATGATGGCCGTAACTACAGCGAGCCTCACTTATGCAGTGTAATTGCATTGTGAATTGGTCTAGCTATGCCGTACCTGGAAGTCGCACAATTTTACTTCCCCTTTCTTATCAATCGGTTTAAAGGACATTAGGCTTGGTTTCCTCTAGTCCCTAGACTACTTCACCTCCAGAAAAATACTGTTTCTTTACTTTATTGAGGCGGCGTACCAGACGGTAGAAGTCCCATTATCATTCGTCCGGGTACAGATATACGGATTTTAATTTACTCACTACATAAAAATAGAGATATCCGAGGAAACAACGCATTGGCGTTTGGTCCAGAGAGATGGAAAAATTCAGTCACTACATGGGAGTATATACCTTTTCTCGCCGGTGGTAGGATATCTCCATCGCAACAGATGGCGTTGAGAGAAGCTTCTCATTTGATACTTTGATTCATGCAAGAATTCACAGTTATGGAGAACAGAGATCTGTAGAAGAATTTTGTCATGGGTATGTAGCTAACTATGGAGAGGAAGAACGATGTTAAAGCGGGGTTTGAGGTTGCTTGATATGATTGTTCGGAAAGTCATGCACTTTTGTTTGTCTTCCCGAGACTACAATTTGTACTTAAAGATTATGACAGCTTCAAAAAAACCTTAGATTGACGGTAGTGTTGACGACTGATATGTCTTTGACCTAACTGGGCTATTAAATTGATTGTCACATGAATATCATGCGACTGCGGTGTTTTCACCGGGTATTTGGAGGACATATTTTAGAATTAGACTTTCAAATACATACATAAGGCTGTCCCAATATTCTAGGGGGAATAAGCCAGCTGGAAGATCCGAAAACCCTAAGAGGTAATAAAGAGTTATCAATTGCCCCATCTATATACCCATAATGCTCCAAAGCACAGCCTTGGCCTCATCTGACATGAAAGTTCCCCCAGAAAGATATGCCGACCAATCTCCAACTTTGTGCAGTGCAGAACTTGCTCCTTTTGATCCCATAAATCCTGCAGACACCGACGATTTGCCAATTACTTCCGACGGTTTCCATATTGAGCACCGAGGCAATCATCAAGTCGATTGAAACGCACTTCTTATTCCACGCCCTTCAAAGAATCAAAAACGAACGGTATCAGGATTAAGACCAAGTGCACAAAACATTTTCTTCTGCTTCCTCAAAGAATCCGCAGACTTCTGTTGTTTTTTAACGACGTCAACACCTTCATCTTTCTGAAATTGTATCTCATTTTCGACAACTTTAGGGCTACGATCGGTTATATTTGACCGCATCAAGATATCTTCCATATCCTTGATTCTTTGTTCCATCTTGCCACAGAGAAGATTGAGATTCTGGATGTTGGCTTCGTGATCTTCGACGATGGTAGTGAGGTCTTCCATTGGTGTTTTACCTTTTGAACAATGACGCTTGCGAATGGGGTGTCGAACTGGCTTGGAGGGTTGGTTGGTGGAATTTTTGTGACTATATTCGCAAGTTAGCACCAAAAGCTCCTCATGAGGGTATGGAAGATTTACGCTTCCATTTTGCTTGATTTTTCTGATTTTGGGAATTGTTTGCAGGAATTAGCGTTTTTATTGCGTGTTGAAAGTTTGTCTAGAACGGGTTTTCATGAGCAAAGATATACTGGACAGACCTGATTGTTGAATTTTGAGTCATATCTATGGGTACGGCGTTTTGATAATTCACAGTTCATATTCACCAGCAAGGTATGAATCAATCTACCGTACCATTCCAAGTATACTGAGACTCAGTATAGGATTTTAATCATTGAATAAGCTATCATTTCTACCAAGTCATGTGCGTAAAATGATTTTAATGGTAAGTGAAGAAAAAGACTACTTCTTGAGTAAAGTTCATCTCGCCTTGATTGTATTTTTAGTGTTTTTGGCACTTTCTTTGTGAAATTAGCGGTGGCATAGCGGAGAGACTATCCTCTGTACTCGAGTAAATCATATATATGTATTTACCTAGGCGTAATACAATTATTCACTCAAAGCTGCTCGGGAGTGCTTAGCATTAATGGCTCCACTCAATCATTGGTCAACATTTAAATTTAACTAAGCGCTCCTGATAGGTGTGGAACGATCATATCAGTACCACAAGATCTCACCACAGTTCATCATTAAAAACTCTCCTAGTTCACTAGATTATTTCATCATAACCACGGCGGTACTGTAGATTATATTCAAGGCTTTTTTATTCAATATTAAGCATACCATCTTACAACTCCACATGCTGCAAGATGATTTCAATGGCTTGTTCGGAAATCTTGTAAGATCTTATATAGAAAGCCGAAATATTCAGTACCGAGCTCGTGGTCGTCTAAAATCTATCAATATCTTTAATGTCGCTTCTCCGCACAACCATACTCATTAGCCTCAGCCAAAAAAAAAAAAAAACGCTGGACGATTAAAAGTTCTAGCAGTCATACAAAAATCGGTATCTGCTACATGTCAAGCAACCATTGTCCTGTCATTACATTCAGCTTAATGCAAAGCGTTGGGTCACGCTACGTACCTGAATAGTTTACACCTTATTGTCACAATTTGCTTACCATGAATCACCACCTTACTTTTATTTAACTTACTAAAATGAAGATAGAATGAAGTTCAGATTAGTTACTAAAACGACTATCTTCAGCAAGGGACCACAAGAAAAAAATTTCCCTTGAGTTGAGACAATCTATAGAACACCATTATAAGATTCGCTTCCTCCTGTCTGAACGCTAGAGCTCTTCATCAAACGACGGAAAAATCATAATCATAAAGAGCTATATGACATAAAGAGAGTATATAATCTCTTTCTTCTTTCTACATATTAAGTAAAATTTAGACAAATAGTTAAGATCAAGAAGACACCTACTCAGGTTCTCGGTACAACGGTTAAATGTCGGAATAGGGCACTAACTTCAACTCCTCTAACTATTTATATAATGAGGTTTCACGAAATAACAGTATCATCTGACGTTCCTAACTTCAGTTAACTTCACTTCATTTTATTCATTCTTAAAACTAAAATTGATTTTCTTAGAGTCACAATTTACAAAGTTTTAAAGTATATAGTTGAGAGGAGTTACGGATATATATATATACATCTCGAAATATATCTCTAGCAAATATATCCACTTAGTTATACATAATTATTACTCACAAAGAATTCCCTCTCTAAACATCTACTGTAGATATCAAACTCTCTTATCTCATACTATACCCTCGAATTCCGATACTTATATATAGTTTCCTAAAACAGCGGGGAAAAGTGAATTCACCACCTAGTACGCAGGAAGTATAACCTCATACAAAAAGACCAAAAAAAAAGAACTAGAAGCAAGATTTATCATATACATTTCTGGACATAACTTTAACCCCCAAGAAATTCCACAATTTCACTCATTAATTCCCAATCCCCAATCCCATATCAAAAACCCATCACATTAATATCCATCCTCCATTGACCTCCAACCCATCCTCCAAGTTGCCAACCCGCCCCTAACCACCCCATCAACAACAAACCTCTACCTATCACTTCCATCCCATTTTATCCCACTCCATTCCATTTCATCATATCATTCAAACCCATAACATCAATCTCGAACCACACTACATATCTTCATCTTTATCCCAAAAATTATTTTATTATTCATTACCTATTACTCTCAGCATTCCTCTATCAAGCTTATTTTATTCTAACAGAAAGAATACATCCAATTCAATATCCCACATCATTTTTCATTTTTTATATTCCAATTAATCCCAAGAACCTCCCGCACCCACCTCCCTCTTAGCAATCCTCCCATAGAATTACTCTATAGCTAACTGACACACTAATGAATACATCAATATACTACACAATCCATCTAACTAGGCATATAAATAAATAAGATTACATTAACCCACACTCTCACCATCACACATCCCTATTATTACCATATCCAATCTCTCCATCACACACACCCAACCTCACCACAACATCCAAACCCAAACTCAAACCCAAACCCATCCTCTCTCACCTCACATTACATCACTGAACAAACAAACAAACTAAAATAAAAATTACCAACCAACTGGGTATTCATTTATTTCATTTAATTCATTAAGATATCCATGTATCTCTCAATATCCCATACTTCTCCTCTATCTATCTATAATATCTATCTATAATCATACAACCCCTGATTTCTACACCTCGCTATCAATATCGATATTATACTATTATAATACACTACGAAAACCTCCTTTCTCCTTTTCTCCTTCCCCCCTTCCTCCCTTTCCCACCCTTCAACCAATCTCCTAGAGCAGCTTCCATTATCTTCACCACCTTCACAATCCTAACAAACCCATGAAATCTCTATTCTTTTCATTTTCCTCCCTTCACCTCCCTCCACCGCGCCCTATCTCAAAATCTCCCTCCTCCTCATCTTCATCCCCACAACCCCCAACAAACCCCCAAAGACTAAAATAAAACACAAAAACCCCCTCCTAAAAAATCACAATCGCCCACAAAAGCACCACCATAAATCATCCATCCATCCATTCAATCAATCCAATTCACATAAAATTAAAAAGGAAAACCCACTCTCCATCTCCAACACTCAAAGACCCAGCCTCCACTCAAATTTCCAAATACTGATTAGTCAGGTACTCAAAGACAGACTCCGCTTCATAGAAGTTCAAAACACCCCCCTCCTGCCCCACAAGGAAGAGACGCTCTATCGTATAAGCAAGAAAAGCAAGAAAAACGAGTTAAAAGAATTTTCGAGGAAAAAATATTTTGATTCTATGTACAATCCATCGTTACCACCCCCTATCTCGGCGTTTTTGGTATCCATAAAAGCAGAGCACTTACTAATCGCTACAGTGATATACAAAATTCATTTCTTTCCCTTCCCTTCTAAACCTTGATTACCCTTTACTCCCATTATTTACTCCATTTCATCCTTCCTTCCTTCCTGTTCTCCATAATATATCAACCATTCAAACACAATCACCTCGTGACGGTGTTTTTCTGGCCAATCGTTCCATTCCCCAAATCTACTTTACATTCCACCAAATTAACCGTGTTCCCGCCTCCCATCGAGATATTCATAGCAGCCAAGTTCTCGAAGGTTTCTTGATTGAAGAATTTTTGAAGCTGTGTTTGTGCTGTGATTGCATTATCTAAGTTTTCCTGTTGCAAAACAAAAAGTACTGTGACTCTAGCAAAGTCTAGAACTTCCTGAGTAATAGAAAAGACAGCTGTTGGGTCAATTGTAGAAGTTGTTAGGGTTGCGGGTGTGGTCTTCGTGGTGCTCGGGGATGAAGTTGTGGAAGGCGGTGCAACAGAGGTTGATGCGACAGAAACAGTTGAAGTGGACACATATTGTGACGTAGAGTCTGCTGAGCTGATGTCAGTGTAGATGTAAGTTGCATCTGAGTTTGCAAGGGCGCGGATCTCGGCTTTTGTAGGATCTGGCTGTGCATTTCTTTTTACTTTGTTGGCCGTGGAAAGCGTCACTTCAGCACTCGCATCTCCCATTCTTTCATCACTTCCATCAAAAGTGACCAGCGAATTTTCCGACGCACAACTCAAATCCCCGGCGTTGAATCTCGCCAGAATGGTATTCTCGAATAAAGGGATCGAAAAATTGGTTTGAGCAGCGGAGATTAGTCGAGGTATAGAGTCGCCAATAGTCATGTTTGTGGCAGTGCCTGATGACGTGGTGGTACAACCCGTAGATCCTGCAACTGTGCATGTGCTGCCTGTGAATCCATTTGTGCATATGCAAGAACAGACACCATTGTCGAAGTAAGAAGTTCCTCCATTTTTACAAGCAGTTGAACTATCTGCCGCGCAGATTTGTACTGGAGTGGGGGTTGCGGTGGTAGTTGTTTTGTGTTTGTCAATTACGAGAAATTTAAGAGGTACGACGACGGCGGCCGCAATTATGATTAGTAAGATTATAATAACGAGGATGAAACCCCAACTAGGCAGACCGCAACACTTCCTTTGCCTTCTTGCATTTGTGTCATGTTTTGGATCATTTGAATCGTATTCTGGCCAGGCCGATAAGGGTCGTGGAGTATCGCGAGCAGGCGTTTCACGACCAGGCGGTGGAAAGGCCGATAACATTCCGGAAAGAGTAGAACCTCGTCTCTCATAATTAGGTGAAACTGTTATATGTTAGAGATTGCGATCTAAAAGAAATATCAACCACACTCACGTTCGATTTCTTTCTCGCTTGGGAAATCTCTGTCGCTGGGAAAATCGTCCAAACCCATCCGACTTGCTGGTCTTTTGCCACGATCAATCATCGATGCTAATCTCGTTGCTCTTCGAATCAAGTCTGGTAAACTTGTCAAGCTACCTCTAGATTCTGCCTCTCTTACCGCATCAATATTGAGACGTGGTGGTCGACGCAATGCCGATAGCCTACTAAATGGTCGTCCATCATTTGCAGAAGACGATTTGCTCGAGTCGCTAGGTAAAGCACTTGCTGCTTGATATGCTCCGAGCATAGCACTTGCGTTTGGGCTCTTTGTTCCATCTCGTGAAGGCAGATCAGTGGTTAGCGCCATGGCAATTGTTGGAACTGATTGGTCAGAATTCGATGGAGTAGGGATCAATGAGTCCGGTACCATTTGCTAAAGGTGAATTCAGATCCCCAGGCATCGGCCACTGTGTTGATCTTTGAGCTTCTACTGAACTTAATGTCGACTGTTGTAACGGTGTTGGGTATAATCTCCTGGCATCCGATGATGGCGTAGGTATTGCAGCAAGTCGTGCGGGATCGATTTGACCCGAGGATCGTGTTACGATCATAGAGGGTCTTGCTCGTTTGCCAATGCTAGCACTTCTGATCAATCCTCGATCGTCGTTATCATCTGATGCTCTAGATTCTCGACCTTCCGATACTGTATCGAACCTCCTATCATCTTCATAATCATCCTCATCCTCATCCGATCGATAATAGCCAGGCGATTCTGGTCCCCAACTTGAAGGTATAGCTGCACTCGATGCATATGAACTATGTGAGCCTGGAAGTGTTCGTGGACTGAGACCCAAGCCCTCAGATACCTCTGGAATTGGGGATACATAAGAAAGTTGAGAATAATATGATGAAGCACCTCTTCTAGCAGTTGGTGGTGGTCCTAGATTAGTACTTCTCCTTGCCGACGGTGGAATAGCTGGTATTGGAACAGGAAAGTCAGGTATCGTACCGACCGATGAGACGGTAGATTGACGTGACGATGATGTTAGTGGAGGAGACTGTAGTGATTGGTAGTTTCGATCAAAGCTATCATCTTGATTTCGTGGTGAGCCACGAGTTTGTGATTGGGCAAATAAATCTTGTGGCTGCGAATATTGTTGTGGTTGCGAATATTGTTGTGGTTGGTATTGAAATGTTGGGGTAATATCTTGTATTCTAGACGAATCAAGGATTGAAGGTACATGACTAGGTCTTGGTGGTCTTTGAGGAGGTGGACCTCGATTAGGAGGAGGTTGATACTGTTGAGGCTCTGGGCCAGGATTTGTTGCCATCAACGGCCATTGTGGTACTTGAGTAGGTCGAGAAATCGCTAGACCGACAGTACTTTGAACACCGTTTTTCGTCATTCCTGGTGAACCTTGAAGTCTTGCTCTGGGCGGACTCGGAGTATTGCTCGTTGATGTAGGATCATAAGGTCTTGGGGCGGGTATCGGTTCGGTAGGTTTACCTGCTGCCGCTCTTTCTCTTGCCCTCTTCACTGATCCACCTCTACTTGGCGCATCCCATTGTTGTTGTTGACTCATCTGATACAAATATCAGGTCGTTCGTACTACCAATAGTGAAATGAAACTCAGGTACCCGCAAATTCGAAACCAATATCCAATCGTTCGGGTCCTTCCGTGTATTATTTCGTTTGTATCTGCATGAAGCCGTTCCGCCTAGATTATTATTTCCGCAGTCGTTATGGGTCCTTCTTCCAAGACCTCGAAGGTGACGAATACTTTGTCCTGGGATATGCCACGCCACAATAAATTTTAAACCAGTGACTGAAAATAAGGATCGAATGTTTTTGAAAAGATGTTGAAGGCGAACCTTAAAGGTTTGAAGAATATAAAATTGCTAAAGAACGTAATTTCGGTTCACTAGGAGCCGGCTGGGAAAATAAAGAAGAATTGAATGTCTATTGGATCAAAGGGGTACTCTCGCATCTCAAGATCGAAGACGATTCGTATGTAGTGAATGAAAGAAGCCAATCAAGGCGGTTTGTGAAGTCGAGGATGCACTGTGGCGGTCCCTAAAGGCGTAAGCTACGCAAGCACAATCAATTAGTAACTATCGCCAGCGACAAACGGCCTGCGCGCAATGACAGGAAGAGCACAATAGAGCCAGTATCAAAATATTGACTGGAGACGAAGAGTGGCCATAGGGTAAGACACAAGATACCGGTAGTCTCGCTATCAACTACCACGGACTTTTGGCTGACACAAAAACTCATATAGAAATATGCCTCGGTCTTCAATTGACAAAGTAATGACAGCATTGGGATGATTTCCTTCAACGAAGACTTCACAAATAAAGCAAAAGCCCAAAAATTTCTCAAGATGGCACAATACAAGTAATCATCGGCTATGTTGAAATCATTCACATACATTTGATGTTTCGCAAGCCCGAGTGGATCCTTCATGCGATGTGAAGACTTCTTTGAATCGTCTTCTCTTCTGCCTTGATAACGTCGATAACTTTTTCGAGTCGATTGGAATATGTATAGACCCCCGTACGTTGACCTCAAAACGTTCTCTTCTTCAGCCTGCTTGTTGTGGGAGAAGCCGGTCTCTGCAGGTACAAGTTGAAAAGTCGGGATACTTGTATTTATTTTGAGGAGGGAAGTGGAGAGTATGGTATGTGGAAGGAAGCTTTCGAAGCTTGTAGGCACTCTTTGGTCGTTTCAGAATCGGGATCCTATCACCAACCTATTGTATCCAAAATGAGCGTCGAGCCGATCAAGCGATGCTGAAGCGCAAGTCTTGGGTATGAAGTTAAAGAAAGTTATCGACAAAAAATGAAGCCACAAGACGTCGGATTGGTTCGAGATCCAGTTCAAAGTCGAGAAAGGCTGTGGTTGAGAAAGGAAGTCAGGGTTCGGTAGATATTTTTGATAAACAGGAAGGAAGGATCTAAAGTGACATTTCGAGCCACACCAGATTTGTTTGAGCCAGTTAGTAAGGTCAACGGCCTAATTGATCAATGCTCCGTATCCTGATTGGAAACAAGTCAATTATGAATTTGAGGGGGCTTCCTGATGGATGGGTACGCGGTACTTTCTCATCGTATAAATGAGGGGATGGGGGCACATAAACGAAGTACGTACTTGGAACAATGCAGTGCATCCAAGGCACTCCAGATACTCAAGGTACTCGGGACTCTATGCGACTCGTCAATTCGATAATTTAACTGGCTGAGGGGCATAAATCTTGCAGAAAGGGCCTTCAATCTGGACAAAAAGTTTCTTTTACCTTGTCCTCCGATTATCCATGATCCATACCATACCACTTAACCCATGGATAAGGTCGCCCGCCATACAAAATGTTTCCCCTGGCCATGCATGGTGATGAAAAAGAAAAGACATCCGATCGTGGTCAGACTTGGAAAGTGGTTCATATTTTTGGTTCACTTGGTCGCCCAAAAAGGTCTCGAGTGTTATTTTTTTTTTGCGGGTCACGACATTCACAGGGGGTTTCAAAAATGTCATAGGTATGATGGATTTTTTGGTCTCTTTTTGAGATGTTCAACTTCGGATAAATCGCGATGTTATTGGTCGGTTGATGAGTAGGCTAGACTCATTAGCTGGACATCGGTACTTGAGAAGAATATCAAAGCAGCAACAAGTCGGTGGTGTATGACTAAGTATGTGCAGCGCTGTCAGCCAATCATGTGATTGGAAGAGTAATGATACTGATGGCCGCTTTCAACAATTGACAATTGAGTCCCGTAGCTGCGTTTCTTATCATTATGCAGTTGATTTTCTGGGATTACCTTAGTCACCAATCATCTCTCATCAATCCACTCAGCCTTCCATCAAAGCAACTCCAGCTACTGCCAAGTTGCCATCCCATTTCAGCGCTACAACGTCCGCATCGCATGAACGGGTGAATCCAGGATACTGTACAAGCGAGAATGGGAGACGACAACATCTTAACCTTACTTGAGTGACAACAGATTACATACTCCGTACACGCTTTGTTGCACTTGATCATATATCATGGAGCTCATCCGCATCAACCACGTACATGTACGGTACACTCGCTCACCGGAAGGAGTACACATGGTACGGACTCACCTCCACACCAGCGAAACGCCGGAAGCTCTTTTTCATAAAATCTTCCTAAATCCTCGAATTATCTCAATATCTTCAATCCCTTTTCCACTTTTCTAACCACTTTCCCATTTATCACATACAGTCACAATCCCACCAATCTTTACCCTTGTCACCCTCGTGGTATTCCCATCCTAGACTCAGTCCGAGCAATCTTATTCCACTGTTTCAGATTGAAAAAAGAAGAAGGATTCTAATTCGCTTCACCGCAGGGTCAAGGATTACATAAAATCTGAGCGTTGCCATTCCTTACAGGGGCCAAAACCCCCATCTTTTAACCATTCAAGGACAAACTTACTGTACCTAGGTATCTTCAAGCCCTGAACTGGAGGCTTTAGAATTGTTCCAATAGGCATCTATGAAAGAACATTCCCTTCTTAACTAATATATACGTACATACATACATCACCTCAGACTTCCTTTTCTTTTCGCCATTTTCCTATTCAACTTTTAACTTTTTCATCTGATGTATCATAAGTTCAGGAGGTTGGGATTCTGATGTCAGCTCTAGTCTCGCAGATCTTGCATTGGCGAAATGCTATGTACGGAGTACAAGAAAAGAGAATATGCAGGTACACATCTTGCATCTCATTACTCGTCAATCCTAGCAAACTGGAGGGGGAAGAAGAAAAGATACATTATTACCTACGCAGGGCGTACAAGCAAGATATCGGATTTTCATCACACCGTCTTTCCGTAGGTGACAAGCCAACTTTCTCAAGAGGTCAGGTAATACGAGATCGTATCTCTTTCTCCTGTCTTCTTACTAAAATTCTCCGACCACGCTCACCGTCCTCACATTGTTCCCATCGTGATGCAACGTTTTTCTTTCAATTGCGCAACCTCATCGAGAACATTTTTCCTAGCGCATATCTCCATATTTCCCATATGCAATACCCCAAGGGTGGAAATGGTGTTAGTACCCAAATCAAGCGCCTTGAGGCATTTCCTAGCGATAAGCGGAAATGAACTATGGGGCTTTTTGCCATAATTACCCTAGCATTCAATTTACGGAGATATAATGTTATACAAAAACTTCAAAATATTATTTGCCTAGTTTCGAATTTATTAATGATCGGCCCAGATTTGACTTTGGGGTCCTCACACTTGATATCATCACGGTGGAGATATATTTGAATAAGGAGGATGCAAAATGAGTCAAGTGACGAAGCTTCATTGAGTTGTGGAATTATGAATGGCATATTTTTCATCTCCAGTCAAGGCGCGATACGCTTTTGGATTGGGATTATTCGTTTCGCTGCGCATCCTTTCCATATCTGCGTGGAAACTTCTACCAACACTATCCGAAATTGCATGCCGGCTTAGCACTTCTGGAGATTTTCAAGCGTTATTTCTGTGTCTCCTAAAGTTCTCCTATTTATTCCCCCAATCCCTCCGTGAATGAAATTAACTTCATGTTGGCAAAGTAATCCTGGGTGTCGTGATCCCGAAAATTCATTCTTCCATTCTTTTACTGTGGAACGTGGTTGCCAGCGCAGTAAACGAGTCCTTCATTGATTCCGGCAGTGGTTCGAGGCTGCTGCTGTACTATGTTTAGTCTTGTCCCACGAAGTACCTTCTGATGAACACACCACGATGTTGTGGGACATGGTACTGGATCCTTGGGTTGGCTTTCGATGTAGGTACCGCGATCATCCTAACATCCTACCGGCATATATGTATGTCTCATCCTTACTCGTATCTCCGTATCACTTCCATTTTGAGCCTCTCAATTGTCATTGCGGTGAAACTTTTTGGTGATACCAATCACGTTTATCGTTCTAAGGTTTAACAAATGCCAAATTACCTCCTGCTACTCATTACACGTGGTTTAATGTCTGGCCAAACGTTTGGTGATACAGCGAATTGTAATTTCACTTATGTTTTCTATTTTCCTTGGACTTCGTCATTACGCGAAATCTCTTAGTTTTTATTCTCCCGTTGGAGGGAATCGGATATAGCAGGTTGAGTTAGGTGGTACCATGGGCATCATTCACAGTAACAATCCACCCATGTCATCGCAAAATTTCCATATGTCGTCAGTTATCGTCTCCTGAAATTATTGTTGTTCTCTTCCATTCTAACTATATACCTAAAACTCTTTCGTCCGCACTATCGGAAGCGGGATAGTGGAGGAAAAAGAATAACAATACTTACTGTAGTACAGAACACCTCCTTCCCCCATATCATAAGTCAGCTCACATTAGGGTTCCCTCTGGGCTGGCTACTCCGCCAAGTATCCAATCTCAAAAGCCCATCTTGATTCCCCATTTCCCTTTTTTTTTGATAAAAAACCAACACTCAGAGCCCCATCTCCAGCCTCAACCTGACCAGTCACTATCACGTGTATTGAGAATATTACAACATAAAAATAGTATATTAGCTTAGATATATTATATATACAAACCATGCCTTACATCGACTCTAACACATAATAATCTAATAATCAATTAAAAACCAAACCAAACTAAAATTCCAACTCAACTTTTACCCTTGCGCACCGCGCAGTAACACAGTCCTTTTTATACTTGACTATCTCATTACCACACTGGTATCTAAAGTCCTGTTGAAAAAGTACGGGTTTCAGGGTAAATGATACTTCTGTCTTCCATCTTCTGACTTATGATGATGGATGGTAAGTATCCGTGTATACATCTCTGGATTGCTGACGATAATAAGGAGGGGGCTAAAGAGGAATTGCTTTTGGTATAGTGGGCGGGGAAGGGGAAGGGGGGAGATGCGGATATGGTGTATATGTATTTATATGATAAAGGGATATTTATGGATTTTTGAAAGATTATAAATTGGGATTATGGGATTATTGGATTATTGGAGGTAGATTGATTGGTTTTTTTTCTCTTATCTATTTTTTAAATTCGTATATAGTATTATTGTAGTGTAGTATGGTACCATAGTTTTAGAACAAGTAAGTCAGTCAATCAGAATATTCAAATCTATCCCAATATACAAAAAGTTCAGAAAATAAATTTGTTTTATATCTAGCCTGCCAGTTTGGATTATTAAATGCACTAGATCTCCGTTCGTGCTGAAAGGTGTATTGTCTAATAAGGAAAAAAAAACCATCTTCTCACCGCAAAATGGCTCGCAAACTACCCTCCAGAAATCGGTCCAGTTTTCGGATTTTAACACGAGAAATTATATCTAGATATCTTGCCGCACGCTTGCATAGGCAGTTTTACATGATACACTTGTAGCACTGATTATGTCTCCAGCACTGTCTTTAGCACTGTCTTTGAGAGTTATCATGGCAAGAGAGTTTAAGAGATGAAGACGCAATTTTGTGTCTCGCTGAGATGGAAGAAACATATTCTCGTGGTGGGTGTATGCTAGTGATATCAATAGTGGCTGTAGCGGCGACTGAGAAGGAGAAGGGGAGCAGAAATAAACGCACTACCAATAAAAATCATAAAAGTCTAGAAGAAACGATACTAGACCTACTTAGTAATAGCGGCATATAAATCTTATATCCAGGAAGATTTTTAGTTTATATAGTCCTAGTTCCAAGTCTGAAGGATACATACAATATTAATACTAAATCCAGAGCAAAATTGTCGACAGTTAAACTTATATATGCGATACTGGTATCGGTGGTATTTGTAGGATTTATATTATTTGGAGATTGAAGAAACTGCATGGTTGTGTATGGTTTCAGAATCTGATGTTGTGTTTTGTGTTTGAATGTTTTTGGTGGTGGGTAGGGAGGAGTTGCTGCTATATATAGTGTTGGAGGTAAACGTAGCGATGAGATTGGGGGAATGGCTGAGAAAAGATATGTTCTTTGTTAGTTTGTTGGCTAGTGGAGGGTGAGGATATATTAGCGATATTTGCTGTATGGTATTTGGCTGGAGCATAGTAGGCTAGATTATCAGCATGCGTTGGACATAGTATCGGCACTGGCAAACACTGCCTATATCAGCGAACCATAACTTTAGTTTATAGCGTGCCGTATATGACTTGTTTTGTTTTTACATCCCCATTGTAGGTTAATATTTCTATTTAGAGATGAACATCAGGATGATTAGGAGATAGGGAATGGGAATCAGTCGCCAATCTTGTGAATAACAACTCGTGCTAATGAACATATAGTCAGTAGATTCACCGTACATTTCAGAGATTCTTAAACGCTCGTAAAGAGAATCGGAGCCCTGCTGTTAGATTACTCTAGCTTATATTTTATGGGCTTCTTAGAATACCACCTCATGCAACAGCATCACCTAAACTCCCTACTTCAGCGAATGCTTCACAGAAGTCAAGTACTGAAAACCATGTATCGTCGAGATTTACTGCATAGGCGAATCATATAGCGCTTAATACGGGTCGCTGGCTAGGATTTGGTAATCTGAGATATGTGAGCGATACAATAACAGTGTAAAACATTGGGTGTGTTCTAGATTTCAAATAAACTCAACAACCGAAAGTCCCTCATTTTTTGACTGTGGTATAAGTGTGGGATGCCTTGACTGCAAGAAGATAACTCCTGAGGTTTAGGTTGACATAAATCTTGATCTGGTCTCTTGTGACAGTGTTTGTTTGGATCATCGAGTCATGCGTGAATTGCATCTTGAGAAAAGACATTTTTGTTTCTGTTGGTGACCGTCACCACATTTACGAAGACTGCTCGTGTTTGAGCCTGTTCAGATAGATTGCATGCAGGAGCACCAAGGAAGTCAAGAGCAGCTGCGTTATAACAACTGATATTTTCAGCAACACCACCGGTGTTAGACATTACCCATGCATCATGGTAGCCACCTTCAATTTTGCCTTAGCTTCGGCTTCAAAGGTGCTGCTGAGATCTTTGTAATTAAACCGTTTCGTTCCAACCTCTTTGATAACATATGTACTCGTGGCAGCTGGCGGTATATCGGTGCCAGTTGGTATAAAGTGGTGGGGAGGTTCGCACCTGAATAGGGGAGTAGCGAATTATTTATGATTAGGTCTGCACGAAAGCACATCGCGACAGAATAGCAGTCGTTGCAAGAATTCGAAATGCAACCAAATTGTCATTAATCCCAACCTGAATCATGGTAGAAATAGTGCAGTAGGTAGGTATAATAAGCCTTGCCGAATTCATTTTTACCTCTATGAGAACCATTACACGAAAACCGTGCCATGCGATGTTGACGTAACGACCTCCATTATTACAAAAGCAAGATTCAAGAAATAATATCAAAGCTACGCTGTTCATTGTTTTGCCATGGCCAAGAAATGCACAAAACAGTGGCGATACTAACTGACCATAAATAGCGCCGGAATTTACGTCCTATTTTACACGTTGAGTTCCTTCGGTATTGCTCCCATTTTTGGCAGCAAATTCGAACGCATCCTCCTCTCCCTTTTCCCTCCAGCCAACCAAATGCATTCGACCCAGTACTCGGAGCCGCCTGTCGCATGCTAGCAGAATGTCGTCGACTCTGCCTTGAGTTCATTTACACTATGCGTACTTTGTTCCATACTAGCTGCTGCAAAATTTATAGCTACCCAACTAGAAGTGGCATTTTCATCAAGGATAATTCTGAGGCCATGGATACGAACCTTCTTTCTTTAGACCGTTTCCACGAGACTCGAGGTCACTTGATCCCATTGGAGAAGATGTTTTCGTGAGATCTTACCTTTGTGCAAAAAACCGGGGCACTCTAGTGGAGAAGCCTACATCATCGCGAGCGGGAACGGTTGTCTTCGAGGTGTACTTACCAACACACAGGTGTACGTCATCCTCCTCCACGGATGCAGAAGGAAATTCTATTATTCGAATAGGCGACAAGTAGAATGAGTACTTGGGTATTATCTTGTGATGCGTATGAGGGTGTAACATTTCTTGCGGAGAGATTTCGGGAAAATCAAGATGACGGTGACTATGGATGAGAGGCTGGAGATGATGGAAGCTTTTGCTGCTGTTCTATGACAAGGAGGGGATGTAGAAGAACTTGGGGATGAATACTGGAATGGGGGGATGATGAATGTTTGTGGGATGTCATGGAAGAAGGCCAAAATTACACTCTTTGATGGATAGATCTCCAATTACCACATTTAATCTCTTCTTTAAGTGCAGCTTTCTTTTAGCATGACATTAACGCGCATGTCTGCGTGCTTCTCAACTTCCATTGTGATTAATTTTCGCTTGTAAATTCTCACACATATTTGTGAACAATCTCTATATCCTCTTGATACTAATTGTTTCATAAAAAATGGTTCTTTTCATACCCAAGTACCGACCAAGAGTTCCATGGACGCAATCTCTCTTATACTAGAGAAGAAATTTGGAAAGAAAAAGAAGCTAGCGGACTTAAAATCGATTTAGGTAAATACGCATAGCTGTGCAAAAACCATAGAGCGGCATAAGTAGTGATATGGCATCACCACCATCCATGAAAAGAATTTGGCATGCAATTTTGGTGCCTATGAAAACTAGAACATAGAAGACCAGCCACCCGTTCCTGCAAATTCTTAATGGTTGCATCACCTTTCGAGCCTCGAATATACTCGAGTATGCAATTTTCGACACTGTCAAGACATAGATTCTAGTCTTGTTGGTATCAATCAACATTGAACCCCAGAAAACAGGTGAAATTAGACTACTTGGGCAGAGGACTAGAAAGTGCCTCGGTATCAAAGCATGCCTTGACTTTCGCCGTACTGACAACATTTATTAATTTACCAGCGGCATGAAATAGAAAAATCAAAAGACATTGGAAATTCTGTAAGTCAAACAAAAAGGAAATCTAGCTGTTCTCTACCTTCATTAGATGCTGCAGGATACAATTAATGGACAACATGCGAATGATGAGGGTACACGACCATTCAAGTGATAAACGAAACGAATACCATTAGGTCAATGAAAATCTTCAATGTCCCCATTCAAATTAGACAACCAAATGGAGCTTGCCTAGATGCCTAGGGATTCAACTTTGTGTGTGGTTTGTTCATCCATGGCTCACAGGTGGGTTAAAGAATGATATATCACTCGAGGAGACTTTCATCGATGTATAAGTGAGTGAGCACGACATAAGGATATTTAAATTCATGACAATTGTTAATCACTAGAGACCTTTTTTATGACAGAAACCAACGACAGATATATCTATTTGGCAGTCATAAATTCAACACAGTACAGTGTCAAGCTTACTAAGCATGGTAAGGCTACTTAACTGTCCCTCATATTCCGGTGACCGAAACCAGCAAATGTGAAGCTAAGCTTCAGTACTTGCCGCGTCAAGGTTGACAACCTAGAACTCTCAAACAACTCCTCAACTTCTTCATCATCTCCATACCAAAACAACAGTTTTACGCTCTTTTTTGTAATTGTTCGTTTGACTTGATACCCCAAAACTCAATCAATTATTATTTGCAATAATGTCGGACGGACAGATTCGCAAGCCTGACAAGGACTTTTCCAAAGAGGTGGACACACAGCTTCCAGAAGCTGAGCAGCTAGCACAGGTACATCTCTTTTATGGATGGAATGAAATACAAAATTCTCTAACTTACTTTACTCTATTAGACAAATGTGCAAGCCGCCATTGAGAAGCTTACGGTATTGGAGAAACAAACAAGACAGGTCAGACCGAAACACTTTACACATCAGCGCACGCCATTAACATTTCCAACAGGCATCGGATCTTGCATCAACATCTCGAATCCTCGTCGGAATTGTCACTATCTGCAAAAATGCTGGCGATTGGAGTTTATTGAATGAACAAGTTCTGTTATTATCGAAGAAACATGGCCAACTCAAACAAGCTACAACCAAAATGGTACAGGTGGTTATGGAGCTTTTGGATTCAACACCAAACCTCGAGACAAAACTCACAGTTATCGAGACACTGCGAACGGTCACAGAGGGAAAGATCTTCGTCGAAGTTGAGCGTGCCCGAGTTACTAAAATCCTTTCCGACATCAAGAAGGAACAAGGTGATCTCAAATCTGCAACCGACATCTTGTGCGAGCTGCAAGTCGAGACATTTGGATCGATGGAGAGGAGGGAGAAAACGGAATTTATCCTGGCACAAGTCGCATTATGTATAGAGAGCAACGACTGGACACAAGCTGGAATCTTGAGTCGGAAGATCAGTACCAAATATTTGGCAAGAAAGCCAAAGAAGACTCCGGAGCAATTAACGAAGGAGGCAGAGGATAGGGAGAAGAGAAGAAAAAAGGGAGAGGATGTTCCAGAGCCAAAGGAGGACGATGTTACAGATCTCAAATTGAAATATTACGAGCACCAAATCACTTTGGCGAAGCATGATAACAAATATCTTGATGCCTGCAAGCATTACAGACAGGTGCTTGATACGGAAGCTGTCGAAGAGGATCCTCAGAAGTTACATTCGGTAAGTTTGATACTTCCACTCTCTTGAAGAAAAAGCTAATATTTGCAGGTCTTGCAAAGAATCATTTACTATGTCATCTTAGCTCCTTATGATAACGAACAATCCGATCTCCTCCACCGCGTACACAAAGATACTCGCAATAGCCAAGTACCACTCGATTCCCAGCTTCTCAAGCTATTCACGGTTCCAGAGCTTATGCGATGGCCCGAAGTTTCAAAAATATTTGGACCACACCTTTGCGAGACTGATGTTTTCGACGTTTCAGAAGGTCAATCTGCCGACCCCAAGGCGCACAAACGTTGGGAAGATTTACGCAAACGTGTTATTGAACACAACGTTCGAGTGGTCGCCAAATACTATACACGAATTCAAATGCCTCGATTGACTCAACTTCTTGATCTGACCGAAGACGAGACGGAGAAATATATTAGCGAGTTAGTCACTGCTAAGACTGTCTTCGCCAAGATCGATAGACCTGCTCGTATTGTCAACTTTGCTAAACCAAGAGATGCGGATGACGTTCTTAATGAATGGAGTGGAAATATGAAGAGCTTGTTAGGATTATTGGAGAGAATTGACCATTTGATTACGAAGGAGGAAATGATGGCTAGGATTCAACCAACCAAGTCATCAAAGGGTTCAAAGGCTGGAAAGGTTAAGGCTTAATGATCTTTTCTAATCTACCATTAATGATACCTGCCGCTTTGTACAATTATTCTAGATTCTAATGACATGAATCTTTTATGCCTATGTCTATGATGTCCTATATCTATTCTAGCCTGTGACTCTATTGGCATGAAGAGGTGTCTCTTCTCGTTTTTATGAAAACCTCTACTTCTCACTCAAAATGGCACATCCATATCCTCGACGCTCTCCTCGACCACCGGCTTCTTTTCATCCAAACATTTTACCATAAACCCAACAGCTACATTCCCAAACTCCTTTCCCATTGGCACAAAATGTCCTCCCGGATGAAAACACACTTCCCTACTCCCCTCCTCACTCGCCTCCACCAAAGCCATACTCCTATGTTCTTCTACCACAGTATCCAAACTCCCAATAACATGCAAAACCCGCGTTTTCAGAGGTGGATTATAAAATGCCTCGTATCCTTCATACGGCGCATAGAATCCAGAATACAAAATACAAAACTTCAGCGGGGGTTGACGAAGTTGTTGTTTCAGGGTTGTGAAGCAGGCAGGATAAGGAAGAGCCTCAGAGGGGTTCTTGACACACTGAAGAGCAAAAGCACTCTCGCGATTCATCTCCAATAAACTCGCTACGAAATACGCGGCGCATGCGCCTTGGGAAAATCCGATCACGCCGTCAATTCCTCCCGCTTCTTGGATCGTGCTCGCGATTACTTCGAGCCCTTTTTCAATGCCGGCGTATCGCGCTCCGCCCGTCTCCCGCTTCCACCATCCGTATGCGTCGGTTGGTGCGAGGGAGGGATCGGATGTCGGCGTATAGCCTGGTATGTCGGCTGGTAGGAGGGGGATTGGTCCCGTGGGGTAGAGGAGTTGGATGCCGCCTGGGTAGATGGGGTGAGAGGGGGGGAATTGTCGGTTGAGGAGTTTGGTTAGGGCTTTGGTTTTGGAATTGAAGGTTGGGCCGGATTGTGTGTAGCCTTTTGGGTGTTAGATGCTTGAATTGGTCTGTGAAGAGTAAGGGAGAGGGTATATACCATGTATCATTAAAATCTTAAGTTTCCTAGGTCCAGACCCCTCTGTAGGTGTTGTGCCATTTGCAGTCATATTTCCAGTTTTTGTAGAAAATCCGCGAGAACGTGAAGATATTAAGGATCTAGAAGAAAGAGAGAATGTATGAGTATTAAAGGAAAAAGAAGTTCGAGAGAGGGAAAATGGAAAGGCATGGTGCATTTTGAGGGACGATGTATCTGAATGGAGATAAGGAGGGGATATGACAAATTCGGGTCAGCCTCGCCCTAGGCTTATTTTGGGCCGGCGAGGTTGTAGGATCGGTGGGATGGAATGAGTTTGGGTTAACATCTTTGCATTTATGGACACTTTTTTGAGATGTGATGAGTGGTTCATGAGTATTGGTATTGATGTAAGACTTTGAGGTTTTGGTGCTATTGGTATAGAGTTGGTTGTTCTGCAAGGCTTTATGCTCGTGTACGACTTTCTTGTGGATGTAAAATCCCTTAGAAAGAAAGACCTGGAAAATCTCCCCTAGTATTTATTGCTCGAGCATACAGGTCCTAAAGTTTATTGACACAGAAACCTGAAGTGTCATCATCTCTCGCATCAATATATATTGCATCGGAAAGTCGAGAGGAGTGCTCGTCGCTCCTATGGCTCCACCTCCTCAGATTAGCGAAAATCTCGACTTCCCCTTTGAGCCTTCATCTTATGCTCATCCTAAATCTAGCATTCAAATTCAAACTAGCACTACAACTCATCCGTGTTGAAATAAGTTCTTCAGCTTCATCATTAATTCCGTTGATGGTGATGGAGGTGCCTAGTTTTTACCAACATTCTAATTCAACATGTGGAACTTTTCGCGCACTTCGAGACTCGAGCTCCCTTAGTCTGAATGGTTTAGAGAGCGACGTTGAAGATTTAGGGCTTGGCTTAGTACTTTTCCCCGGAAGAATGTTTAGATGCCTGGAAATCCAAAAGATGTACTCCCCTTTGGTTGCATGGATAGTTGTCATCACACAGGTTGTGGGCATGTTTTTATGCAAATTATCCTGTTTCATCACCCTTTGTCACAGTAGTCAAGGCACATCATCTTGTACTGAGATAAAGGATGTCAAATGCTACGCGGTATAGCAGGAAGAAGCCTTTCTGTCTTGAGAGTTTTTTCACGCTTCAACCCCAGTTCCTGATGTGTACGAAATCTTGAGATGAAGGAGAAGCGGAAGTTCTGATATCATTTGCGCGTTTCTACATCTTTACAGTCGGCTCAAAAGGGATAATCATCAAGGACAAGAATCTGATTGTTTTCACTTTTCACAAGGCTCCATACCTCTAAGATTTGACGACGCCTTTCCCAAGTGGGAACCGAAGCAACATCGGGGATCTACCCGGAAGTAAACTATGAAGCCTTATCGTACGTTCGGGGGGCAACGAGGAAGACCGAGATTGTATTTCTATTAATGACATTCGTTTAACGTCACTCGAAAATAACATGTAGTCTTGTATATTTTTTGTGGCTATCTGATCATCAACTGACCGTACGGGTCGATAATTTATGTACCAGTCTACTAGATTTTTATGGAAAAAGTCATCAAGTGATCTTAAATCAGACGTGCCTATGAATTTTCGTAATAGTTTCTGACTGATTCGAGGAAGCAGATGTGCAGGGGGGCGATAGCATTAAAAATCTGGGGAGCATCTTGATCCCGAAAACTCCATATTACCCGCGCTGTACTTTTTTTGTTTACATGATTTAGCTAGAGCTTTGGTGGTGTAGAGTCTAGGTTGGTCGGGAAGCTGCCGCGGGAAAAAATACTCGGATCCTATGCGGATCGGACGCTATAGATCTGCCCAAGCGGATCCAGAGAGCTAAAGCAATTAGAAGAAGCACTCCAGAAAAACACTTTCACGAACTGTGGAAGCACAGGCATTCGCCATGTGCATCATTCAAAAGTCATCTCACACCAATCCTGTAGATAGGTTGATTCAAACCTCTGCTACAAAGACTCGGATACGATTAACCCCTCCACAATTGCTCAATGCTTTGGACACAGGTTCGCAGCACTGCTTGAACATACGTGAACATCAAACCTGCCCTCTTACCGTCCTGGTTATTGCATATCAGGGGAAGGAGAGCAATGAGGCACACGAGACTTTTAATGAAAAAATAATGGCCGAGATTTTTGATCCCCTTCGCAGACAGAGAAAGTCTGCATTCCATTTCTCAGCTCGGCATATTACCGGCAATCATTTAGGAACCAGATCTGGCTTGCATCGGTTTTCAAAGTGCAGAACATCGTGTCGCGATGATGAGTTATTTGACCTTGGTTGAACAAGGCAATCATTGCAATTACCAAGCTTTAACATTAAACGCCCTTCGTACCAGTATCCGAAATTTCTGGTCCAATATAAGATTAGAGAAGTTGCAGCATTGTCATGTCGCGGAATCCTGCCTGTTCCTCAAATCAAATAAAAAGAAACCCCTTGAGGCTTTTCTGCGGTTCTTCCCACAGCCTAATAAAATCAAAAAGTCCAATATTTGACTTCATTTAGAAAGTACCTTCAACTCATAATTATATAATACACAATCCTATCTAGGCAATGTTGGTAACCACCTCTCCTTTCACCTAAAATGAGGCTACTGGAACTCAAGCGAGATCATAATACACGCCACGACAGCCTTGACCTCATAAACTTTCAAATCAACCACCGAGAGCCCTGCATTAGGGCTTAATTGATGCTCTTATCCACGGCGGTTAAAAGAAAAAGCTGGTGCTCATTAGTAAAAATTGGTAATGACAATTCCCCATTTGCAACGATAAAATCCATCCTAGTCACGTAGTCCAACAATGAAGTATCATTGTGAAAAGAACAGCAGCACCACCCAAGGAATTTTCTGTGAGCAGTTTTACAGAAATTATTCTGGAAGGGACTCATAAAATCAAGATGCGAGATATAAATGTAGTCAACTTTTCTAAGGAGATGATCAGTCGAATGTTCAAAATAATCAGTTTAAATCAGCTTATCTACCCAGTAGTAGCAGCCAATCTTCATGCCCCTCATTCCTCCCAGGGATCAGCTGTTGTCTTTGAGTGATCGCCGACTCTTGTCTCCTTAAATCTTGAGCTGGAGACTAATCATCAATATGGCTTTAAGCTTTTCATGATTACCAGGGCCGAAGAGCTTCATTATTCTCCTGGGAGCTCTGGAATCCAGGCCTTGTTGACAAGTATCATATAAAATGACTTGATCTATGCTCATTCATGCTCGGTGTGAGGCATGACAAGCGGGGAACTGGTTTAGAAGTGAAGGCTGCGGGGATTGCGGATGTGTGCAGAGGTGCGGAAGGATTTGAAGGAGGTGGGATAATGAGACATTGATGGATGTATTAAAAGCTAGAACTAGCTACAGGAGTAAAATCTGTGTCTTTAAAAACTTATCGTACCCAATATTTCAAAGCTCAATTTTTATCTACGGAGAATTTCTTGATGACTTCGGGATAACAAAATAAAAAAATTGATAAATCGTGATTGATATCGAGTTTACGTGCCCATAATAAGTTACATGATTAATCATGATCAACAGTCTTGCAATCAGATTAAATATCCAAAGTGTATTGATCCAATACTTCAGTATTTCAATTGATTAAACGAAGGGCAATTATATATTATTCCTAAATCAAACTCCTAACACCAAAGAAATACCGACGAAGAAAAGCTGCATAAAGTTTAGATCATACTGCAAATCTCCGTCTCCTAAGTCAAATGTCTCGCTGTTATATCCCCTAGTATTCTTTTCCCAATATCCAAGAATCTCATCCCATAGCCATATTCCCTCATCACGAACTCAAAGTAGTGCCCCAGCCCTTAATTAAGGGTATCAATTCCCCGCAATAACTCCTCTCAAACTTAACATACGTCTTCCTTTCTCCGAAACTCCACGCTACAGCGTTCATCTCCTCCCTGTCGTAACTAGGTGCAAATTGCACAAATCTTTCCAATTGTGCATTTATGGCCGGCCACTTTTTAGCCGATCTTTCAGGCAATTTCAATGCATAATAACCCACCCTTTCGATATCCCCGCTGTCGATGTTGATTGTGACTGCGAATGTATATCCCACTGCGTTCAGAAACTCTCGCATTTCAATAAATTGGGATTGACTAGGTGGTTCCGCGCCGGCTAATGCGTTGAAAGCTGTCGCTTGTTGAAAAGATATAGGACCTTGGGCTCGGAAATATAGATTGACAGTTTGTTTATGGTAATCCACAGCCACATGTCGCACTTTCTGCAACCCCAATTCTTTGAACCTCTTCTCATGTTGTCTCACACTTTCTGGTACACCTTCGGCGCCTAATATATCATCAAGAGGTCTCATCCCACCAAAGTAAACCCATGCCTTTACCAATCCCTTCTCAGCGTCAAAATCGCATGACTCTTCGGGTGTCCCATCGTACAGCGAACTCCAAGAAGTAACTAGTTTCCCTAATGTATTGGCAATATCAGGAGACAGGAGACCGGCAGATGCGGCAATGGATACGGTATCTATTGGTTCCCGGGAATAGAACCTATAGTTTAAAGCATCACCTGGACGATCCGTTACGCGCCAGAGAACAACACCATTGTGGAAGGAGTGGGAATATACAGAGAGGGCCTCAATGGTTGTGCGCTCGGAGTATGGTGCATTGATTGCTGCTGAGAGATTCCGAATATCGTCTAGGAAGCGCGATTGGCTGAATTTTGAAGGCTTGGAGATCAATTGAACAACCATTTCGCCTTTGAAGTAACAGATCTTTAAAGAGACACGACTATCCCATGACTATGGTTCTGGGAATCCAAGGATTTATACCCAAATAAACTTCCCCAAGCCCAAGTAGTGGTTGCGTGTGACCATGTTATAATCTCGGCACTCATGCAATACGACTAAACCGGTATTCAACCCCCAAGTCTTGTAATGGTTTTGATTTTGATTTTATGATGAAAATCTTCAATGGTCCACTCAGAAATGGAATGATTATATTGCGGAGGACCAAAATATGCAAAACACAAGGATTGAATTCTCACCGCCATGTTTCCAGCATTACCCGATGCATGGAATCTGCAGAAACTCCCTGAACCGTGGTAATGGGATGATGTCTTGATGCATGGAAGTATTTCCCCATGTATTTGGTGCGAGTTTGCTGTTCGTGTATGGGCAAATGTGACGTTAGATGTGGAGACTCAACCTTTACCGGTGCTATGGTGTGGAGCGGGATAGCCTACTCGGGATTATGCTGGCTCGGTTAATCTCCGAAGACCAGGAATAAGCTGAAATCTGATTACATACCACAACTATCTCTTTCTAATATTAAACACACCGGTTATGGTTTTGCCTATAGTCTCCATAAAAGGATCAATGCCGTACTCAGGAAGAAGTTCAAGCACACATTCGGTGTAGAACTTGAAAAGGGAGTCAAAGAAACATTCGACTTAGTTTTTTGATGTGGGTCAAACTTGATAACTCTTTGGACGATATCGGACGAGCGACTGGAAATAAAACACAACATTCAAATGCATCAACTTGTTATCAAGTTTCATCATTCTTTAACACTTACCCACCCTAAGCTCGGTGTCGCAGTTCTTTTCCGCTTTCTCTTTGCCTCCTTGGCGGCCGGAAAATCATCGTCAAAATTTGAAGGAGTCAGCTTGTGTCTTGTTCAATTTCGAATTTGAGGAAGGGGGCTCTTGGCGCGGACTTCGGACTATCAACCTGTTCTTGTGGTGCTTCGACTCGGGTCGAAATTGATTCGAAACTATCTTTGCCTTTCGTAAAACCTCTTGTCACCAGTCTTCCTTCCACCTGGTAAACTCTAAAGGTCGAACCCGGCGAGCCGGTAAGCATCTTTATTGGTTGGCCGTAGCGTTCGTTCTTTGACGTTTGTGCGAACCTTGCGTAGATTATGAAATACGTATTCCTGGAGGCCATATGAATTTTCACCATGAGTACGATCAATGATGGATGGAAACCAAATCGTGGATTTTTATTGAGAAGAATGGATGAACTAAATAAGACAAAGAGAACGAAATAGCTTGAATCCTTTCTTCTCAGAGCAATTCGCACCATTTCCTTCAATAGTCGTAACATTCTCCGTGCAACTTGCTGTTTCTAGAGAACTTCAGAAAGCTTTGATAATCGCTTTCTAAAAAATAAATACTCATGAAAGTGGAACTTGAGTGCATATCGTCCTAGAAAGGAAAGAAACAGTTCAAGGTGAAACTTCGATATATCGCGGTCGAACTCATCATCTTCCGAAACCATTGCAATTTAGGGTTTTGCATCCTCATGGATAAATATAATACTCCCATGTCCAAAATGTGGGATGATACCTTGTCAACTTTTCATAAAATCAATGAAAATAATTTGTGGAGGGATAGAGCCAGAGGTCTATTAGGATTGTGATGATTTGAACGAGAGGGGGATCCGGGTTTGGGACGATCCGTAGCATGCAAGTCCGTGAAAAATTACGGAAGAGTTTGCATTTAAGTGGTGATTCCTGAAAAAGGGTTGTCCTGAGATCATTGAAGCTTCGAATAGGTAGAGAACATTGAGGGGCGAGAATAGGCTGGAACTAGAGGCCTGATCGTGAGGCTAGGTTTCTCTTCCTTTCTCCCTCGGGCTTTTTGCTGCGCACAGCATTGATGCGGTGCAGGTATTGCTGGTTCGTCGTCAAGTCTGAGAACGTGCGGTCTGGGCCCAAATAACTATGTATATATGTGGACGTTGAATGCACAATGTCAATTTGGAAAGTTTGCCGGGTATCTGAATTTATGCCAAAATAGAAGTATGCCACGTGTCTCTAATATGCTCAACAAATATACTCCACCAATGCCAACTCCTGTCATAATGCATCATAATTTCGTAATGCTCACCAACTTCAGAAACACAACTTTCGTTGTTTAGGGTCACTCGGGGTATTTCCTTTATCTTTTGATTTCTCCCCTGATTTAGCCTTTCGCAAACTAACCATTAGAGATTTATGGTTGCTCCCAGATGCGGCTGGTGTCCCAGGCGTCCCTGATGTCTCTTGTACTACATCTCTAATTGTTTGCCTCGATAGACAAAGATCTATGTGCTCATTAAATTCCCTTTCGTTTGTTGCTTGAGGCCGCTGACAAACAGGGCAATCCCACCATTCCTCTTCTACCACGGCATCATCTATGGGTTTAGGATTCGGCAGAATTTCCTTACCATGATGCCGTCGTGGATCATTTTCTTCGCGTTGACTTAAACTTTCCATTTTCTTAAGTTCTTCCTCCCGTTCTTGGCGCTCCGCATCTTCAAAGAGGAGTTCTTCGGGCCAAACTTCCCATTGCTCTTCTAACCCATTGTCTCGGAGATTCGAGGCTTTTCGTTTAATTCCAGATGAGAAGGATTTGCTCTCGTAATTGCTGATGCCATTCTCCGTAGGGTCTTGTTTTCGAAAACCAAAAAAGGCCATCGTGTCAGGCTTTTTTATGCTGACCAAATTTGTACACCGGAGCCCCATTAATCGCAAACTCATACCTGGGATTTCCGCCTCCAGTTTCTCCAGCATGGGAAGGGAATATGTGTACAAATCATCAGCTGAACAGACAGCTTTAGATGGGGCGGCCTGTCTTGTGAGTACCTCGTAAGTTTTCAGCTTCACTTTGAGAACTAGAGTTCGCCCCTTGAACTGTGTTCGTTGCATGTCTTTTTCCAGCTCTTCGGCTGTCTGTCGAAGTTTAGCTCGAAGTTCAGTAGGATCATCCATGTCACCAAATGTACTTTCTGTTCCGACGCTTTTGCGTGTGTACTCCTCGGCTGGTTTGACATCTGTTCTTCCGAGCCCAAGATAGCATTGCATGAGAAAGATAAATGTCTTGTCTCCAAATAATTTCGGTAGATACTGCCGCACATTATAGATGTCTCCACATGTATCTACCCCTATGGCACCTAACTCTCTCTCAAACACTCGACCAATTCCATTGACTTTACGAGTTGGGAGATCTCGCATAAATCTCATGATCTCAATTCGATCATTTGGGACACGATATTGGCCATTAGGTTTGTTCTTATTCGAACATATTTTGGCCTGATCATGTTTTGTTAGCATGTTTAAGTTAATCTCAGGGTTCCCAGAAACAGCTTGGTGATAATGAAGCCCTAACCATTATAAGCCGGCCCCTTGGCTTGCGGGATACACTCACTATCTTCGCATTAGCTGCAATACCAGCTGATATGGTAACCTTTGTCTTTTCATGAACCTCTCGTCTCAACTGTTCAACAGCAGCCTCCGGGTCGATATCATTCTTTTGACAGTATTCCGTGATATTGAGATATGCCTCATCGATACTCGCACTCTCGAACCTCGGATCATAGTCTACCAGAATCCCGCGAACTTCTTGCGCCTTCGCAGTATATTTGTCGAAGTTCAAAGGCACCTGAATAAGTTGCGGGCACAATTTCTTCGCTATGAACCCTGCCATCGCACTTCTGACCCCAAATCGTCGCGCATGGTAGTTGCATGTTGTAACCACTCCTTTTCCAACAGAAAACGGAACATTCTTCAATTCCGGGCGATCAAGCTCCTCTACCGCAGCGTAAAATGCATCGCAATCAATATGGACGATTGTTTGACTCAAATCTCTTGTGAGCTCGAGCTCCGCAATTGCAGTGTCTGCTCTTCGACGATCGTGAGCTAAGTCAAGCTTCTCCAATTCAACCTTCTTTGCCAATATTCGTTCAATCTTGACCGTCAAAGTTTTGTCCCGTTCCTCTTCATGGTTGAAATATTTGGATCCCTTTGAGGCGTTGTATATAATCTCGGAGACCTGATTATGGAGTCAGAATGGACAAACGTGTTTCAGTCGCGACATTCTTACTTTTGACTGGTCTACGGAATCTTGTCCAGATTTTGTAAGAGACGGGCCCAGTAAAGAGTATTTGAGAGACTTGTGCTCATTGTCGTCGTTTTCGGGAGTTCCTTCGGATGCCATGTCGCAGTGTCCATACTCGACCCATGGGGAATGTAGGAAACGCGAAAGGCATAATTATTTGACGCGCTGTCACGCTTCGATTGAAGACTTTTCTTACGTAAGCGATTTGAAATATTGCTTGGAACAAACCTCAGAACCCGGATATCCATATTTGTACCTAATGCAATAGTATTCTTGAAGACATTAGAAGATATCGTATTCAGTAGCATCTGGTAAGACTATATGGACTTTTCAAAAAGCAAAAAGGAAGTTCATGGTGGGATGGGAAAATGATTGTGAACGGACTCGGCTAAACTTACTCCGATATATTCGATTGATAAAAAAAAAGTTGAGCAAGCATGTTATGGAATAGATGAATGATCTTACAATCCAGTAGCAACCATGAGTATGCATAGAGTAGCCCGCGCTGTGGCTTCATCCGAAGCTTGCGCTGGAGCGCTACGTGGAAGTGTCTCGAGAACAAGATTTCTGTGCTTAAATGCCCCTGTTCAGAGGTTCGGGGCAAGAAATGCGTTACTCGGTGCTGGACTTGGAGCGAAGAGACATTTCTTTCAATCGCCGATTATTAGATCTGGTGTTGCCCAAGCTGTGTTAGAGAAGGCCGCAGCAGATCCATCAGCCCTTACTCAGGAAGCAATTGTTGATAACCTGAATGCTGCAGAGAGGGATCGATTGAGGAGGGTTAGGAATATTGGTATTGCAGCACATATCGACAGTGGCAAGACGACTGCCACAGAACGAGTCCTTTTTTATACTGGACGAATTAATGCTATACACGAAGTTAGAGGAAAGGATGCCGTCGGCGCAAAGATGGATTCTATGGAATTGGAGAGGGAAAAGGGTATCACAATTCAGTCTGCAGCCACGTTCTGTGACTGGATGAAGGTTGAGAATGGAAAGGAGGAGAAGTACCACATAAACTTGATCGATACACCCGGACATATTGATTTTACAATTGAGGTCGAGAGAGCTTTGCGAGTCTTGGATGGAGCCGTCATGATTCTTTGCGCCGTTAGTGGAGTTCAGAGTCAAACAATCACCGTGGACAGACAAATGCGAAGATATAATGTTCCTCGTATTAGTTTTATCAACAAGATGGACAGAATGGGTGCCAACCCTTTTAAGGCGGTCGAACAAATCAACCAAAAACTACGAATCCCAGCAGCAGCCCTTCAAGTCCCAATTGGTTCAGAAGACAGCTTCAATGGTGTTGTTGATTTGATCAGAATGAAGGCTATCTACAACGATGGACCCAAGGGAGAAATCATCAGAGAAACTGACGAGATTCCAGAGGAACTTAAGCAATTATGCAAAGAGAAGAGAGCTCTGTTGATCGAAACATTGGCTGATGTTGATGACGAAATTGCCGAAATCTTCTTGGATGAGAAAACTCCATCTATTGAACAAATGAAGGCTGCCATCAGACGTGCAACCATCAACTTAAAATTCACACCCGTCTTAATGGGAAGTGCATTGGCAGACAAGTCAGTGCAGCCCATGCTTGATGCAGTCTGTGATTATCTACCAAATCCTGCCGAAGTAGAGAACTTGGCGCTCGACAAGCGAAGAGCTGAAGCCCCCGTGAAGCTTGTCTCTTACAATGAGCTTCCATTCGTCGGACTCGCCTTCAAGCTTGAAGAAAGTAATTATGGTCAATTAACCTACATTCGAGTTTACCAAGGATCCTTGAGAAAGGGCATGAACGTGTTCAATGCTAGAACTGACAAGAGAGTCAAGATTCCTAGAATTGTGCGAATGCATTCCAACGAGATGGAAGAAGTTCCTGAAATCGGTGCTGGAGAGATCTGTGCTGTCTTTGGAGTTGATTGCGCTTCCGGAGATACTTTCACCGATGGTGGCTTACCATACTCTATGTCTTCTATGTTTGTACCAGATCCTGTCATTTCCTTGTCCATCAAACCCAAGACAACAAAAGATGGATCCAACTTCAGTAAGGCTATGAATCGATTCCAACGTGAGGATCCAACATTCCGTGTACATGTCGATGCTGAAAGTCAGGAAACTATCATTTCTGGTATGGGAGAATTGCATCTTGATATCTATGTGGAGCGAATGCGAAGAGAGTACAAGGTCGAAGTTGAAACCGGTAAACCTCAAGTCGCTTACAGAGAAACCATCACTGAACATGTCACATTTGATCACACTCTCAAGAAACAAACTGGAGGTGCTGGAGATTACGCTCGTGTCGTTGGTTTCTTGGAACCTATCGAGGCTGGTCCAAACGGTTATGCCCCATCTACTTTCAAGGAAGAAGTTACTGGAGGTTCTATTTCCGACAAATTTTTATTCGCCTGTGAAAAGGGATTTCTCGCCTCTTGTGAAAAAGGTCCTCTTCTTGGTCACCCCGTCCTCGGTACTCATATGGTTGTTAACGATGGTGCAACCCATATGACTGATTCTTCCGAAATGGCTTTCAAAAATGCCACTCAACAAGCTTTTAGAAAAGCTTTCAAGGAAGGTAAACCACAAGTCCTTGAGCCTCTCATGAAAACTACGATTACAGCACCCAACGAATTCCAAGGTAACATTGTCGGTTTACTAAATAAGAGAAATGCTATCATCAGTGATACGGAAATTGGACCAGAAGATTTCACTCTCATTGCGGATTGTAGTTTGAATGCTATGTTTGGATTTAGTTCCCAATTGAGGGCAGCTACGCAAGGAAAGGGAGAGTTTGGTATGGAGTTTAGTCATTATGCTCCTGCACCAGGACAGTTACAGTAAGTCATTTTTGGCATCTCTTCACCTTTTTTTTTCTGAATGAATACATACTGACACTCCATCTAGAAAAGAGCTCATTTCCAATTATGAAAAGGCACAAGCCGATAGACACAAGAAGTAATGGTTGAAGGATTGTTAAGAGTGAAGAACTACTCAAATTTCGAAGATGTGTTAATAGATGATGAGATAAATCCCGCAAAGATATAAAGGGGCATAAAAATCTTATACCACGGCCCCACAAAGAAATGAATGAGATGTACGGATATACGAACTTCGAGGGGCGTACAAAATTAAAGATTTACAAAAGTGCATGAGATCATGCTTTGGATGAATGGATGGATAGTTGATTGGGTATGTGAGGAATAGGCCGGCGAGTAAGCTAAATATACCTAGACCTATACTGTATATTACTTTATCGAATAGATGAACAAAGAAAGACCTCTCGACTTTTATGACAGGAATAAATTAGAGATACTCAATATTGGAGTGAATGTTAGTGCCAGTGCCAGTGTGAATAAGAGCTTGCTAAGAGAAGAGAACCGCAAAGCATCGAAGTAGGCATAGAAGTGGAGCGCTAGATATGAAATGAGTTTATTACTATTCTATGAAAATAGGAATTAGAAATATCTCTAACGCTAATAAGCTCTTCATATCATCATACAACATCATAACACCTCGCACCTCTAAAGAAGTAAGATCTTACATATAGCAGTATACCTCCTCTCTATATAATTAACTACTAATATAAGTGGTATATACAATAAATAGTATGAATGGTGTAAAGAGCTAGTGACCACTAACCACTAACTAGTCCCAATACCAAGTCCATGACATCATACCATCCCCTCACTAGGTAGCTTACTAGTTTCATTAGCTTTACTAACTTCACAAGCTAGTTACCACTCATCTCGACCAACTAACAGTTCCTCTATTCAAAAATCCACCCAAAAAAAGGCCCTACTCCTCTCCAAGCCCTCCCTACCCTCGTAAATCCCAATCTCCCAATTGCAATTCAATACAACGACCAATCCCCGCATCACATCACATTATACCTATCACCACATAACCATCTAAAACATAATTTCTCATTCATGATCGGTCTTATATAGTCGCCCAGAATCTTCGAGATCTTGTAAATAAAATAAACATGAACTAAATCTCTTTTCGTATTTTAATACATTCTACGACAATCTAGTCGTATCAGCATCATTATAGAATGCGAAGTTTACCTAATACTCCGTAGGTTATTGCGTCGATGGGATAATTAGACAATCGGGGAAGATTGAAGGATGGGGGAATGTTGTGGATAGGGGGGTAGGTAGATAAATAAATAGATAGAGATATGTACGATGGGATATCTTATAAAGGGGGGGAGATGAGAGACTTGTTCTGTGATTTGTGGTTGATGTGCGGGTTTGTCGGATAACTTTTTGCTGAGGTAGTCTTGCTGAAAGTCCCTATTCTTAGGTCGTGGGAAGAGGTTACTGGCTAAATAGTATAGCTCACTGGTTATGAGACCTTTGGATAAATGGAAGGACAGCCAGAACAAGTACGAGGAGGCCAATAAGATAAATTTGTGCAGGAAATGCGGTATCATTCATCTGTTTGTTTGGACATTGCATAAACAAGACTCCAGTAATTCATTCCATGCCATGCACATTTGCATTCCCATCCCTAGTCCCATCCATTTTCATAATCACATCACGTCGTCCATATTCATTGTCCTCATTCCTGCATGCACATCTCATTCCAAACATCGACTAACGCCATCGACTTAAACCAACGAATCCCGTCACTGAATCGGAGGAACGTTGACTTTAGGCACCTCCCTCCCTCTTGGCATATTCCTCCTCAATAGCCTCCTCATATCTCTTTTCTACACTCTCCCTATTGCCCTCAATTGGACTCGTAGGGTCCTCCTTCAAAACACCCTTATTGACCAATTCTTCCGGTTGCGGACGATGACTTAATTTCTCATTCAAACTATCGGCACGCATATGTTTCTGCAGTTCTTTTTGTTGTGCTTGGATACCCGGAGCTGCGGTTGTGGAGGAGAGGATGTTACCTGATATTCATTTAGTTCTTATTTCTCTTTGGGTTGGATTTAAAAGTGTAAGTAAACTCAAAACATACGTTCAACCAAATCCTCCTTAGTAGGACGATGTTCCAAATTCTTCTTCAAACTATCCGAAATTCTTTGTTGTTCGAGTGCATGTTGGGCACTTTGAATACCGCTATTTTATTACACCCCGCAGTTAGCGCATACATTCAAATGGCTGTCTTCACTCTAAAGAGTCCTAATAAGGATATAGAAAGAGAAACATACGGCGCAGCATCAGTATCCAATAAAATATGTCTCTCCTTTAACTCATGAGCCGTAGGTCTATCGGCATACAGCTTCTCCAAGCTCTTCTGACGTTCATGTTGTGCCGGTCTCACGAGAGGAGTTGTATCGATGAGGGGTTCTTCCTTTTGTTCGGACATGTTTGGGAGTGTAGGAAAATGTTGTTTATAACAAGTATGCGTTGTAAATCAAACTGTTATTTCAAGAAGCGTGTATGCTATTAGAGAATTGTATGTGTTCGAAAGAGAAATTTGCTTGTATGATTTGTATGTAATTGGTTGCTACAGCAAAACAAAATAGAAAAGAAACAAAAGCTTGAAATAGTTGGACTCGTGATGATGAATTGTCTTCTTTGGAATACCCCGGGCAACCAATGACGGAATTACTGTGGATGCGGGGCTCGGGCCGCTGACGGAGAATTGAATGAGGGGCTAAAATAGTCCGGAAGTGGTGTGAACTTGTCACTAGGGTATCTTTTCATCTATAGTATAAAAAGAAATCCAAGTAGTTATTTTGATTTGATTAGAATTTGAAATTTCTGATTTGTTCTATTATTAATTTAGTAAACTAAATCTGACAGTATAATTATAGTATTTTTAATAAAAGTTATTATTAAAATAATTAAATAATAAACCAGGTAGATAATTGGAATCTCTGATATCTTTTCAATACTTTATTAATTTTTAGAAATTACTGAAAACCTAATCAATTATTTAGGTCTCTTATTTATAGATAAACGGGTGAATGTCACGCGCTCATAGGTTAACCCATTTCTAGCTAGCCTGCATGGATGCCTCGAGCATCCAACCCCCATATAGTCGGGGCTCTTCCTAGCACCTTCTTTCCTCCTGTGTAGGACACCATATGCATCGTTTTATCTAAAGTCTATCCTCTGCCGTGATAGTGGAAGAATTCAACCCTCGATTACAGGAAGAGTCTCCATTTAAAACAGTCGAATCCACAACTATAATGGCAAGTAATGTTGATGCTATTACGGATTTGGTGGAAGGGCTGAGACTCACTGACAATATATATAATGACGGCCATATCCCTGGTCACTCGAGCTCAACTCCTCAAGGATCAATCCAACTGCTCATCCAAACTGCTAAACTCATTACCTCACAAGCGAAACAAATTCAATCCTTAGCTTCTTCTGCAATTGAGCTCGATAGTCTGGACATCACGGGAACATACTCCCTTTACAGATCAGCCAACGAGTTAACAGAAATCACTCGTATGCTCAATGACGCTGCCGAAAGGCTCAAAGATGCCACGGAACTCTCCATAATTTCGCATCTCAGTTCGCTTAGAGGTCGAGGTGAAGCTCAGCCTCAGAACATATTATCACACTTTGACAAGGAAATAAGAAGCATTATACAATCTGTTCTTAAAAGTTCCAGCGATAACCATTGCATTTTATGGAAGATTGCGGAGGAGTGTTACAATCAAGCTACTATCACCTATGGCAAACTGCATCCCGATAACTATTTCATTACACGCGGAGAAGCTTCTCTTCAATGGCCATATGATCCTGATTATCAGGCTGAGGAATATTATGAACACGAAGAACTCATGCAAGCCGACCAAGGTTATGCCAGGATGTTCGAAGAAAAATTCCAGCGCATGTTAGAGGAGGAGAGACGGAATAAGCAGAGCTGGGTCGACTTTTGGGTTGCGGTGCTTAATAATTGTCCAAACGGACCGACGCTGTTCAACCCACCAGCAAGCTGCAAGATCAAACCCTTTAACTCCAGGGGTACAGGTATCCCACAGTACTTATTCCGGGCATTTGATAAGGAGAGCTCAGGAAGAAACGACGATAAAGTGATAGCTTCGATAGCGAGCAGTATTGAGGCGCTTGGAAACAGCAGAAGTGATCTTCTATCTCTTCCAAAGCGCGAAGCAACAGTTATGCTACACGCGCATCTAGACAATGGATATTGCGATGGGTATTATTCTGACAATCTAATGTCCTGGACAAGCTCTCTTCTATTCGCAATTCAATGCGCAATCTGGAGACGCCGTAAGTTCGGCTGTTCCTCATCGGATATCAAAATCTGTGTGGTGAACACTAAGAGATTTCCGCAAGGGCAATTTATGCCGGACATGTGGCTTCTTCAAGAATATCTCGATACTGCCGTACAAATGGGTGGAAAGACACAGCAGTTCTTCAATTTCCGTCTCAAGGATGAAAGATACCACAACGGAGAATACCTTTCCCAAGGCTCGCTGAACCATACAGGTCGATCATGTGTGATCTCTTTAAAACTTCTGGAAGAGTCCGGGCTCTACAATCTATACCCTGAGTTAGGTGATGTAAAGGGCATGGATAGATGGGCGAAGCGTGTGCTAGAACTGCGTCAGGGCTGGTCTACCGAGCAAGGTACGACTCCTGAAGAGATTGAGCTGGCGTCAATTATAGCAAGGAAATGTTTCGATAATTTCGAAACACTCGACATGATATTAATTCTCCTAACTTTTAAAGCCCGCAAAATAAGAGGTAAGGATCTCTCTAATGATCTTTATTTAGATGACTAATGACGCATAATCATAAAAGGGAACCCTAAAGATGGAAACAAATCCCGCCCAGAATGGGATCGTAGACCAGATGAGGTCCGAAGATACGAAAGTGTAGCTGAGTCACTAAAATCACGTAACAGCAGTATGAATAGATGGACCTGGATGGTCAAAGAATTTTTTGATTGTACTTAAGTTGATGTATTCGAGATTTGCCAAGGTTCGTTTTAACTTATTGTGGATGGATATTGCAATTGTTGAGTTGATGTGTTTCTTTCTAATAGCTACTAGGTACTAATCATTTGAGCTTCATCTTGCTACCTACCTAGGTATATAAACAATATCAATTCTCTAAATTCATGATCAGTCGATGCAATTGCAACTGCAAGTCGCTAAAATTCGCGAGCTTGATATATAATCCCAAGGGGCGACTTGAACTTCCCATCTCCTGACGCTCTCTTTCTTTGAATTGTACTACACATCCAGCGCGTGAGTGTTAGGGTAATGGAAGCTAGTTTTCTGATATGCGTGCATTATATCCCAGTTAGGGAATCCCTCGCTTATATAGCAATCATTCGCGGCGTAGGTACTGGTGATAACTCGTCTTCACTGGAAGTTATTTTGTACTCCCCATGCAAGAGATTGTGAATATCCTACACGTGCAATACGTTTCCTGAATATTCCTCCCATAAATAAACCATTTTCTTTTTTTTTTTTTTAAAAAAAAAAGGCAACTCCATCCTTCAAACTCCATCCTCCTCCTCTTTCTCCCCTACATTCCCCCCCAACTCCCCAGTACTCTCCCCCCTCTTCCTATTCCTATTCCTTTCCTTCGCCTTCCCCTTAATCTTCGCACTAACCGCCTCATGTTTATTCTTCCACATACCCCCATACCTATACTCCAGATGCGAACCATCACCATCTACATTTCCCCCACTCACATCCCTCCAGCACTTACCCGTACAGACGAAATGCCATTTTCGCGTTTGGTCTACTTGGCATCGGATTAGTACGTCGCGGGGTATGTGGCATATGGTACAGGGTTTGCTGTGTGGTGATGGTGATAGTGATGGTAATTGGGAAGTAGATGATGAGGTTGTGGGTTGAGTGGCGGGTTTTTCGTTGATGTTGGATGGATGTTTGTTATGATTTGAGGGTATTGGATCTCGATTTTCCATGCCGGGGTTTGTGTATGCGGATTTTTCTTCTGATGTTTTTGTATAACTTGGTTGTTTGATTGATTTATGATGTGATGTGATGTGAATACTCGTAGACCTTGATTCTTCTAAACATCATGAGATCAATATACCTAGCTAGGCGTCTCCGGAAATAGAGTATTCGGATGTCAAGTGCCGAAGCTTCCCCATATTTGTGGCTGTGGCTTATTGATTTTCAATGCTGTTTGATTTGGCACATTGTGGCTGCTCATATTATGTGAGAATATTTGTAGTGATGGCTACAATTACCTCCCTTAAAAGCAGCATTGTTTAAGCCACAATCCGCTCAGCTTCTTTTGCTTAATATTTAAAGTTACGTCATGTGGACTCCAAATTCTAGAGTTGATCCATGCGTTTGTGTTTTGCCAAGATTTCAATGTTGTCTTTGTAGTAGGTATATAACGAACATGTTTTCATCCAAAAATTAGACAGATTCTCTATTACAGGAACTTATTAAATTAAAGCCTTCAATTCATCAACATAAGAACATAATTTCTAACCTCATATACATCCAATTCATACCGAACCTCAATCACAAAGACACAATGGCAGCATCATCTTCCGTAAGTGGCTTTTCGCTCACCTCATACCAGAATTGATCAAATATCTCTAACAATTTTTATAGGCAGACGTATTTGCATACATTGTTGCAATCTTTATTCCTCCTCTAGCCGTCTTCCTCAAGGTTGCATGTGGAGTCGATTTTCTTATTAATATCTGCTTGACCATCCTTGGTTGGATTCCAGGTGTTATCCGTAAGTACACTAAGGTGTAATTTATGTATTTCCTGATATACTCATGAACTTTACAGATGCCTGGTATGTTATTTCAAAGCATGATCCAGCGAGATATGCTCCATAAATGATACCATGAGATGTGAGACGGATGATAGGTGTGGGTGGTAATTCGAGGCGGTGGTACGCTAAAGCGGGAGATCAATGAGAGGATATTGGCGTTAATGGTCGGAGGGAATTCATCGATAAACCAGTCCCAGCGAGATGATGGTATTCCGGGAGTTAATTAATTATCATTTATATACCAGATAGGAGTTTTGCGAATCGAACAACTACCTCTCTTCATAATCTCAAAAACTGACACATACTACGCTCCTTGCCAAGGTATTGTATCAATAGAATACTACTCCGGCCGGATACAACGGAAGTGAGGCCCAGTAGATAGGTCGAAACAAATTGATAATATGATACTATGTTGATATTTATAGTAATTATTCGAGGAGCTTACATCACTTATTTCTTGGAATGTTTTACATTTCTACTTTAATACACCTATTTACTAAGTAGTGATTAGATTCTTAGGATGATGAAGGTCAAGAAACCCAAGAAAGGGCCGAAGTATTGTTAAGCAACTCCAAGCGAAATCGTTACACTAAGAACATATAAATCAATGACATCCCCTCTAAAAATTCTCAGCACCTACTACTTTTAAAGTCGCCCGTCTTCACTTCGTTTTCTATACATTATTCCTTTCCTCGAAGTAAAATTCAAAGTAAAGATATGCTAACGATGGGAGAACTTTGTCATTATCATATTTGCCCAATCTTCGCTACAGATTCGCAACGCGTGGTCGCTGCTGTGGGGCCACATTGCCAGCCGGCAAAATGCGTGCGATTTCTTCAATTCGATTTGGAGGATGCCAACATTTGCTTGGACGAGTAGCCCAACGGCTTAAAACCCCATCGCTGGCTCACGAGTTACTAATTTGGTGCTCTGTATCACAGCAGATTAATGGTCAAAGGTTTGGTTAAAGGTTTGATTATAATAACTCAGGAGAAACATTTGACTTTTTCTGAGAATCCTGTTTGCTCAAGATGATACAGCCAAGGGATCGGCTTAACGCTTGGCAGCTGTGTCTAGAATGCCTTGTATTCTTCTCCTGAGCGCGTTATCCTGCCATCGTGAGCGATGTCATCTTCAATTGCAATTTTATTTCATTTTCAGTCGTCGCCAAAATCCTGTATTTAAATAGTGAATAGGACGCAATGCCCTTGGACTCCTGACTCAACTAATTTCGCAGGCACGAAAAACGACAACGAGATCTGATCCACAGAGGAGAAACAGGGCAACGACGACCTACGATTTTTCGACTTATTCCCTTCTACCTTCCAAAACTAAATTTCAATCATGGCTCGAACCGCTCAGAGACGTAAAGAAAAGACAACCAGCACTTCAACGGCGCCAAAGGAGGACATTGAAATGGCTACTTCACCGCCGGCACAGGGTCATATTGCAGAAGTTTCAGTCGAAACAAGCACCGGGACTTCGACGACCGCACATCACAACTTATCGGAAACTCTACACCACATGCTACCTATGCATAGAGTCAATCATAAGGGTTACAAAGTTACAAAGGGTATTCAACCTGATGGAGAAAGTGGTAGACGCGGCATACACCCGTTTCATTTCTTCAGGATATGCTGGAAGTCAACCAGCGATGCTTCTCGACTTGTTAATATTCTTTGGCCGGTTGTGCCAGCAGCCCTTGCTGTTCGATATGCTAGACCAGAACTTAATCTGGCGATTTTCATACTCAATTACATTGCCATGGTACCTTGCGCGAATTTAATTGGATTTGCTGGACAGGAATTGGCTAGGAAACTACCAAAGGTGTTTGGTATTTTGTTAGAAACTACACTTGGAAGCATTGTCGAGATGATCCTCTTTATAGTCCTTTTAACCAGGTTGGAATTTTTTAATAATTTTTTTTGGTTTTATGCTTACATACTTCACGCACTAACCCAACGTATCAGAAATGAATATGGTGTCATTCAAGCTGCCATTTTAGGCTCAATGCTAGCGACATTGCTATTATGTTTGGGAATGTGCTTTTTTGTCGGTGGCTTGACGCGAGACGGTAGGCACAGTAGCTTCTTATCCTATGGTTCCCTAGCTGAATTAGATTTTAGAGCAAGAGTTCGACGAAGCTGTTAGTGAAGTTGGGAGTGGACTGTTGTTGACCGCGTAAGAGGATATTTCAATGCATAGTCCGCATTCCGCTAACTTTATACCAGTGGACTTGGTCTCATCATTCCCTCGGCATTTGCAACAGCATTAGAGTTGAAAAATACCGCGACTCTCACCGAAGAAATTATCGCGGAAAAAGTCCTCAATATATCACGCATTACTTCTGTACTTCTTATAATTGCTTATGGTACCTACGTCTTTTTTCAGATGCGAACTCATCACAGCATCTATGATGCTATTCTAGAAGCGGACGAACAAAAGGACGAGGATCGCCATGAGGATTTGGAAAAAGACAAGCTTACATTCACTGAGTGTGTCATCGCTCTCTCAATCTCGATTGCTTTAGTGACTCTCATTGCCATCAGTTTGGTTGAACAAATTCCCCATATTGTGGAAGATCGTGGAATTTCTGATGCATTTATGGGTCTTATTCTTGTTCCTCTAGTTGAAAAGGCCGCCGAGCATCTTTCGGCGGTAGATGAGGCTTATGACAATCAGATGAACTTTGCGTTATCTCATGTGCTAGGGGCAACGATTCAAACGGCACTATTCAACGGCCCTTTGGTTGTCATCATTTCCTGGGGTTTGAATAAGAAATTGGATCTTAACTTTGAGATGTTTGACATTGTTGTTTTGATCCTAGCCATTCTGGTTGTAGGAAATTTCTTGCGGGATCAAAAGAGCAATTATCTAGAGGGTGCTCTATGTGTGATTGTTTATATTATCATTGCAGTGGCGGCTTTCTTCTATCGTGAGTATTCTTTTGCTGTGGAATCTTCCAAGAACCAATATATTTCAGATAAGCTAATGTTCGTATTTTAGCAAACCCAGAAGAGCATACCGTTGGCGGCGAGGCGACTAATGCCATTCATGCTCTTTTTTGATGTTATCCATGGAAAAAGTTTGATGAGGCGTTCGGAATATCAGTTTGGGCCAAATACTTACGAGATGAGAGGTTTTTGATACGTACTAAGTTACTATACCATCATGTACAGTTTTTAGAATGTAGCTTTCAATATAAAATTTATGCATAGTTTACACCGCTTAATGGCTGTCTGGTGCTTAGCCACGAATACTATACATATACTATTTGACGGTAAGACGGTACCATTGAAACGTATGTAAAATTATAAAGTTCGTGAGGCGGTGTCAATGTAGCGGGTCCACGGCTTTGAATTTTTATATATGGAGTAGTACAAGTTATGGGACCGAGATATCTGTTATTTATTATTTTGTTATTATGATTTGAATAGTATATTGTGCCTACAATGTTGTGGGTGTGATGGTTTATTTACTGTATATAAAAATAAACCCGCGGGAAGGGAAGATAGATATATGTAGGTCAATAATAAAGCTTCATAACGTTACTCGAGTACCGGTACCTAGCAATTGCAAGAAAGCTTACCTAAATGACGTGCCAATGATATGATCACACCTACTTCGTATTTTATATCCAAATCCCGATCAGAGAGTCGTTGGCAACGGACTTAAGGTTTCGCCTATCTCTGCTGCCAACGCAAATCGTTTTCTAGCTTCCGTTTTGAGCTTAAATCAGGTCCCCGCATTGATGGATTCTTCGTTACCTCGGATTAATAGTACCTGGTCGTTACTCAGATAAGAAGGTATAAAAGTTAATTTTTCTCATACTTTTCATGGGTGGCTTGGTAGCTTCTACTTGGATCCATTGATATGGTATAGTAGATACATGGGGAATATACTCACTATGTCCCTATTATCAATGGATGGATGATGACATACGAGATCCAATTGACAATTCGCTCAATTGCAGACCCGTCGAATGTCGTGCTGATCAACCATACTTTTTCTTGTGCTTGAGGTACATTAGTGTGCTTGAGTAAATGTATATAAATATGGATGCATCTGTTTATCTCTTCTTCTTTTTCTCTTCTTTTGCGTGATTCTCAAGTTCGTGTGCATTCCCGTTACCGACAAGATGCGCGGCTTGAATTCTTTAGCATTGTTGCTTGCTGCTTCTGCTACTTCTGTGGTGGCAATCTTACCCCATCATGAAGCTCATGCCAAATATGCAAAGAGATCACTCCCCAAGCAAATCCTTGCTAGGCAACCCGTGGTGAGGTCAAGATCGACTTCTAAGTATTTGACAAATTCTACTGCTTGTAAGATACTACCCTACTAATCTATCTACTTTCAAGAAGTTTGTGAAGGCCATTTATTAATATCAATACTAGCTTTTGCCGTCAATGGAACCGCATTACCCGAAGTCGACTTCGATATTGGTGAATCCTATGCCGGTACTTTACCTGTTAGCACAAATGCTTCCGATACAAATCGATTGTGGTTTTGGTTCTTTCCTACCGACAATCCCGCTGCGGAGAAAGAGATTACAATCTGGTTAAACGGCGGTGTAAGTTCATGCCTATACCTAAGTTCCTCTTCTAGTTCGGAAGACATTGCTAAAGATCTCTTAGCCAGGTTGTTCCTCTCTCGATGGATTTTTCCAAGAAAATGGTCCTCTCAGTTGGCAATCCGGCACATATGCACCAATTTTAAACCCATATTCATGGACGAATCTGACCAATATGATCTGGATCGATCAACCTGTTAGCACCGGCTTTTCACCTGGAGACATTCTCGTTGATGACGAGATTGATGTTGGAAATCAATTCGCTGCATTCTGGAAGAATTTCATCGATACCTTTAGCATGCAAGGATATAAAGTTTACATTACCGGAGAAAGTTATGCTGGTCAATATATTCCATACATTGCCAGTAACTTTTTGGATCGCAACGATACCATCTACTACAATTTGAAGGGAATCCAGGTACGTGACTACAAAAGGGCATGTTGATGTTATATACTGACCGAACATTTAGATTAATGATCCATCGATAAATGAATTTGATACAATGGGTTCGGCCCCCGTTACAGCTGCAGCTCTGTACTATCAAAATATCCTTAACCTGAACGATACGTATATCGCCAACATTACCGCACGAGCAAAGTCATGTGGTTATACCGAGTTCCTCGAATATGCAACAGTATTCCCTCCAGCAGGACCAATCCCAACGGCTCCAAGTTCGGAAGAGTATGGATGTGATCTTTACGATGATATTTACAACGCGGCTTACTATGTAAATCCATGTTTCAATATTTACCATCTCACAGACTATTGTCCATACTTATGGGATGAACTCGGATTCCCATCACTCGGTGGAGGACCCAACAACTACTTCAATCGTACCGACGTCAAAGAAGTTATTCACGCTCCGGTCGATACCGATTACTTTGTCTGCACTGGAGGGCCCAACTTATTCCCAAATGGAGACAAATCGATCGATTCCGCACTTGGCCCACTTCCCTCTGTCATTGAACGCACAAACAACGTTATCATCGGCCATGGTCTCCTCGATTTCCTCCTATTTGCTAATGGTTCTCTAATCACCATTCAAAATATGACCTGGAATGGACTCCAAGGATTCCAAGAAGCACCTTCTTCAACCCAGAACTTATACGTCCCATACCACCAATCTCTTGGCACCATTCTCACTATTGCTAACGCTGCAATCCCCAACACCCCGCCCCAAAATGATGTTGCTGGGGCTGGATTTCAGGGAACCTGGCACACGGAGAGAGGACTCACATTCGCAACTGTCAATTTGGCAGGTCATGAAATTCCTCAGTATACTCCTGGAGTAGGATACAGACAACTAGAGTTTTTGCTGGGTAGGATTGCGAATTTGAGTGTGGTGGGTGATTACACGACGCAGACGGGAAACTTTACCGGAGTTAGTGCACCATTGAAGATGAGGGGTTTGGAATATTAAGGTAATGAGGTAATGAAGGGAATGAAATGAATGAAATGTTGATATGATATCGAGGCATGTGCATGAAGTTTATGGATCCGGTATTTAGATATATAAACGAGTTTATGATGAATATATTGCCACACTTGGCGTCTATCTGATGTTCATATGTGTTGCCTCTCGCCCTTGAGTCTATCTATTGCGGTCCACATACTCAACCTCTGAATGATATGAAAATCAGAAGTCCAAAAAGTCCACCGTGATATGATATTCCTCATCCACGCCGCTTTCATCTACTACACCTTTGTGTGCTTCACTGAGATGACATTGTCATGAGCTGATACGCTTTTGAGGATTATCTGTATATCTTGACACCCTCCTATTTTATTTGTATGGATTTCTGGTGTCTGAAGGATGATTTTTGAAAAGAATACATATATATATATACGGTATGTAGCTGGTAGTTTTCCGTTTTCGGGATCTAAATATAAAATTGTAGTTCTCACTATGTGCCACGAGCCCCACAATAAGGTTACAACTTCGTCATTGCTTTGTTGACATGTGAACTTTGCCCCAAATAAAAAATAACCTAGGCAGGCAGGAGTTAAAATTCCCAACACATGAAGTGAACAGACAGCATAACCTTGACAATATGCGCGAATGCTGAGCTGTTCGATCCTCATCCCATATTCTGTTGGGACATCCTAAAAATCTCCTCCATAGTCTCTCAGATGAACATTCAAACTCTTCTCTCGATACCTCCATTCGGTCCCCTCATTCCACCATGATTAACAATTCATGGGCTGAATATGTATTCATACGAATTTGTATTTTTGCACTCCAGAGTATACCACTTGTTAGCTTAGCATATTGTTTTAGTCTTGGTTTCACTACTCTCTTTCCGGATTATCATCTTTATAGAGTCCGTCGCGGATTAGAAGTTGTGTTTTTGACCGAATCTTTCTTCTTCCTCTTTTGCTTCCTACCATATCGCATTTGGCTCCAACGGGAAGCTGTACATCCACCAGCACCTTCGCGAGAAGAGAGAGCGGCATTATTCCAGAAGTGTTCAGATAATATTACGGATCCGGAGGCGTATCTGCAGAAATGGTTCTTGGGCGCGGATATTAGAGAGATTCGGAGGGAGAATGTCAAGGAGTTTTTTCTTTGGGCTTTTTTTAATCGGGATGGTCCGCCGGGTGATGATGAGGAGGAGTTGGAGGAGTATATTGGGATTTTGGAGAGGCAGATGGGGAGGGAGATTCCGGATGGGAGGGGTAATGCTAGATGTTTGAGGTTGACTTTGGATGAGGTTGTTATGTCGCATAGGAGTTTGATCTGGTATTGTGTGAGTGTGATTCCTTAGATTCTTATGTCGATAGAAGATACTAATGTTACTTCTCGCAGTGTGTCGGATTCGTTGACTTCTTAACGTTTTGTTCCCTCCATTACCATGGTTTCAACTTTTACCGCACGAATCTCAAACAATCTATCAGCATCATTCCTATTCGTCCGCACAGTTTATTTACTACACATCACTCACCTGCTCAGCATATATCTTATTGGCACCGACCACATACTTCAAAAACCAAACTTCCAGTTGTTTTTATTCATGGAATCGGCATTGGTCTCTATCCTTATACCAAATTCCTCGACGAACTCAATTCTTCCACTGGCACACCGGATGATCACATTGGCATTCTTGCCCTCGAAATAATGAACATTAGTTTTCGCCTCACACATTCAGCTCTTTCTCGTGAAGAAACCGCTCTCGAGATCTTCCAAATTATAGGTCAACATTTTGGACCAAATCAAAAATTCGTCCTAGTCTCCCACTCATACGGTACAGTAGTGACAACTCACCTCCTACAGTCACCTGTTCTATCCCCGCACATCGGACCAATTGTTCTCATCGATCCTGTCTCTATTTGTCTACATTTACCTTCTGTCGCGTTTAATTTTACACGTCGAATCCCTAGAGATGCAAATGAATACCAATTATACTATTTTGCGAGTATGGATCCAGGGGTCAGTCATACGTTGAGTAGAAAGTTTTTCTGGAATGAGAATGTGTTATGGAAAGAGGATTTTGAGGGAAGGAAGGTCACAGCAAGTTTAGCGGGAAGAGATTTGATTGTGGATACGGAGGCTGTAGGGAGGTATTTGTGCTGTGGGAGTTTGTCCGGGAAATCGACTCCTAGTTTGAGGGCTGGTAATGGAAATGTGAATGGGATTGTGAAGGGTACTTCAAATTTGAACACTGCGCCATTGATTGAAATCGATGAGTCGGAAGTCAGCGGGGAGGAAAGAATTGCGGGTGTAAATGTGATTGGTTCGGAAGACAACCAAGGGGTTCATGATGAAGTAGATATGGTAGATGATGAGGAGTGGAAGTATCGGGATTGGAAGGGAGTAGGGACGGAGGTTTTATGGTTTGGGACGTTGGATCATGCGCAGGTTTTTGATAAGATGGGGACGAGGAAGAGAATTATTGATGTTGTGAGGAGGTATTGTGAGGATGGTTAGAGATTTGTATTGGGAGGATGATGTTTGGAATTCGAGAGGTTTTGGGGAGTAGATTGAGAAGGATTGGAGGGAGATTAGAGGAAGATTAGAAGTCGGGAGACTTAGACAGAGTTCGAAAGACTAGAGTTCGAGATAGAATAGATGTATACAATGGCTAGAATGAAGTTGGAACCATAGTAAGGTTAATACTAGATGAGCCTTTAAAGCACGAGTGTAATATCTTACGAGGACTAAGTGAAGTAAGTAGGTATGTACGCAAAAGTAGATATAGTTTACTTATTATAATTAGCCGTAGATTAGATGAAAATTTCGGAAATAGATTAATAGATACCTAGTAATAAGGTGAGAGAGAATACTATTCATAGCCAGCTCCTCTATATCGAGCTATTTCTCCGCATGTATGATCTACAATGAAAGAGTTTGTTTTTCTGTACAATTCATATACCAAATATTTGGAGATATTTATTTTTTCTCTCTATTTATATTTTTTATATTGTATAACAAGCACTTGGGGGTATGTATTTTTATCCTTACACGTACTGCTTGCATTGTATTACTATATATAATTGGTTACTTCATATCGAGCTATGTATTTCTCCGCAGTAAGGTTAGTCGAATAAGAACCCTTGATGCAGAGACTGAGGATATGGTACGGGGTAAGAGATAGCGGGTCAATAGCTACCTACCTATGTGATGGTTTATAGGGAAGGGTCTTTTTGATTCTAAATTTATAATTAGTTTGTGTTTAACCTATCCCACCAGTGTCCCAATGAGTAATTAATCTATAAGGTTAATGCTGACACCTTAATCTATGTATTGCTTATTACTCTGATATATAATGAAGAAGAAGAAGAAGAAGAAGAACTAAATGTAATTCATGTGTCATTTCTGGTACGATCCGATTCGATTCATTTTCCGATTTGGATTCAGATTCAATTCGTCCTCATGTGGCAGATTTGAGGATATAAGCTTACTATCTATCTATTTGTTACAGAGAGCGGAGACTAACATTAAGCTTAGATTTAAAGATGACAACCCCACAATCTCAATCTCTCCTCGAACTCTCTATTTCAGCTTCCCATTTCCATTCCAAAACAGAACAGAACCGGCGACTCCGTATCTTTTCCTCCCATATAAGTATCTCGCTCCGTTATCTCTGGCTCTTTGTGGTTAGAGTGGGAAAGAGTGGGGCCAGCTGAATGGATAGATTGGGATGGGCTGCATGGGCTGGATGGTGGCGTAAGTGTTTGGATTATTGGATTATGGGCTAGAACGGAGTGGGCTTTTGGGGAAGAGGTGGGTTAGATGGTTTGTGGTTTGTGGTGAGGAAGTGCTGGCTGAGATCTTTCGGTGTTGAGATTGGATTGGGCTGAGCTCGAGGGGGGATAATAAAGCTATTTGGGACTAGTGTTGTTAATGCACTTTTGGAAAATAGGAGGGGATGAGGGATATATAATACATTTCCCGTCATGAATACTTTGAGGAAATATCAATATATACATTCCCTCACGCAAACTTCGACGAAAAATTAGTATCGCTGATTACTTTTTTCATTCAATTATGTCCAGCTTTAGAAGCAAACGTGTACTTCCCGACTCCCAAATCAAATCTGCCAGGAAACGAATCATCATTTGCTGCGATGGAACGTGGCAATCTGCTGTTACCGGAAAAGACAATTGTCCATCTAATGTAACACGACTCTGTCGCGCAATCAACAGTGTTGGAAGAGATCCAGGAGATGATGAACCGTGGCAACAGGTCGTCTGGTATGATTCTGGAGTCGGAACTACATCAACGGGTCTTGCACCTAAGGTAGAAGGTGCAGTTGGTCAGGGTTTGGAAGGAAATGTGATCGAGGCGTATAACTTCTGTGTACTCAATTGGAATCCTGGAGATAAGATTATATGTTTTGGGTTCTCTAGAGGAGCGTACACGGCTCGGGCGATTGCAGGCTTGATTTCGGATATTGGGATTTGTTCGAAAAGCAGACTGCAGGAGTTTCCAGAACTGTGGAAGCTGTACAGACAGAGGAAATTTGAGGCAAAAACGGGGGTATTGTCGGGGAAAAGATTTTACGGTAGTGCTCAATACTGGGATTGGCAACTTGGGAGACTAGCTGACCCGCAGCCTGCTTTTGCGGATCGCCCTGATGGGGAATTGCTTTGGGATATAAAACCGCAGGATATCGATACAGTATGGGCTCGCAGTAAAGAGTCGATGGATGTAGAGGTGGTGGGAGTTTTTGATACGGTTGGAGCTTTAGGCCCGCCAGAAGTGTTTGGTTATGAACTTCCTGAATGGGTACGATTTGGGGAAAAGCCAGAATGGCACAATGTTTCGCTTTCGGCCAGTGAGTGTCTTCTTCGCAGTGCTTCATTGACTGAGACTAATTCAGAACCTAGACATCAAGCACGCTTTTCAAGCTTTAGCTCTTGATGAGCACCGCAATGCATTCTCTCCAACTCTTTATTACATCAAGACGTCCGACACATCTTCAGATGAAGAAATAGAGAAACAAAGAGCTGAGGCTAAGGAACTAGATGGAAAGTGGAAGGCTATGGTTAATGAAATATCCAAGAGGGCTACAGTCGATGATAAACTAAACCTTGAAGAACTAAAAAGATTAGCAGACGATAGAAACACAGCTACAGAAAAACTCGTCAAGATGGAAGAAAGCAAGAAAATGGAGAAAGCCCTCGAGGCTGGTGAGATGGTGCTGGAGCAAGTCTGGTTTCCAGGATACCACATACACATCGGTGGAGGATCGAGCGATACGCTATTGGGCAAAGACAACATGGAAGAAATGTCCAACATTACATTTGCATGGATGTTAGATCAAATCAAAAAGTACGTATCGATTAATGAAGGTACCATAAGAGCCGACAGCGAAGATCGTCAAAGAAACTTTGAAGAACTCAACAAACAACGCGAAATCCACATCAAAAAGGAAAAAGCACGCAAGGATGAAGGTTGGGGAAAATGGATTTGGCGCCAGGGCGAATGGGTCGCATCTACAATAGCTCATCCCCTCACGCGGGAAAAAACACATCATCACGAAGAACGCGTATACGGATGGGGAACTGGAGATTTCACCGATAGTTTCACCGCGATGTATAGAGCTAATGGCTCGAAACCACGCACACCAGGTCGTTATGGCGTAGATACGAATGGGAAGAAGGTTGGCGAAACTCATGAATATATTCATCCCACTACGGGATTTCGAGTGCATTATCTTGATAGGAAAGCTGAGGTGTGGATTTTTGATGATGATCATCCGTTACAACCGGGAAAATATCGTCCCATTGGGTTACTGGGTGATAATTACAAGCGCGAGAAGAAAATAGATGATAAAGGTCGAGTGGGCTATGAGTATATCTTCACATACCCGGATGGATATGTGTCACGATTACCGGAATGGCCTTTAGGCGAAGAGGGTTGTTATGAGAGATTAGCTATTGAAGGATCTGATGCTCATGAATATGTCGAAGAGTTAGATCGAAGCTTGAAAACTAATATTGAGCCTAACGCGCCTATTTGGGATTCGAAAAATGCAGGATTTAGCTACATGGCTCCAGCGAACAAAATGGTTATTCCTAAGAGGGTTTTGGTTACGTTACGGGATTCTGTTCCTGATGATATTTTATACGAAGATGTTTCGTACGAGGGTGTTCCAAATGGAAAGGTTACGAATGAAATTGTTCCTGATGAAGGAATTCCAAATGGAGATCTTCCAGAGCAAAGCCCCCCAGATGAAAACATACAAGTCGATATGTTCGGCTACAGATTTGAACCAGATCTTACATCAATTTGATGTACTTATTAAATGTTAGTTTTGTTTTGGGTTTTATATCTTGTGTAGATTAATCTTATATTATAGTTTTGGGTGGTGAAGATTGCTGGTGGTTTTATGTAATCTTATATGTATATATATATGTATCAGATTTTGATATGTTACGAGGTTTGCCGTCTAGATCACGTGGGAGTGCTCTAGGCTCTCGAGATGGTTTATAACTAGGCGTCAAGCAGGGACTTAAAGTAATGACAATAATGCAATTCGTAACTAATACTAGAGTATACTAAATGATTGATCTTGAGCACGAAGCTCTATACAAAGGAAATCCATCTTGATTATATAGACCTTCATGCCTATGGCTAGTCAGGACCGCTGCGCGGTCCTGGACAGCCAGCGTTACTCAGCGGTCCATAACGTGATTTAATCACGTTACCTTGGTTTAGTCATGTGACGCGGTGTGGAAGATAGCCGTCGTAACATTGAGGTCTTTGATCGAAGGTATTATCATATCATCAATACTCTAGGCTACCTTCTATTCATCTCACATCCATCTCATCCACACCCACACTAAACAGCTGCATTCCAAACGATGTAATCTTATGATATTCGAAATAATAATCACCCCCGACTTCCCTCACAATAGGTACTAAGTATTAATGATAGTTTAACGTCAATCCCGGACTCCCTTAACCCCCAGACTAAACCATACCAGACCAGACCATACCTGACGCAATCCACAAACCCAGCGCTAAAACCACTGCATTATCCTCAAGACTGAATCTCCCTTCATCCACAATAATTCATCATCTAACAACTTTCTAACTCCACCTCCACCTCCCGCTAAAGTTTAGCTCAACGAATAACAATGTTTTCTCCTCATCAACTAACACCTAGCCCATCCCACCTACCACTCATAAACATCATTCTCCCAAGCCGAACTAAGCGAATACGAAGGCTCCTCAAAATTTCCCATCCTCTCACCATCACGCTCTCCATTCCTTCTTACTCTATCTTCATTCTTCCAGTCTCTATATGCGGCATCTGAAGGTGGACATCCGGGACAGTCGCAAAAGAATCCATAGTTTTCATAGAGAGAATTAGGGATACTTGCGTACGAGATTGTAAGTTCCTGGTCCTTTTTTATCGCTTCGGTACCTGTGAAAATCATTCTGTTGCTATCTTTGTCGTAGTTGTAGCTGCAATTACGGAAACTAGGACAAGCGTGATTGAAACGGGATGAATTGAGAAAGATACCAGCTTTTCCGCCGCTTATGTGGAAACTATTTAAGAGTTTTAGTTAGTGATGTACTTCTTTTACACGAATTGAGTTGGGGAGGATTAGGTTTTGTAGTAAAGACAATAACGTACCGATTAGTTTGAAAAATTGCAAGAATTTTGTGGTTAGCGAGACCATGCCAACAATGTAATCCCAAATAAGCAGCTTGTTTTTCCGCTGTCAATTGTTCGAAGTTATGATAGATTTGTAGAATTGAAGATATAAACAGAGGTTCCTCGGAGTGAATCATAATCCCAGACTCGATATCCCTTCTTGCAAAACAACCTAGACCGCCCTTTGGGGAACTTCTGATCTCGAAGAAGTCGTTCTTGAATCCGGTTTCTTGCTCTAGAGGTGGAGGAGGAGGAGAAGGAGGAGAAAGTGGCGCCAACGTTTTGGGACGATAAGGCAGGTCCGCTATCCATGAAGTAGTGACGTCTGAATTAATAGCCAAATTGTGATCGGGCAGTGCAACTACTTTTTCTGAGGTCAAACATGGCGCAGTCAAAGATGGAGCTTCGGAGGTCGAAAGAGCCAGAGAAGATGTAACTGAGTCTGATCGAACGGATACTGAAGAATTCAAAGAGGACGAGGATACTGACTTCAAGGGAGAAGCAGGTGGTGTTGAGAGTCCCATCAGTTCTCCCTTGCTCCCGTCGACCTTTTCTTCTTTTTCAGGGGATGTCCGTCTGTAATGCTGTGATCGAAGTGGTGATTAGCGGAAATTGTGGCACAGGAGAGCTGCAAAAGTTTACCTTTCCGATTTTCCACTTCATGGCTATTTGAAGCCATTCTTCAAACTGACTGGCATCTGCCAGAGGAAGTGTATGGGCGGAAGTGATATCCATTTAAAAATAATGTCGGATGGGTAGGATATTTGTGTTTCTGTTAAAAGAAGAATGATTAATTAGTATTATGATTCTAAAAAAAAATAAAAGTATGTCTCCCGAAAAAGATATTGATCAATACTAAAACTAATTGAATGCTTCGTCGGAGCGGAGAAACGGTGAATTTGATTAATTTGAATTTGATACAAATTAAGATCAAAAAAAGATTTGTGCGCCTACTTACCCAAAGGTGACCGTGATATTTGTAAGTTCAAGCTAAGGTCACTCACCAGTGGAAAGTGCCTGCAGGTATAAAACATCCCTCTTCTGCTAAGACGAAGCTTCTCAATAGACTACTATTGCGTTGATAGTAAAAGCTCTGGGAAATATTGTTGTTGTCGATGCCATCCGCTTTTTTTGTCAACAAGTAGTGAAGATGCGAAGGGCTTTGGCAATGATAACGTTTAAACTCCTTTTTCTTTTTCTGTAGAAAATTCTAGGTATAAGTTTAAAACTCCCTTCTTTTGCGAACGAATGAACACTTTCTGTTGAATCAGTGAAAAGTTGTAATACAATCTGCTTCCGATAATGAAAAGTCGCGTTTGACAGCAAACACACTCTATGAAAAAAAGAAGCTGCGACAGTAAATAAGCATCACAGCAAGCATCCTGTGACGCAAAAAAGCAAAACACACCTGCAAAGCATGCAAAGCGGAATTTTTTATCAATATACAAAAATCATAAATGTTTTCTATTTTGGATATTAGTAAGGTGCTGTTTATTGTGAAAAAAAAAAGAAAAAAGTCCCCTGCAAGAGGCCGAACTTTATATAGGACCTTAAAACACTAGTAACGGGTGAATACATCACAGCCTTGCCGATTAGACTACTTATTTTAAGATAACTCACATTCAGAATTGCTTTTTTCGATGTTTGTGATTATTGAGATGATTGGAATTTTGAATGTTTGAAGACAGATAGTATATTGAGAAGTTGGGATGCAGACCGAAAGAGCTGGAACGTTTGAACAAATGGTATAGAAAGAAAAGTCACGGGAGATTTGATATTGAAGTCAATAAAATTGACGCATTTCAAATACATCTTGAGTTTGCTTCCATTCTGACTTTCTTCAGGTACCTACTTGGTGCTAGGTACCAATAAAACTTGATGACCTAACTACTATCCTACTGTCCTTACAATAGCATTCACCAATTTTGCCATTTTTCGGATGTTCCACTCTGGACGGCCGGCCGCTATTCTCATTAGCAAAACTCACTCAAATTGTACACAAAATACTAACCTCAGCAATTCTATCAATCCATTTCAACAAATTTGGGAACTGGTTCATTTCTTCCTGCGTAATAGCACCTGAGAAGTCCCATCCACTCACCCATGCTGAAGTGTTTGTCAATGAACCTGAGCATCAAACGCAGTATGAAGATAACTTACGCCAAGTTCCAATATCTGCAACGGAATATTTTCCTTTTCCATTCCCAGCCAAATAATCACGAGGCTCGCCGGTATATTTGCCTGATAAGCGAATTTCGAGTACCCCGAAAATGCGCAACGTCTCGTCTTTGTATCGCTTCAAGGCTCCTATGCATCACCAGGGTTACTTGATTGTTCTATATGAAGATGGACAATAGTTACTACTTACCTGGATTTTTCTCACTTGCAATCTTGGCAAAGTAGGTCACTTGACCTTGGTACTAAATTCAAGTCATTAGTAATGTTGGAAGAGTAATTACTCATCTCAACTGATGTTTCCGAAGAAGACGAAGTTCATGACATCCATATGATGGTTATAGAAGAGGAATATAATGCTTAAACTCACCGGAGCACCCTGCAAAATGATTAGTAGAGTTACATGATTAAGGGCAGCAAAGAACTTACACTACCATGCCAAAAGAAGAGCCATTGAAGACACTCATTTCTCTCCAACTCATCCTTAAATCCGAATATATCTTTGCTATCAAACTCTTTCAAGAGATATAATAACTCTGCACTAGTCTCCATGACAGGAAATGGAGGTGTCTTGGTGTTATCAATCAAGATGGGAATTCGGCCTGCAAGATAGTGAGCCTCTAACTTTTACATGATTTTGTTTTGTTGAAGATTACCATTTGGGTTGAGCTTTAGAAACCAATCTTTCTTCTGCTCATTAGTCGTAATATTGAGTAGAGTGTGGGTGTCTGATCTAAATGTTAGCATAACTGTCTACACTTGACTCCAGGCCAATTCCAAAAGTATCGACTGCAGCAATCCAGATTATTTGAACGGGCCCAAGGGAATATCATTACATTCGGTGCCATATACAGCCTGTAACTCCTCAAGCATAATCTGAACCTTCTTGCCATTAGGTGTTGACATCGTTACAAGATGCAACCCCTTATCATTTCATAATCAGCTAAATGTCCTAAGCATGCAAACATGGAGTAAATAACCTTTGCATTTTTGACCTCATCAGGAGTACCATCAAGAAAGAAGTTAGAAGACATCTTGGAATAATTTAATTGAGATTTGAGCACAGCTTGATGTATTTTGATTCTGGGATTGAGCACAACTTGAAGTATTTTGAATTTTGGGATTAAATACAGAATGAAGAAATGGAAGTGAGGAGTTCAAAGAACCACCACGTATGTAGTGAGTGGGCTATGCGGGGATACTTTGTCAGCGTATAACTACTACTCGAGTTAGTTTCGGCCACCAAGCATTCAAGGACTTATTAATATAACGCTGAAGTATTGATTAGACGGTGGAGGCATTGTTCTTGGAAGTATAAAGAGGGTTATCTTATTATTGGTGTTACAAATCATGATTATATAGCAGGTCCACAATCATCATACTTGCCATATTAGGCCTAACAACAGTCAGATCATGTATGACGAATGACACAGATTTTTGATTGATAAGCAAGTTCGAGTATTCCTACTAGGTATCAATAGGTATTCAGATCAAAGATCACCATTTCATGCTGTCAAGTCGATGTAGTGAGTGTATTCGCCATCATAATTAAACTTTGTCCGATATACCTAGTACATGCGAATATGAAGGCCGAATAGCTGCTAAATGTGAGGTCCAATTTACCCCGCCTTTTCGGAGGGGAAAAAACAGGCCGGAATTGGCCAATGCACAGCCGCACGGACATTCACGTATTACATAATCAATCGTGATCATTATCAGGGAGGGCCTTGGAATAACCTCAACCCTCTCTTCTGATTATGACAACATTCATGGAATGATAATACAACAATACACCACAACATCACAATACCGACAATCACAATTTCCAAACATAAAAAAAAGGAAAATCACATTATTATTTTGCTAATGATTGCTTTTCGCATTCGCATTCGCAAATTAAAATCCATTAACCAACCAAAATTACCCATCAGCCCATGCAAGGACTGGTAACGAGCGAAATCATTTCGTTTTACACAGTCAACCCTTCCTTTCATATCGCCGAGCGCCATTGAATCATCTTGAAGACATCATCATCAAGAAAGACATCAAGAGATCTAAGAAGATCCAGTATTGGAAGATCTTCCTCCCTTCTTGCCAGCCTCATGTGGGTCGACTTTTCCGTGTGCGAATTCTGCCAGAGTAGTATGTTAATATCAAATACATATGAATGTGAGATATGGAGTAGAGTGAGTATAAGAGAAGAGAATAGGAACTTACGGCCTCCGCTACTACCTCCGCTGCTGCCGCCGCCCTCGTTCTCGTAGCTCTCGTCGGTATCAGAGCTACCTGTTGCTTGTCCACCTTTGGCTCCGGCCTCCTGTGATCAGGGAAGATGGTTAGCGATGGAAATATGTAGAGGATATTATACCCATTAGGTAGCAAGGTAAGTGGGCCTTACATGTGGATCAACTTGACCGTAGGCGAACTCTCCAGTGCCAACTCTCTTGTCTGGAGTACCGTCCTCCTTGAGACCCTCGTGCTCTATAAAAGATGTTAGGAATATAGCATGGCGTTAAAGGATGGAAAACGAATTACCAGTGGGCTTGTATTTGTCGCTCATTTTGAAGTTTATCAAAGGTTTGATTGAAGTTTTGTCTTATTGAAATCTTTAAAAATGTGGATGTTGAGTTTCAGTTGCTTGGAAGGAAGGAATTGAATGTGATTGACAGGAAATCAACCAAATCTTATATAGCAAAATCCCAGCGTCCCTACCGTTTCCAATTCCTTGCTTCGGAGCATAAACTCCTGATCGAGATCAACAGGAGCTAAGTAAATGATGCCACGATTGCATTGACAAAATATTTGATATTCAGGTTCAAATATGCAGACTTGGTAAAAACAAGCAAAAATGAAGTAATATCATGTATCTAAACAAAGCAAGCTTTCAATGGATGATGCTATGCGGCGCATATTTGTGTAACATCATAACGCAATACATCTATCACAATATAATCAGATTTATGATGATGTCACATTTTTTATTTTTTTAAAAAAAAAAAAGACTGTACCTGACGTCTGCCGAAGTAATGATTGGAGGAAATGTATGTTTACCCCTCTATTTACCAGGCTTTGAACTCGTAGGTTACAGGATTGTTTGGAACATCTCATAAAAAGTATTTCGTAAAGTCGGTATGATGCATATGTTAATTAGTAGTTCCATTGAATTGGTATGTTTGATAGAGATTTTGAAGGGGGTCTAGATGTAATTGACGAAAAATTTACGGTTGGTTTGATTCATACCTCTGATGTCTGTCTGTTTGTTGGAAATGACATGCTGTGAACACGAACACGAAATGGAACGTGGTTTACGTGAAAGAGGTTCACGCTGTCATGTGATTTGATGATTATTTAGTAAGGTTACATCGTATTTTTCAATGATGAAATCTTTGGAGTTTAGAATCACGGTGCAAAAGGTAAAATATGGGGAAAATGATGGGTATTTCTAGCTAGCCCTTGTAATACGAATCTTTTTTGTAGCTATCGCTGTAAGTTATTTGAGATGGTGGAATGTAAACCTGTGTAAGCTAAGGTCATTTCTTTTCCATGTTAAAACACACAGGAAGCTTAAGCTCCGCGACATCATCCAGGACCTCGGGGATGGAAGGAAGGAAAGAAAGTTATTCGCTTACTCCTTTCTTCTCGTGTCATTATCGTTAATGATAATGCTATCCTGATACCGCTATACGGGTCATTATCGGTATATATGGAGTATATCTGGAGAAGTAAGAGAATATGCAAGTAGGTTACTGCACAATACCATTCTACGAGCAAGTGCATTTATGGAATTAATACCACCTAATATAGTATCATCTATAAAGTCTCTGCCAGATACAACTCTCTCGATAGTCCAAGTGGAGCAAGGAGTAGGAGTTTAGTTGAATGGGGTAGACGTCTCGTCTCGACTTCACATTCATGATTATCGTGAATTATAATCGAGAAGTTTGCCGCGCTGTAATTCAAGTTAGGTCTTCATGACTTGATAGGAAGCGGTGTGTTCTTGTTGAATTTCAGGAGAATAAGGAGGATGACGTGGTATATTACTTGTCGCTGTGAGGTTCTAGAAAACTTCATGGTTCGAGTGAATTTACATAGCGCAGAACTGTTCAACTTCATATCTGTATACTATTTTGCGTCATGCAACTTGTAAATTTGTATGGTAGACTTCTAGGATGTCTTTGCTTTGAAGTCATAGATATATCCTGCAAGTGTTTAATATGAAGTGTTGTATTCGAGAAATCATCCTTCTTCACCTATCAACAAGCTTGATTGGAGCTTTGAGGAAAATGAAAGATTTCACCACCAGCTGGAAACCTTGAATTTGAGGATCCTTTACATCGCATCTCATCTGAAATACCATAACAGAAGACAGAAACAAAACAAAACAAGTAACTATTATTTACTCCATATTCCATGAAAACCCCACAACCATCCCATCAACACCATTCACCCATCCACCCATCCAATCTCCCAATCTCATTTCCCCAACTCCAAGCCCCCTCACACCATATTTAAAAAAAGAATATGAAACCCAAATCATGGCTCAACATCTTCCGCTCCAAAAAACAATTCCCAAGAACCATTTCTACTCCTACAATGTCATTCCCAACTGACTTCACACAATCCACGCACAGGAAAAAAGAAAATAAACAAATATTTCCTGCGAATAACGGTATTGGTAGATATAATAGTAATTACACACTCCCTTCAATCGATATGTCAACACTCGGTTTTGCAATCTTCGAAGATGCACGTTGTGCTATTTGCGATGGCGATTTGGATCCTAGACAAAATAGTAAGTCTACCTTTCCCTCTCAAAACCCAAAAACCCACATCCTATAAACATATCTCCTCCCCACTCCCACCACTCCCGATAAAAAAACAAAACAAAACACCACCCCTAACAAACCTCCTCCCACCCCAGCTCTCCACATCACATCCAAACCCAACCCACCCATTCAACTCTGCATCCCCTGCCAAAAGCAAATAACCCACCTAAAACTCGAATACGAAATCCTCAAACGCGAGAAACGAGAAAGGCAAATTGAAGAGTTAAAGCAGGCCATTGAGACGTATGCTGCGCAGGCGGAGTTAAAGGAAGTACTTAAGGAGGGGAATAGGGTTTTGAGGGGGGAGATTGAGGAGATTGGGGGATTGGGTTTGATGGGGAAGTGAGGAGGGAGAGGAGGAGGGAGGAGGAGGTGAGGGGGAGGGAGGGTTAGTGTGTTAGTGGTTAGAGTTCGCGATGAGAATAAGAATCATATCTTTTTTATTTTTAGAATAGAAACTACACGGGAGGAATTTTAAAGATTTCTAAGGATTTCTACTAATGTTTAACAATTCTTAATACACCCTACTGAAATTTTTGGCATAGATATTTAGATTTTAACCAAGTAGGATCTTTACATAAATCACCACCTTAATAATTCCACATATCTATCTATTTATTAATTTTTTTTTTGATAATAGAACCTTATATTTACACCATTTCTTTATTATTAGATATAATCTAATCTACTCTATTATCTATCTCCTTCTTTTTCTTCAAGAATACCTATACTTTAATATTCTATACTCGTAAGATCTTACGATGAGTAATTATTCTTTCAAATATAACCTCATGTATCTAAGTAAGTTAAACTATTATAAACAAATTGAGAAAAGACTTCTCAGAGTCTCAAACCCCCTCAAAAACAACTGCAATCACTCAAAGACTTTCTAGATAATGAAAACACCAAGTCATATTTTATTACACACCCGCGCTTGTGTGAAGTTATGCTTAAGAAAAGATATTGAATTCCTCATATACGATATCTAACGCTGGTGTACGTATGCTGGAATTTATTGAGTGTCCTCCCCTGCAGCAACATATCCATAGCACCACCAGCCCATCTCATATGTACAAGAGCCCTACTATGAACCATGATGCATAATCCAAACGCAAAAGGAATTGCAAGGAAACCCCAGAAAAAAAAAAGTTAGAAACCAGGGTATCATTTCCCAAATCCGCTCTGCTCCGTTGTAAATGCAATATCCCCATCCCACAGAACCAAAGAAACACACGACGCCCACCAAATCTATCTTCCGCCCATCTAATCCACATCATCATCTACCGGCATCGGACTCCTAACCGTCAATTCATCCGATTCATCACTTCCCCCATCCCTATCCTTCGTTTGCGATGAAACCGAGAGTTCCGGGCTCGATTCTAAAGCTGCCATCCTCTCTGCTTTCCTTGCTGCATTCCTAGCTTCACGTTGCTTGACTAAATCTTTTTCTGCTTCGATAGCTTTTGCTCTTCTAATCTCAATCTCCTTTCTCTTAACCACTTTGCGTAATCCTTCTGACGCATGAATTAATCCATCGATACTGATAGCATGGTTTGTCATCTGATGATTAATATACGTATATACATTTGCTGGCGATGAGCATTGGAGTAATTGTTGTTCATTGAGTTTTAACAGAGCGAGCGCAACTTGGAAGAGGAATGTGCTACCATCGTTCATACATAGTACAACATCCCAGACTCTGAATAGAGCTTCAGCGGAGAGACAATCGGTAAAGACACTGAGAAACCATTGGAATGTGAGGGCTTCGAGTTCAATGCATAAGTCATCTAGATGCTGGGATAATCTGGGAAGAATTTCGGCTACGTATTGTCGTAGAACTTGTTGATCTGCCCTAGAGGCTAGAAGACTGTGATCGTAATATCCAGGTGGTAGGGTATGCTCGATGATACTTGTCAAAACCCAGAAAGCATCCTCTGCCGTTGGCATAATAAGCAGTAGACATGCAGTGATTAAATTCATCCCTTGACAATACCCAACCTCAATATTTCGTCGAGAGTAAGCTAGGAGTACTTCGTTTAGTTTAGCGACTCCAGGACCTTTTCGAAAGAAAATATTATCTGTCAATGTACGATTGATATCCATTTGAATTTGAGCAACAACAGCTGGATCATCCTCTTCCTCACTACGAGCTATCAAATCATCATAGTAGCCTGGAATACGCATTGCAGAAGCTCCAGAGCATTCAGCCCAAATTTTAGCTCTGTATGCTACCGGAATACCACCAAGAACTAAATTCTTGAACTCATTCCACTTGGCACGACCGACTTTGCCTTTGTTACCCAAGCCAGATACACCAATCATTTCACCATCTGCTAGGCTTGCTTCCGGCATAATTGCTATAGGTCGCTGTGACCGCGAGTCTGTATTTAAGGCAAGAGCAGCGGCCGCTGCCTCTCCTTCACGTTTGCGTTCGGCTCTAACTTTGCGAAGGAAATCATTCCACCGCACGGTTTTCTCTCTTTGTAAAGAATCATGAACTTCGCCAAGTTGCTGTAGCAATAATTTTACGGGTTCAGTATCTTCCGTTGGAGGAACCGGGGTAGAGGACGGCGATGGAGTATTCTTCGAGATTGTGGCGGTATCTGATGCGATAGATAATGCAGGGGCTGATGTGGTCGCCAGAGGAACAAATCCTCTTTCTTCGGTTAGGATCCCAGGGGATCTTGGCACTTCACCTCCTTCCATAACTTCGAAGGCAGGCATACTACCCGATGGTGTATGAGCTAGTAACTCCGTGGGAAATGTTGCGATTTTAAGATAGTCTTGCCAACGTTTCACAGGCTTGTCTTCATCATCACCCTTGTCATCAGTTGCTATAGACTCAGGTGACTCAGGATGAAAATCATCGATATCATCTCCTTCAGCTACTGCTGCAGATATCGTGTTGCTTCTCCCACCATTAAGCATTTCCACACGACTACCTCTCTTGCCCTTTCGCATCCTCTCAGCTGCTTCTCTTTGTCTCTTCTTGCGTCGCTGATCATATATAAATCCAAATCGGTCAGTTAGAAACTCTTGATTGTTATAGTTTTTGTATTGCATCAAGGTTGGCGGTTGATCTTCTGGGGCTAAAATAGTGTCCATTTCGACGGGGCCGAAATTCTCACTGCCTGCTATACTAGAACCCTGCGGACTAGAGCCCATTGTATCCCACCTCTCCTGTGTGGCAACAATTGTGTTTTGTGTCAACGGAGTAGGATTGCGTATGGGTCTAGGATTCATCTTCGGTGCCGCTCGAGCAGACATTGTGCTTTTGGTACTGGTTCTGGAACGTGTGCGACCTGGTGGTTCGGTCTCAGCACTGTTAGACCTGCCGCGACGGGGTTTTCCATCCGAATCACGAGCGGTCGAGGTACCGGCCACGAGCTTTAATGCCAACGTCGCGAGACTAGACTGTTTTCTCTGCCGATTGCCAGCTATTGAACCATTACTTGGAGGGCGGCTTAAGCTTTCCAGTGAGGATATAGCATCCGGTGGGTGGAAAAGATCGTTCTGTAGAACTGTGCGCCGACCTGGACCCCCACTTCGTACATGAACGGTTGCGCCGTTAGTGATCGCGTCTCCATTTATGCTGCTTGCCCGGCTGGTTGTACGACTTGTTTTACTTGTCCCACCCCAAATATAATCCTTCCAACCTCTTGACGTTCCAGACATTGCCTTATCCAGCGCGGGCTCTTTGGCGCGTATTGTAGCATCATTCTCTATACTGTCCAATTCACCTGCGACCACTGTTTCACTCATGGCATCGTTCATCAAAACCTCCAACGCAGACTCACTTGAGGGAACGGGGGTTCCAGAGATCTTACGTCCGCCTTCGATGGTTCGCAGACGAGTTTCTAAATCCAGGTTCGATAGACCACATTCTAAGATAATTTTCCTCAATGACCTCTCCCTTTCTTCTGCTTTGCGCCTGAGCGCAGCTATTTGCGCATCTCGCCTAGCTAAATCCTCTGCAATCTGTCTAACCAGCTTAACAGCCCCATTTCTTGCTATCAACCTCTCGATATGTTCGTCGTTTGCATGATGTACCGATCCAGGTATATGGGTAGAACCTAAGGGCGCATCGTCGAACAAGGCACTACGGCTATGCGAAAAGGAAGAGGAGGTGGTTAAGCTATCGACCATAGAATTTGCAGCGGAAGCTTTTCGGTTCGCCGTTCCATCGTTTGTGGGTAGTATAAATTGGGGTCGATCATGTGTTGGCGAGTCACCGGAGAAGGAGGGGAAGGAAGTCAATGATTTATCTGAAATCGATGATGCAGAACTCGATATTTGCGAAGCAAGTCTTCGTGACTTTCCGCGTACTGTTTGCGATCGGTGACTCCTCATAGATGCGGCTGAGGCTGTCCTGGAAAGATTCCCCGTAATATCATTTTCCATCGCTGCGGTATCTTGGTTGATATCAAGAAGTGATTCCTCCCATTTGTTCCAGTTATATTCACTTTCCTCTTGATATCTCAAAACGGAATTCGTAAAGGACTGGGAAGAAGAAGAGACATAAGAAGACTCTGTAAAGGCGGGACTTTGGAATGAGAAAATTTGTTCTTGTAATATATGGTAAGTAGTAGGTGATATTGATTTATATCCGTAGTTGCTAAAGGCCTTTTTGGTTAATAAAGGTCGAGACATCATCATCACTATTTGGCGGCACTATCTCGCGTATTTTGTAGCACGAACAGCCCAAAAAATGTTAATCGAAAATTTCAAAACTTACATATAAAAAATCAAGAGCTTTCCTCAATTATTATACAGCTCACGAAAATATGAGGTTTATACCTGGGTCATCATTCTGTATGAAACGATTCATGCTCTTCTACTTTCGGAAGACGTGATTCTGCATCCTATGAGCCAATTTTTGGTCTTGGAAATGGCGCATCTCAGTTCTGTTGGTTTTGTTGCTTTCTCTCTCCTAATGAATACCACCGTGTGTAACGAAGTATCACTACTCCGCTCTCCTTTTCGGTGATCACATATGCACACTCACATTTTGCATATGTTACTATTTGGAAATAGACAAGGCAGACAGATCAATGTGATTGAAGGATCATAGGATTGAATAATTGCTGTACATTGAAGCGCTCGCTCAGAAACCTCAAAATACGATACATCTCGAAAAGCAGCACTGATAATTTATACAGGCGGGATAGGGCGGCGAAGGCCGAGGCAATTACCCCAGACTTCGTCGGGAACACCTGCAGACTCCCCGCCTTATTACTACTTACGGTATCTCTCCTTATTTGAAGACATAATTGTTTGATTTTACTGTTTCTCTTGTTTTGTTTCTGTTCTTGAATCTTGTTTTGAATTTGATATCATCTCACGAAACATAATAATACTATTGATACCCAATATGTCCGCGTCCGCAAAGAGAAGACTCGCAGCCCTTTCCGAGCAACTTGTGAAACCAATTGGAGATCAGGGAACCTTTGAAAATATTCCGATTCTCAAGAAAATCGCGCCAGATTCAACAGGCCCGAGAGTGAAAGGCAAAGTAGTCATTGTGACAGGTCATCATTCTCGTTCCAGACCCAATTCTATAGTATTGACATAGTGCAGGAACCAATAGTCCCTTGGGAATCGGACGAGCATCAGCACATCAGTTTGCACAGAATGGCGCAAGAGCTGTATACATATGCGATTACAACGATTCAAATCTCGAAACGCATAAACGGGAACTTGCATCATTATACCCAGATGTCGAAGTACACACGTGGAAGTTTGATGCGGCGGATGAACAATCTGTGAAGGAAGTTATTGATCATGCGGTAAAGACATATGGGAGATTGGATGTCTTCTTTGCAAATGCGGGTGTAGTAGGCACAAATAGAATATTTACAGATATTTCTGCAGATGAAGTTTTGTCTACTTTGCGGACAAATGTCGTCAGGTAGATATCTATTGAATCCTTGGCAAAATCGCGTACTAATATCAAAAATAGTGTAGCAATGGCAGCCAAATATTCAGCACCGGCCATGATGCTAACATCATCGAATAAACAATACCCTTCCGGTAGTATAATAGCCACAGCTTCAGTCGCCGGTCTCCGTTCCAATGCCGGTTCTAGCGACTACTCTGCCTCTAAAGCCGCCGTGATATCATTAGCTCAAACAATATCCTATCAGCTAGCAGGCACGGGAATTCGCGTCAATGCCATCTGTCCTGGCGTCATTGAAACAGGTATGACTGCACCAATGTATGAAGCTGCAAGAGCTAGAGGCTCGGAAAAGAAAATTGGTCAATTGAATCCGCTGGGAAGAGGTGCGCACGCGGATGAAGTTGCGAGGGTAGCGTTATTCTTGGGGAGTGAGGAAAGTAGTTATGTGAATGGTCAGGCTTGGGCTGTAGATGGCGGTCTTAGTGCTGGACATCCCTTTGTTCCGGGAAAGTTGGGTTGAGATGAAGATGGATGGTTAGATTGTTGGATCTCGAAGAAGGTTCTTTTATTCAATAGATGTCAATCCTGTGTGATTTTCACACAACCTCCGAGTTGGGGGAAGATCTAAAATCAGAATGTTATTTTACCTCTCACATCATGGTAACCTCCCCACATTGTCTCCCAAGCCCTATGCTTACCCCTTCCACTTAAAATATATATCCATACAACGTCAATTCCGTCACATACGACCATAGACTGAAGAGAATTGGGCATCCCGTCCGCTCTGCCATACACAAGCTTCAGATCGGCGAATTAGTAGTTGGGTGGGTGACCACCAGCGAATCCTCGCTGTTGTATGTTTTTGGGGGCCTTTTTTGAATTACCATTTTTCCCCCTCCTCTTTTGTGATCCAAGGAGATTGTGTCTGAAGAAATGATATTTATGGTGGCGGGGAGGGAGGTAGAGCGGGATGGGATAGTTATAGCGTGGGAATTTGTTTTGGATCAATGGAATTGATGAGGTTGATGGGTAGGGGAATGGGAGAATGAGGATAGGTAGGAGATGGAGGAGCGGAAAGTTGGGGAAGAGGGAGGGATTAGCTAGAGATGGTATATGACCTTCTTTCTACCTTTTATTTGTCTGGTAACACCTATGAAAAATGTCAAAACGCAATGGAATCACCTATCAATGAATAATCAAGTTCTACTTCCCTTTCTTCTGGTAGATTCTTATAGCGCCAGGTATTCAGGATTTGAAAATAAGCTCACCGGGCTCCGGTGATGTCCTCGGATGCTATATCTTGTTCTCAAGTGGCGAGCTGGGCCAATGAAACTTCGTGAAGTACCCAAACAAATTCAGCCAATGGATGCTTCTTCATGCGCTTTACAATTAGCCTCGTTTCTTGTTACAGCCTTACACTAGCTGGAGGTCAGGCCCACTAGCTGCAAGGCTACGATAATAATTTTGCTTTCCGATAACGAGATTTAACAGAGCCATCATTGATACAACATTACCACATTCGTACACTATTGATACAGTATTAATTAAATTCATACATTATTTTAATACAATGGCAGATCCTCTTCTATCATCATTATGTCGCATCTGTCATATTAATCCCACAAAGTATACATGTCCACGATGCTCTCAACAAACATGCTCACTTCCCTGCTCCAAACGTCACAAAGTCTGGTCATCATGCTCCGGTATTCGTGATCCTACTGTCTATAAGCCGAGATCACAATTGGCAACTCCTTCGGGTATCGATCATGATTACAATTTCCTCCATTCAATTGAGCATCGAATCGAGAGATCGGAAAGAGAGATTGTGGAAGAGCGAGGACTTGTAAAGAAAATGGAACTCGAATTGGCAAGACAAGGCCAAACGGACGATAGAAGACGACCCAACAAAACCGTAGGGCACCAGCGCGAAGATTTTATTACTAAAATGCTACAAAATTCCGGAATAACACTAGTCAAAGCACCGAGTGGAATGTCTAGAAATTTGGAGAACACATCTACTTGGAGTAGAACCCAGAAGTGCATGAATTGGCAGATGGAATGGATTCGAGAGCCAGATGCGGGCGGGAGGATACTGCATAAGTCGATAGACAAATGGTCAATCAACGATACTTACTCAGTACTCCTGGAGGAGCAACGAAGATTGAACATGGCGCCAGAGGAAAAAGTTGCGTTGAAGAAGAGGAAAGCAAATGAGTTGAAAGAGAATAAGGCTAAGAGAATCAAGTCAGATGAACATTCGTTGGATATCCCGCCGCTTTCCTCATTTCAAGACTCGACTGGAGCTTGGAACGTAGTTTTGGATCAGCCAACGATATTAACGGACCAGGATTCCACTTACCAAGCCAGTACACCGCGGAAGCTTGATCCCAAGTATCATTTCTATCTCCATCGACCAAAGACTCGATCATCATATCCTAAAGTATTAGTACCTCTGGACCCAACACAGTCAATATCCAAAGTTCTGGAGAATCGCACAGTCCTCGAATTTCCTACCTTCTACGTTTTTGAAACAGACAAACTTTCCGACACATTTATGCTGGAAAAGGATTATATTGAAGCTACTGAAGATGGGCCGGAGATGGAATCTGAGGAATCTGAGGACGAGGATACTAGTAGTAGTGACTCTTCCTCGGATGAAGATGAAGATGTGGAAATGGAGGATGGGGAGATTGCACCATGAAGTATTTTATGATCCGTTGCCGTCAAATTGTATACGTATAGAAGTATTGCTTCCCATGATACCCTCACACTAGTAATTGAACATATATTCGTTTAAATAATGTATTATTTATATACTATCTAAGAGGGTCCAATCTTGGTCAACGCTAAAATGCCCTTTTTATAAATCTTTGATTCTTATTTGATTCAATTCTCTGAAATAACGAATGCCAAACTCGTTCCCGAAGAGCTTAAAAAATCTGTGAGATTACTTTGATCTTCTGATAATCCATTCTTAAAGGTCTGGCTTCATGAAATTTGGATTAGGATAAGTTGCAAATTCATATATGAGAAGAATGTTCAACATCTAATATTTCCTTATCTGTGTTGCCGTATAGTATTTTGCTTGTACGTATCGTGAAGTCGTGTAAAGTGGTTTTTCTTCGGTGATAACGTTTCCGTGCCAACGACTACGGTTTTGTTCCCTCTGCCCTGAAATTTGACGCGCCCTCTTCGTGATCAAATATCCTACAAACACACGATTAATACCTGCGTGATCTAAAATAATAGTAGGATCTTCTTGAACCTCATGAAGTAAGCCAAATATCCACATTCTTAGGAGGTACTGTACGTGGAGGGTTATCCGGAATTTATATTTACTGATAGCAAATAGAGGTGGATTCACCCCGCTAAATACGATTGGATCAACAGATGCACCAAATTTCAAACGACGAAATAAGACTACAAATACAAATACTCGTATATTTAAACAACAACACAACTTCAAACGGGTCGTCAACACTTCAAGAACAACAACACCGTCTCATATAATACCACGCATTCAAAGAACAACTTGCCCGTCACCAGTAACGGAAAATAGCCCATCTTTGAGTGAACTTGGTGATTCAACTTCGCTCTTTGATTCGTCTCTTCTAATCATTGGTCGAGCATCCAATTCAAATTCAGCAGGGAAAGGAACCGTGGTTGTTCTTGATACTACAAAATACGACAGATATCTCGTTGAGAAAGGAAACAAAATGGTTAGGGAAATATCTCCAGCAAAGGTGCAGGCACCTCGGCCAGAAGAGCCTAAAGATCAATATCGATCCTCCCAAAGCAATGCCGCAAATCATTTATCAAACATTCCTAGATTCGGAGAAGCTACACTCCCACAGTCCCCACTGAACCGTAAATCTCAGCAACAATACTCTGAGTTATTCATCCAACCAAAATCCCGTCCCGAATTTCACAGAGATACAGAAAAACATAGTATGTACTCTGGCGTCAAATCAACTTACAGTGCTAACTTATATGTAGCACATCCACACTTACAGGCAGCAAAGGATGCTGCCCGAAAGATTATCGACCCTTTTATGCCACGAGCTCCAGCCGATTACAACAAGCCAGCAGTTCGTGCACCGGTTCCAGGTTCATCGTCTTATGCAACAACTCACCCTGCACCTCAACCTACTTTTGGATCCCTTCCAAACAGTAATGGAGGCTTCCAATCCATAAACACCTATACATCCAACAACTACGTAGATCTTACCACGTCTAAGCCGAATTACAATGAGACACACATCTATGTTGATCCTGCAAAGGCACAAGAAGATTTAAAAGCACTTCTGGAGGGCGTTATTGAGGATGAGGAAGATACAAAACCTAGAACCAGATCACGCAGAAAGAAGAAGGATGCAGAGGTAGACGACTTGATGGTACAAATGAATGGGCTAAATGTCGAATCGGATGAAAAGCTCGAAGTTGCATCGGAAGACGAAGAAGAAGATGATGGGACTGTCGAAGGAATTAATGTAAAATTACTTCCTCATCAAGTTGAAGGTTTAGAATGGATGATTGGGAGAGAGATTGGTACAGGAAAGAGAGGCATAGTACCAAAAGGAGGCATTCTCGCCGATGACATGGGTTTGGGAAAGACATTACAGTCGATTTCACTCATTCTAAGCAATCCAAAACCATCAAGTTCAGACGAAACTCGCAGTAAACGCAAATTACCTTCCGGTCTGGACAAATGTACTTTGGTTGTTGCACCTCTTGCACTTATTCGACAATGGGAAGCTGAAATCAAAGACAAGGTTGAAAGCAGTCACTCTCTTCGTGTGTGTGTTCATCATGGTCCTCAACGTACGAAACGATTCCAGGATCTCAGGAAATATGACGTTGTCATTACAACTTATCAAATTCTTGTTTCGGAATGGGGTAATTCGTCCAAGGATGATGATGATGAAGGTGTAAAAGTCGGCTGTTTTGGCATACACTGGTACAGAGTCATTCTTGATGAGGCCCATACCATCAAAAATCGAAACGCCAAAGCTACACAAGCATGCTATTCTCTTCGGAGTCACTACCGCTGGTGCTTGACAGGAACGCCAATGCAGAACAACTTAGATGAATTGCAAAGTCTCATCAAATTCTTGAGAATTAAACCATACGATAATCTCCGTGAATGGAAGGACCAAATCGATCGACCAATGAAAAATGGTAGAGGTGATGTCGCAATCAAGCGTCTTCGTCACTATTTGCAAATTTTCATGAAGCGACGCACCAAGGAAATCTTAAAGAAGGAAGGAGCTCTGAATCCTGGAGGGAAGCCTTCGGTTGCTGGCCAAGCCAATTCAACAGGGTTTAAGGTCGTCGAGCGTAAAATCGAGAAAGTATTTGCCGAATTCTCCCCAGAAGAGCGCAAATTTTATGAAAGATTGGAAGCACGTACCGATGCAAGTATCGAAGAAATGATGGGTGGGAGCAAGGTCAACTATGCAAGTGCGTTGGTATTGCTGTTGCGTCTGAGACAAGCTTGCAATCATCCAAAACTTGTGGGAAATAAATTGGGCAAAGATACCGATGCTCTTTCAGCAGAAACTAGCAACGCCAAATCAAAATCAACAACTGACTTTGATGAGATGGCAGATATGTTTGGTTCTTTGGGTGTAGGCTCCAAGAAGTGTGAGGTTTGTCAAATCGGGCTTGGTAAAGAAGCTATTTCACAAGGTGCTATTCGTTGTTTGGATTGTGAAGCAGATTTGGACGAGATATCTGGTAAGAAGCTCAGCCCGAAGAAAAAGACGAAGGAAGAGAGGAGCAAGAAAGATAAGAAGCACAAGGCATCTAAGCCAGTTCCAATTCGTAAGCCTAGGAATAGGAATATCATTGAAGATAGTGATGACGAGGAAGAAGGTGAATGGCTTGTCGGAGATAAGAAACGTGGTGCTCTTACTTTAGGAAAGGCTGGTGGAAAAGAAGACGAGAATTGTGAAGGTGGCGGTGAATGGCTTGATTCAGATCATGATTCAGATCTTGATGATTCTTTCCCTGATATTAAAGATATTGGCAAGAAGAAGGTTGTCAGTCTTGATAGCGATGATGAAGAGACTGCCGATGAATCATTCGAGGAGTCGGAAGAAGAGGATTCGGAAGAAGATGAGTCCTCTGAAGAGGAGGAAGAAGAAACGGATGTTGAGGATGAATTTGGTTCTTCCGACGAAGAAGCTGAGCTTTCTAGAGTTGCTGCATCTACTAAGATTACACATTTGATGAAAATCCTAGGGAAGGAAGCGGCTCAGCATAAATTCATCGTCTTTTCACAGTTCACGTCAATGTTGGATCTTGTTGAGCCATTCTTACGCCAAAAAGGTTTCAAATATACTAGATATGATGGTGGCATGAAGAACGATCTTCGTGAAGCCAGTTTGGACAGACTTCGTAACGATGAGAATTGCAGAGTTTTACTTTGTAGTTTGAAGTGTGGTTCTCTAGGACTCAACCTTACAGCTGCTACTCGAGTAGTTATTCTCGAGCCATTCTGGAACCCTGTAAGTTCTTTCTATTGCTCACGTTGTATTACATGATCAGTGTTACTAACACATACATTTATAGTTCGTTGAGGAACAAGCCATTGATCGTGTACATCGTCTCACGCAAAAAATTGATGTTGTTGTTTACAAAATTACCATCAAAGATACAGTTGAGGAGAGAATTTTACTTCTCCAAGAAAAGAAACGAGAGCTTGCAAATCAAACCATCGAAGGTGGTAAAGGTGGTGCCGGCAAATTGGGCATGAAAGAAATTCTTCAATTATTTAGAAGAGATGCTGAACAAGCCCCACCTGCTACTGGTGCGTATGATTTAGGTGCGAAACCTAGAATCCTAAAAGAGTCCGCAAGTAGGAGTCCAAGTAAGAGTGCGGCAAATTTGAATAGTTATGGTTCACAAACTGCGTCGGCACCAAGAAAGATTGCACCAACTCCATTTCAAGCTAAGAAAATAGAAGATTCGGTTTATGGTAGAAGATGGTGATTTGCTTCAACAGAAGATTTTATTTATTGGTCGTTTGGTTATGACGGTTTGTTTAGATTTTGTCTATATGGGAAATATCTTGTGGTAGATTTGGGATACATTGTGGTTAGGTTACGGAATGGGGACTGGCGCTCTGAGGGTTTCTTCTGTCCTTTCTCTAGGATCTAGGATGGATATATGATGACGAATGGCTGTTAGACGAGAAATGAAAAGTATTATTATTTAGGAATGGTTGTTGTGATATATTTGAGTAGCATACTGTTCTTGGTGACTCTTTATTTAAGTCAAATCTCCATTTACCATCCCATCCATTCAAAACTACCTGTCACTAATCAATGTTTCAACCGTCGCTTTGTTATATTATAAAAGATGCAAGTCGAGATATATGCATCCCGATAGTACATTATAAAAGAAAAATGAAGGAAGGAATTGATTAGATTGTATTGTAATATATTATTGAAAGAGAAAATAGATTTCATAATAGATTTGAGATAGAAACAATTTGTGTTCAAAAATATATAACGTGGTTTATCAGCAGTCCGCCCATATCACTAGTCCGCCCACTTTTTGGCCATTTCCAACTCTTCCACTTCAATACGCGTTTTATCAATAATTACTTATGGAAACTCATTCTAAAGAAGTACGAATTATCTTAGCTATTGAAGCTATTAAACTTAATCCACAATTCTCAATTCGGAAAGTGGCAAACCTTTATAATATACCTCGATCTACTTTGAGGGATAGAATTAAAGGTTGTACTAATATGGCTGATTATCGACCAAAAGGTCATAATTTGACCAAATTAGAAGAGGAAGTGCTTATCCAGTATATAATCGATATGGATGAGAGAGGGTTTGCACCTAAATTAAGTGGTGTAGAAGATATGGCGAATTATATCCTCGAATCGCGGGGTGCGAAGAAGGTTGGAAAGCTCTAGGCTCATCGCTTTGTTAAACGATGCCCAGAATTAAAGATGCGTTTTAATCGCGTTTATGACTTTCAAAGAGCTCTTTGCGAAGATCCCAAGCTTATTGAAGAGTGGTTTGGATTGGTATCGAATATGCGGGCGAAATATGGTATTGTCGATTCCGATTTTTATAACTTCGATGAAACCGGCTTTATGATGGGTGTAATATGCCCTGGAATGGTCGTAACTAGTATTGAACGATGTGGCAGAAGCAAGGCAATACAACCAGGCAATCGAGAATGGGCTACAGCGATTATATGTGGTAATGGAGAGGGTTGGACTATACCTCTATTCTTGATGGTGCAAGGGCAATATCACCTTTCTAATTGGTATACCGAAAGTGGTTTTCCTGCAGATTGGGCTCTTAAACCTACTTCCAATGGATGGACGAATAATGAGACAGGCCTAGAATGGTTAAAGCATTTTGATAAACATACTATTCGTCAAAGGAAGGGCAAATATCGAATGCTAGTATTGGATGGGCACGAAAGCCACGAATCAATATCTTTTCAATCATATTGCAAGTCAAATGATATTATATGCCTCAGATTACCACCACATTCAAGTCATTTAACTCAACCACTCGATGTTGGGTGTTTTGGCGTACTTAAACGTTCATATAGTTGTCAAATTGAAGGATTTATCAAAGCTCATATCAATCATATCACCAAGGTTGAATTCTTTATAGCCTTCAAAGCTGCATATTTACAATCATTTACTATTCAGAATATGAAAGCTGGTTTTCGAGGAGCAGGTCTAATACCATTCGATCCTCAATCTATACTCTCAAAACTGGATATTAGGATTCGTACTTCTACCCCTCCATCTACCTCCTTGGAACTTACCAATTCCTGGATCTCTCAAACCCCTCACAATCCAACTGAGGCTCTCTTACAATCAACTCTAGTAAAAGCTCGAATGGCTCGTCATCAATCAAGCTCTCCTACACCTATATTTGAGACTGTGCAAGCTTTAGCTAAAGGTACAGAGAGACTGGCATATGAAGTTACACTTTTGAGTGCTGAGAATCGTATACTTCGAAGAGCAAATGAGGCATTAAGTAAACGTCGACGCGCCAAAAAAAATTCAACTACGTAATGGAGGAGTACTTACTGGACAAGAAGCTGAAGATATATTATCACAACAAGAGGTTGATAATCAGATTCAACGCGACGAGCGTCAAAATGGGGGAAATTCTAATAGGGAATCATCTACTAGTCGATGCTGTAGTAAGTGTGGAAAGACTGGTCATAATTCAAGAACTTGTCAAAATGATATAATAGATCCTAGATTATTAGATTCTTAATAGTTTGAATCAATTGAATAAGTTATGATTGATTAATTAGAATTTGAAGTGGTTAAATGGTCAAAAAGTGGGCGGACTAGTGATATGGGCGGACTGCTGATAAACCACGTTATACAAAAGATCGATTATTATAGAAAAAAGAATAACGAAGTCTCTTTTTTATATTTAATTATTAAGGGTTATATGATTAATTAATTGGAAACCTTTATGTATATAGTCTACTATTCCTACTTTCTCACAATATAACAACATTTTTGTATACCCAATTTGCCGTACATGTCACTTCAGATTGAAAAGTATCACAAAATTTTATTAAGTATATCTTCATTTTTGAACAATCTCGTACTCAAATTAGATGACTAATAATTCTCTACCATGTGCAGTAGCGCACACCTCGGATTTGCGCGGAGTAGAGAGATCATTGACCCTGCGGACACTTGAAAAGATTACGTATATGCTTTGTTTTGATGATTATATAAGGTTATTCAAGAATGGAGTTTGGAGTTTGGTATTTGTTATGTGAAATTGAATCTTAAGGTTTAAGATTCTTTGCTTTGTGTTCTAGCTTTGTGCTCTAGCTTTATATTTTATATTTTGTAGGACATATTTTTGTATTGGATTCCAGACTTCAGATTTTAGTGGTTTGATACGAAGATACGAAAATACGGAAATTTTGTCCTTTTACCTCAATTACCTTGTTACCTACAACTAGCAGATACAATGACCTCAACCTCGATTGTAGGCAGTACAGGCCTCGTGGTACGTATTCTCCTCACTCATTCACCTCCCTCCATCACCACAACATCTAACCCTTAAAAAAACAGGGCTCCCATATCCTCAACACGCTACTCTCGCACCCCTCCATCTCAACCATCCATTCCCTCTCTCGCCGCAGCCCCCAAGAACCCGCCGCGACCTCCTCCCCCAAACTCCACCCCCTCATATCCGAAGACACAAAAACCTGGTCTTCCCTCCTCTCCTCCATCACCCCCTCCCCTAGTATCTTCTTCTCCGCCCTCGGCACTACAAAAGCCCAAGCCGGCAGTATCGAAGCGCAGCGCAAAATCGACTTAGAACTAAACCTAGAACTTGCACGCACCTTCGCAAACAATAATTCCGAATCCCAAGATGCCAATCCCAAATCTAAAATCTACATTCTAATTTCCACACGCGGCGCAAATAGTACTTCTCGAATCCCGTATTCGAAAATGAAAGGTGAATTAGAAGATGCGGTTACGAATGAGCTCGCGGATTCGTTTAAACATGTGGTTATTTTGAGACCGGGGTTGATAGTGGGAGAGAGGGATGATTCGAGACCGGCGGAGTTTGCGTTGAGGAAGGTGGCGGGTTGGGTGGGTTGGTTGGGCGGTGATGCGTGTAGGGATTTTTGGGCACAGGATGCGACGGTTATTGCGAGGGCGGCGGTTAATGCGGGGTTGAGGGCACAAGAGGGGAGGGATAGTGATGGGGGGGTTATTCCTAGGGTGTGGGTTTTGGGACAGGCGGATATTGTTAGGTTGGGGAGGGGGGAGTGGAAGGGTGAGTGAGGGGTGGGTTTGTTGATTTAGGGATGGGTTGGTTAGGATTGTGGGTTTATTCTAAGTTGGATGGATGGAGTTTTAATTTTGTGTGGTATTATTGGGTCTAGGTGGTGAGGTATGTTGTATTGTAGTTTACTTGTAAATTGTTGCTTCCATTCATTTATAAATATGCTATGTTATTATTACGTGCTTTTCATCTCTTCCCATCATTTCTCTCTCTCATCATCACATCATATACCAAAAGCAACCCACCGAGATCCAAACCTCATTCCACCATCCGCCCTCCAACCCTAACTCAAACATCTACATCCCCACCACTCTCTCACACACTCCCCCTCCCTCCCTTCTTCTCCCTCCCCCCAAACCCACTCCCCTTCTCCCCACTCACATTAACATCCCCCTTACTCCTCTCCGGCCCCCCACCCATTTCATCCGTTTGTCCACTCACATCCCTATTCGCGGGACTCACTTCTAGCGGATTACCATAACCTTCTTTCTTTTCCCCCTTCCCTGCTTGATTTTTTTCCGACTCGGGATTAGTGATGTTGGGATCGAAAGCTGCGGATTGTTCGCGAGCGGCCGCGTCGTCGGTGCCCGATTTACTGTATTCGGTGGCTTCGGTATTGATGCTGTCTTTTTGTTGAGAGTCTTTGCGGGGGAATTGGGGGGAGGGGGTGGTGGTTATGGGACGGATGGAGGGGTGGGTGAGGAGGATGGGTTTGCTGGGGATTGTGGTGCGTGTGAGGCGGGTGAGATGAGGGAGGCGGAGGAAGTGGGTGGGTGACATGGCTGTATTATGTTGTGTTGTTGTCGTGTTTGTTAAGGTTGTTTGCTTGGTGATATATTGTAGAGGTAACAACTCTAGAATATTGAATTAGCTTTGTTTGGGAACTCATTTAGAACTCATTGTACTGGAGATACATTTTTAGAAGAACGTAAATTCAACTTACATTGGGTTTAATCTGAACTGAATATTTCAAATTTGATCTCAATTGAAAAGGTGTTTGTTAGAAATGCTAAATACTACAGGTAAGATTTTGCACTCTTCAATTGCATGTACTCGAGTATGCATGAAAATAATGACGACGACGTCATCGAGGAGCTTTTAGCGTTTGGAGCTACCCCGCATTATCTCGCCCCTGGATAGAATTATGGTTATCCAATTAATCGAGTGCGAAATTGAATCCATCGATTAACACATCAATATATTGTCTTGTAATTGAAATATGCTACCTTTTGATTTGAGTGTTACTTTCTCAATTGTGTTGGTATGTAATAGCATAATGCTGAATAGAGACATTATTCAATTAGTTCTAGGTTTGCTGTTCATCAGCAACCTGAATTAGAACATGGATAAACATGTGATTGCTGCTACTCAAGCCATCAGTTCGTTATGATTGTGATGCTGATTTTATGTAAGCAATTTATTTGCCACGCTCTCGATGTATTTCCTCTTCAAACTAGTCTTATTTTGGTTGTCCGAGTTGCTTGTATCGAATTGTGTAATTCTGCAAAAAGCATGGTATAGATCGGGATATCTAGACATGCAAGTTTTCGTATGGAAGATTTGAAATTGCATTTCTAGTCGTAAGATCTTACATTCTTCCCTGTGCATAGCAATAGCGTTTATGTCAATAAAGGACTAAAAGATGGGGAAGGTTAGAAAGGAGAGTCTTCTCCTGGTGGAATTTGACTTGACACAAATCTTGGTTACGCCACCGTTAGTCTTGATGTCATGATCACCTAGGTAGGTACAATCTCCCATACATCTCAGGGGGAAGGAGCTTTGGAATTTGGATGTTACTTATAAACATCATACACTCCCTCCTCCTTTCATCCTCATTCAAAACCATTCCAATGTTGCGCACTATTTCAAGAAAGACTTTCTTCCAACCCTCAGCTAAAATCTTTAAGCCTACAACCCTTTTTTCAAGAAATATGGCCGATAAGCGTGTTGAGCAAGCTGCCCAAGCTGCTGGTGAAAAGAAGGATACCAACCCTTCTGTAAGTAGCTGTTTACTTGTCCAGTTAGGAACCTCGAATGCATTAAGCTAATCAAAGAGACTTAGAACCCATCAGTTATTTCATCTGGAGGCGCAATTGGCAAGCAATTTAACCCTGACGGAAACATTGGACAAATTGGTGAGAAGATTGGTGGTCCATTCTCAAAGGTAATACTCAAGGCCAATTCTGTTTTTAAGTCTTCAAATCTAACCCATAAATAGGACGGTGCTATCGGTTCCCAGTTCGATGCCGCAAAGGATGGTCTCGCTGGACAGGTTGAGAAGGCTGTTGATGGACCAAGTAGACCTGCTACTGAGAAGAAGTAATGACACTTGGGGTTGATGAATGAAAGACGATGATAAGGCCATAGGCCGGAATATATTATTTTTGGACGTCTCTCACTTCAGAGGAATTGGTCGTATGTACTATAATCGATAATAATGAACTTTGTTCAACGATGTATACCTTGGTGACCTCCCGTTAGTCGAAACTGAGAATGTGATGTTTGCTGTAGATACTTTGAATCCACGAATAATCTCCAGGTTGTGGAATGTGAAACCCAGTCTCCTACAACGCTGCCCACCTTTCTATGTATTTGCTCACCAACTTTGATGAGCAACTCACTTTCTGTATTCATATTCCCCAAGGGATCAATCACTACCATCCAAACACATGACACATTGTTATCTGTCGCCAAATATTTAGCCGCGGAAGAGAAGTTGTCAAGCTCCATAAAATGCTAAGTGAAAGGCTTTGCACTCAAGACCTCCAACTTGGTCCATTTATCCAAGCGGCTTACATTCTATCTGACTTGGCTATCGTGCTTCTTGGGGAAATGCGATTGTTGATTTTCAAACACCAGACGATACATTTCACTCTGTGTTACCATAATTCGAAGTTAGCGATACCATCAAATCGGCATCGATCGATGAAACAGATTTGATAGTATCAGTTCGAGAGTTCAAAACCAGCATCAGAAATGAGAATTTTCGTATTCGGAACAAAGAAATCAAATGATATTCGGCTTCGGCTTCGATAAAACTTTCTTCCGGTCGGATAAACTTTGACAGGGTATCTTTTAATCGAAGGTGTTTAGCTTGCTTGTGATGGCGTGCTTTCTCGTGCTCTCACGTATTTTCTCGGAATTCACTTAATTACCTACTATCAGTTTTTTAACACGGCCAGTGAAGAAAGAAGGTGGGTTTGAAAGTGGTGAAATTTCTTATGAAGGATCTCTATTTATTATTACTAAAAGGTGATTTATCGGAGTCATGGTTTTACATTCCAATTGATAGGCCAAAGATTATATATCGCATTTATCACACTAAATCTTTCTCTTTCAGATTAAGTTGTAAAGGGATATTATTTCCTTCTACTACTGAGTATATTGTTGACTTCTTTACTTTTTTACAACATTCTCATTCTTTTTCATACTTCCAAGTGTATCAAGACAATTGGTCTTGAATTTCTATTTTCTTTCATTTAGATTCTTGTCTTGTCGAAAGTTCTTCGAAGATACCCCGCCACCATCAAGTCGCAAGAATGGGGGAATCAACAGATTATGATCAAACCAAAGGCATAAATACTAAGCCCGAAGGTGATGGATCTAAGCAGGTAAGCCAAAGGAATTCTTCCAGAAACTATTCACAAGTGTCTAATCATTCTGTTCTCTGCAGGAACCATTCGGAAAAGATACACTCAACTCCACCTGGAATTCCGAAACCGAGTCTTCTTTCCGAACATTCTCCCAAAAGTCCTCCAATTTGCCATTTGGACAAGCAATTGAGTACGATGCGATCAGTGGACCTACCTATGTTACTGCACAAACTTTGGTTCAACAAGTAGCTTATGCGCTCTCTGATAAGATCTTCTCTTACTCCCCGGAGTCGTTTGATCTGGATGTTGCTATAAAGTCTTGGGCCGCGGCAAACACAAAAAATGCCAATGGATATACTACACAAATTTCTCCCATGCAGACTCGATCTGGTGCTGGATCCATTGCTCTTGGATATATGTTTTCAAAGGATTTCGATTTGACCAAGAGACATATCCCTCAATCACTTTTGGCCACTTCTTCTAGTCTTCATAGCCTACGTTCAACTCTCGACCAACTTTCGTTATTATACTCTGTTGCAAATCCATTTGTAGCTCACGTTGCTGCTGTTGATTATGCACCTGGATCTGGTGGTCTCGTCACGGACTATGCAACTGCTTTGACTGTAGCGGAAGAGTTGGGACTCGGTTTGGTTTCTAGTTCGTCTGCATACGAAGCTCAGCATATGTCTCTCTTCTCTACGTTGTTAGCTACCGTTCTTCCAACCATCCATACCTACGATGGTATCACTGTTGGCCGTGACACTCTTCGTGTCATTGATATTCTTAGCCAATCTGGTCTCAGCAGTTCCTACAAGAGCATTCTTGACGAAATCTCGAAACTTGGAAAGAGAGCTGATGCTGAAAGTAAAGTTTCATCACTTCTTGAAGCTTTTAACAACGAACTTGGTACATCTTATGGCCTTTTTGAATATAACGGAGATGAATCTCCAGAATCTGTTTTGGTTGTCTTCGGTTCCGTTGAAAGTTCTCTCGCTACTCAAGTCGCAAAGAAGCTCTCTGCTGAAGGAGAGAAAATTGGTGTTATCAATGTTAGAGTTTACAGACCTTTTGTAGAGGAAGCTTTCCTAAAGGCTCTTCCTGCATCAGTTCGAAATGTTGCAGTCCTTGGTCAAGTTCTAGACGAGTCAGCCGCAACAGATGTTTCTGGTCACTCTAATTTGTATGAGGATGTTTTGGCAGCAACTGTATTCTCCGATAAATTTCCAACCGCTCCAAAGGTCGTTGATGTCAAGTATGCTCGGTCGCAAGTTTTCACACCCACTTCTATCGCTAGCATCTTCCATCAACTTGGAGGCAAATCTATTAACGAGACTATATCACTCTTGACTGTTGGGCAAGTTGAGCAATACTCATTCTTTGATCTCGAGGATTCTGCTGCTGCTTCCGCTCCTTCTGCTATCAGCAAGCTTCTTTCTGGTGATTCGGCCAGCAATGTTCTCATCAATCAAACTCATGACAACTTCATTCAAGGTGGTGTTGTTAGAACTGATATCCGAAACTCCAAAAAGTCAATCGAGGCTGCTTATCCAATTGAAGAAGCCGATGTTACTTACATTGGAGATGAAAAGTTATTCAAGGAGATTGGTATCTTGAAAAATGTCAAGTCGAATGGAAAGATTATTGTCAAGCTTCCAGGTGTTAAGGACGAAGATCTGGAGAAGAAGATTCCAAGCTCTGTTCGCAACGAGATCAAATCAAAGGATGTCGAGTTATTTGTCCTGGATCCAACTCTGTCAGAGGCTCTTGAGAAGGAACCTGCTCTTGAAACTTTGTTAATTGAACTTGCATTCTTGAAGATTGCTCGCCCAGAACTTCTGGATGCCAGCGAGGACAAGCTCGCAGCTATTAATGGAAGCCAAGAACAACTTCAAGCTGCAGTAGCTGACCTTAAGAAGGTCATTCGCAAGGTTGAAATTCCTGTGACTTGGGCTGAAGTTGATACCGAAGCTGAAGTTCTAGACCTTCCTGCAACTATCAAGTCCAGCAGTTTTACGGGTTTCCAAAAGGAAGAAACTGAGGCACCATCTCAACTTCGTAATTGGCACGCAGCTGCTAAGGGTCTTCTCTTTAAGGAAGCTTATGGCACTAAATCTGAACTTCGACCAGATCTTACTGCCAAGACATATGAGATTACCGTAAAGGAAAATCGTCGTTTAACCCCCATCACATATGATCGTAACATTTTCCATATCGAATTCGATTTAGGAACATCCGGTCTTAAATATGATATTGGCGAAGCTCTTGGTATTCACGCTGTCAATGATGTTGCTGAGGTTGAGGAGTTTATGAAGTTCTACGGACTCAACGCAGATGATGTTGTCGAAGTACCTTCTCGTGAGGATAACAATGTTTGGGAGGCCAGAACGGTTTTCCAATCCTTGGTGCAAAACATCGATATCTTTGGTAGACCACCAAAGAAGTTCTACGAAGCCCTCGCCGAATTCGCTTCTGATGAGAAGGAAAAGAAAGAACTTCTTACACTTGGTGGCCCAGAAGGTGCCAATGAGTTCAAGCGTCGTGCTGAAGTTGATACAGTCACCTACGCTGACATTCTCCTTGAATTCAAGTCCGCTCACCCATCTTTCCATGACATCGCTCGCATTGTTTCACCAATGAAACGTCGTGAATACTCCATCGCCTCTTCTCAAGCTGTCAATCCAACAACTGTCGCTCTCATGATTGTTGTCGTATCTTGGGTCGATCCAAAGGGTCGCGATCGTTTCGGTCAAGCTACACGTTACCTTTCTTCTCTTCCTGTCGGATCAAAGGTTACCGCTTCCGTAAAGCCTTCCGTCATGAAACTCCCAGCTCTTGATACAGCTCCTCTTATCATGGCTGGTCTCGGTACAGGTCTTGCTCCTTTCCGTGCTTTTGTTCAATACAGAGCTATGCAAAAGGCTCAAGGCAAAGATATCGGTTCCATCCTTCTTTACATGGGATCTCGTCATCAACGAGAAGAATACTTGTATGGTGAAGAATGGGAAGCCTATCAAGATGCCGGTGTTATCACTTTACTTGGAAGAGCATTCTCCCGTGATCAAAAACAAAAGATCTATATTCAAGATCGTATGAGAGAAACAGTCACCGATATCATTCAAGCGTATATTAAGGATGAAGGATCATTCTATTTGTGTGGTCCTACATGGCCGGTACCAGATGTTACGGAGGTTCTTGAGGAGGCGATTAGGGAGGATGGTAGATTGAGTGGAAAGAAGGTTGATGGAAGGAAGGAGATTGAGAGGTTAAAGGAGGCTGGTAGATATGTTTTGGAGGTTTATTAGATGGCTTTGGGCATTGTTGATATGTAGCTAGTGGTTGATTTTTAAAGCGTGTTTAGACTATACTGGTTAAGATTGAAATCCATAGATCGTATCTGGACTCTGTTCGGAACTAAAATTATAGATTTGTTGCTGTTTAATCTTGTCGATTTCGCTTGGTTCAAGGTCGTGTTTGTTATCTATTGAGAGTATTATATATATACATACAGTAAATAGTACTTTGAGTATATGTTTTTTGTTAAAATTGACAATTATCTTATTCCATTCTATTTTGTTTAGGGAGAAGAGTTCTAGTTGATGAAGATTTCGGACGTAGTGATTGACAAGATGAGTAAGTATTCAGATGAGGGTATTTAATATTCGTGTATTGAAATATTTGCATCTAAAGTCTTTGGATAATTACCTAGGATGATATATATGCAGCATTCAGACGATATATAGGAGTCTACTTCTGTGAAAGTATCAAAATTGGACGAGGGCTTTTATCTGCTGTATATATATACACATATATATGCAATTATCGTCCGAACATCCATTTAGTTATATTTCCGCATATTGTCAACGTCCCTCAATATTTATCAATCATTCCAGAGGTCATCATTCTTCATGATGAAAATCTGCTTGAATTGTTCAGCTTAGTGTTGAAATTTATTGATGGCTGGCATTTTTTCGCTGTCTATTTATATGTCTAATTATTTATATATTTTAAGAATTACAAATAAGACTATAACCTATAAGAAGGAATATTATATCGATATCCATATCGATAATTTCCTATCGTGTAATAAAAGTGTGCACACACATAAGTTCACAATAATCTGGTGAGCCAAAAAAAAAAACAAAACAGCCTGACCGGTTTGTCATCTGTAGTTGATTTATTGAGGGGGAGGGAGGAGGGGGTGATTTTATAGAGAGAGGGGTGTTGAGGTTTGAGGTTTGGAAAGTTTTCGGGATTGGGGGGGTAAATTCATTTCTGAGGGGTTATGAGTAATGCCTGGTGCCCTGGTATTCTAAGAAGGAATATTTAGTGAAGAATATGGGAATGTGAAATTGTGAATAAGCCAGAAATATGTACAGGACCTTGTGGTGAATATTAAAATCTGGCTTGTACTAGGTAATTAACCCCCACTTAGTAATTGACGTGCGGAGGATCTGGTGGATTACAACTTTACAAGTGACCAAGGAGATGTGGAAGGTTCGGAATTTGTTAAGGAAATGAAGAGATAGAGGAATTTGGGGAACTCTTAGAATCCTAGGAGAAGTGAATAAAGAGTTTGTGTGAACTTGGAAGGGATCAAAGAGTCATTTGTGGATATATGCCATCTTCAGTCAATAACTAGGTACCTAATTATAGATTACAGAAGCGCATGGGATTCTATAGCCATTGAGCACTCTACTGATTAGCCCGGGAGCTTGCAGTTCCCTCTTATTCATTGGAATATCAATTCTAAAGTTCGGACTTTCTGCCCATTTCTTTTCTGTCAACCTATTTATTAAGCTTCGCTTTCCACCATGGAAGAGTGTATAGCAATGAGCTGATGATGACTACTCCAGCGAGATGATCCAACCATTTGGGGAATTCGAATTTTTGAAATACTGTAGAATATGGAAGAATAAGGACTCTGAGATCTAGGAATTATTTACAACAGGTTACTGATTGAAACAAGTGGTATGTTTTTAACCGACAGCGATTATCATGCAAACCGACAATGAGAGGATAGATTCAACAGTACTTGCTTTAATTGAGAGAAAATCTAGCTAGATTTTGAACTTTGTCAAAATATATTCGTCAATTTTGGAATTTACTATTCATACGTATACGAATTGAGCAGGATGCATTCGGCGCAGCATGAATCAACTTGTTTGTAAATGTAGAAATTTATGGTATACTCAAGAACTGCGTAGGGAGTATTTATAAAACCAAGTAGGTACTCACAGATCGTGGCATACCTAAGGAGCTTTATTCACTCCTTTGGCGGTATTTACTTTGATTACCTACCTAGGTATACTAGAAAGCAAAATCTATACTCATGATGTGATACAAATAGAAAACCTTGGTGAATACATACAACTCTTCAACCATATGTATAAGAGAAGAAATCCACTCATTCCTGACTCTTGACGATAGAGGTGTGAGCTCTGTAGACATATAAACACCCAAGTATATCGTAAGCTTCCACAATCACAAAACAAAGTAAAATGATATGGAACGGAGGGTTTATGGGAGGTGTCTGGCATAATTTTCTCTTTTGGAAGTTTCTGTTAGACAATAGTATTGAAGGAATATAATCTTAGATATTTGAAGATGGAGATGAAAAGGTAGATACTCGTCCTAGTAAAGGGAAGATGATAATGTAAATAATTACAACAGTGGTATCATGTAAAAGGGAGTGACAATGATAAAAAAAAGAAAGCGGGGTGACAACATTAGATTCTACGTCCATCTAAAATCCTGCATGTATGACTTGATCTCCGAAGTCGTAGTCAACTATATATATGCTATGAGTCTATGATACTAAAGAACTTTAGCCACAGACCCAAGGATCGATCAAAGGAAGCTATGGATAGGATTTATCAGGTAGATCTAGTACTTTAAATACCATATACCTTCTTGATATGATATTTATTCCCTTGAATTTTGGAGAGTTAGCCGGAGATACTATCAGACCTAGACTTGGAGATGAAAATTCTCTCCAATATACTCAACATCTCATCCAAGATCCAACACTACACTATCATTCTACAATCACACAATCTCAAAGTTTCTTAAAGTTTAAAGCCCACTATTGATAGATAATATTAAATGTTAAAGAAACATACTTTACCATCCCATCGTGCTCATCCACTTCATCTTGCCCACTCCACATTGAGCACTCCACATCGGAGATGCTTCGGCATACAATAACTTGATACTTTTAAGTCTAAGCTACTTGGAATTATATCACAAGCAATAAGATAGAGCATCGGCATAGAGAAGCGAATGCCGGGAGTTAGTCTGGATTTAGTAGACTAATAGCGTAGGGAAAATGTGAAAATCCTAGGGACCCAAAAAACGTGACACCATCGCGGAAGTTCTGAAGTTTTGGAAGATTTCACAATAGGGAATGGAGCTAAAACATATAAACGGTGTATGAGATTGTGTGTTTTTGTGGTCGTAGATTATTGGCTGAATGTTATGAAATTATAGTAGGTTGGCCAAATTCGTTCGTTTAATGAGGTGGTTGAGTTTAGTAACTGACCAGATTTAAACAAGAAACTTTAACTGGATTTTTGAACAGCCCAAACTTTGGAATCAATCTGAATTCATTTGGATAGCCAGATTGATCTGTATATCCAACTTTGTCATATCGCTTCCAGATGCCCAAAAAGTTTCTAGCCCTCAATGTTTGAAATGTCAGAAAAATTTGCAAATGCCTCACTGAAGCCAATCGTGAATACAGTTTTTAACTTTTAAAGGACACTATGCATGAGAATGATGATCGTCCCAGATATCTATCCGCAATTACTGAATGTGAGATACTCTAGGACCAAACTTTGTTCTCCTCCGGTATCGAATGTGGTTAGATAGCTTTTGACATGACAACCCGCTCTAACTTAGCCAACTTCTTAGTCTCAAGCTATCGAATTTCTATTTGGACCAACATAATCACCATAGTAACAAGAAAAAAATCCCCCAGAACCAAAATCAAAATCATACAAAAAGTTGCCCCAACACAAAATTCATCAATTCGGAAAAGAGACTACCAAAAATCAATAAACATGAACGAACGAACCCTTCTTAATAATAGACTCATCAGTCCCGGCCCAAATCTCATTGAAGATATGTGCGAGGATTGTCATTTCATGTTGCGGACTACAAAAGGAATATTTCGGCTCATCACAAGTGGATATATGCATAAACGGCTTCGATGGACCAACGAAGATATGTCATTACCAGAAGGCGACAAGGCAGAATCTCCTCCTACCACTTGGCCAAACCAATTTAATCATACACTCCTTGGCTGGGGATGCATAATTTGCGGACTGATTCTCTCTTCTCCGAAAGCCAGCGAAAAAGGCTCGGAAATTACACATCCCTCTGTCCATCACAAATACAACCAGAGGGTTCCTGCTTTCCGTAGCATCAGCTTTCGCCCCATCACTGCCAACCAAGCTAACGAAGAGGTCGAAAATCCATTTAAGGATCGAGCGCTTTCGAGGACTAGTCGGCACCCAACAATCCTAAATATGACGGAGGTGGTAGAATATTTTCATGAGAATAATATCCATATCAAGGGTGTCATTGTCATGAGGGGAGGGGAGGAAATCGTTAGAGTGCCATGGTACCTCCCGATGTGGTCTATATTTATTCGCAGGGACTTGCGCCTTAGAGTCAAAGGAATTTTTCAAAATGGATAGCCAGGTGTCAAATAAAAACCTCTTCGACCGTATTAACGACTCAAATACCTAATCGATAAGCAAAATATTGAAATTTCTGGATTATGTTAAGGGATCTGCGGAAGGAGAATGATTTTGTATGACTGGAGATAGTTTTTATTTGTGGAAAAGTGGTCCTTTGTATCTAAAATCACTGTCAGAAATTTGGACGCAATCTTCATCGAAAATGTGTAACTGAACAAAATAAAGTGCCATCACGCGGACCAAAAATGTGGGAATAGTGTAAATCTTGAATATATATCATTCCACATGGAGTTCCGTAATTGAGCTACTTGCACTGTTCCAGTAATGCTCTCCCATAATCACCTCTGTTGGGCAATCTGTTGCATGTATGAATGTGACATCTCGCTGGACTTGTATTCGTTAAGAAAACTGATTCAATGTTAGATATGTAACACCAGAAATAAGATGACTTACTGCCACAATGGAAATCCAATTCCATAAATGCTACAGGACTATGGATGCGATAATAATATGGATCATCGTCTCCAAATTTACCAATCCAAGCAAAATATGTTTCGTCGAGATGCTTTTTAAATAGTGCGACTCTGTGCTCCAAGACTGCATCGGGGTAATACTCATTGAAAGTTTTGAAAAGCTTAATAATTTGTTCCTGCTTGTCGGCTGAAAACTCAGAAACTGGACATCCTTCATAGGGAACGATCCTGTTATCTTGTCTCGCACCTCCCAAGTGTCTTTCGTCAAAAGGATTCCACCTATCATCTGGAAGGCTCTTTCCATCCATACCCTTACTCAAAGTTGCCTTATCTTGTAGTTCCTTAGGCAAACTTTGCATCAAGCTCAAACTATCCATCTCTTCTGATCTAAATAACCTCAACCCAGCATGTGGACCTTCGTCGATTCTATCAGGTTCTGCTCCCATGAATGTAGGACCAATCACCATTCTCTTGCCAAGGAATACTACTACATGAGACAAATGATGTCCAAAGAATGTATATCCCCATTGTTTTGTCATGGAAGGTGTACCAAATAATCGAAAGTTATAGGAGTGCTCATTGAGTACCTTCTTGCCATTCACTAGATGGCCAAGAAAATCGTTTGTGAGGCAGCAGGCAGGAATCTTTTCATAACCCTGTTTAGAAGATGAAGCTTTAACGGATGGTATGAATGGCGGTTTGAATTTCTGGGAAACACTCGTCGAGT